TAGCAAAAATTGAATATATGAGGTTCTTTGATATGCTGAATCTAAACATGTATTTAGATTTTTGATTTTTGGCCCAGTTTTCAAGTTGGTCCAAATTGGGGTCCAAAATTAAACTTTGTTTGATTTCAACAAAAATTGAATATATGGGGTTCTTTGATATGCTGAATCTAACCATGTATTTAGATTTTTTATTTGTGGACCCCGTTATCTAATTGGTTCATATTGAGGTCAAAAGGGTCCAAAATTAAACTTTGTTTGATTTCATCTAAAATTGAATTATTGGGGTTCTTTGATATTCCAAATCTAACCGTGTATTTAGGTTTTTAATTTTGGGTCCTGTTTTTATACGACCGCAAAAAATTTTTTGTGGTCGTATATTGGTATGACGTTGGCGTCGTCGTCGTCGTCGTCCGGCGTCGTCGTCGTCCGGCGTCGTCGTCGTCGTCCTGCGTCGTCGTCCGAATACACATTGGTTTTCGCACTCTAACTTTAGTTTAAGTGAATGGATCTTTTTGAAATTTTACCATAAGGTTAAATACCACAAAAGGAAGGTTGGGATTGATTTTGGGGGTTATGGTACCAACAGTTAAGGAATTAGGGGCCAAAAATAAGCATTTTCTAGTTTCCAGACAATAACTGTGGAGCAGTGTATGGATCTCTCTGAAATTATACTACAAGTTTCCATACCACAAAGGGATGGTTAGGATTTGCTTTGGGGGGTTATGGCTCAAACCGTTTAGGAATTAGGGGCAAAAAAGGGGGAAAAACAAGGTTGTCCTGGTTAATGGACAAATACTTTAGTACAAAACATAATTTAAAGCAGTGTAAGGGAGATAAATCAAATACATCATTGAAATTATCTCCCTTACACTGCTTTTAAATTATGTATAAAGTAATGGTTAATGAACAATAAAGATAATTTAAAACAGTGTAAGGGAGGTAATCCAAATACAACGTTTTGGTTACTTCCCTTACACTGCTTTTAAATTATGTTTAAAGAAATGCATATTTATAAAGGAAGACCAGTAAAAATATCTGCAAATGTTGCATCATTTTATTTTACAAAAAAATCTATATGAAAGATTTGACACTATATTTTTAATTCTTTTATAAAATAGATTAAGTTAGCACTATGGTAAAATTAAATGGGTAATTATGGTTGCCAACTCCATTGGAAATTTGAATTGAGATTATGACCATATCTTGAGGGAAAGAATTTTTTGGGGGAAAAAAGGGGGGGGGGGGGGGATAAAAAGAAATTGTGGGGGGTCAATTTTTTCTCATTTCAGATTTCAGAAATTAAAAAGAATTATTCTTCAAATATTATTTTTTTTTCAAATTTCAAATATTGAAAAATTTCAAGAAGTTATCTTTAATTGCACAGTATGGCACATTAGATTTGTAAAATCTTTGATCACATTTATTTATTTGTTATGCCGAATCTAACAATGTATTTAGATTTTTAATTTTGGGTCCAGTTTTCAAAATAGTCTACATTAAGGTCCAAAGGGTCCAAAATTAAACTTTGTTTGATTTTAGCAAAAATTGAATATATGAGGTTCTTTGATATGCTGAATCTAAACATGTATTTAGATTTTTGATTTTTGTCCCAGTTTTCAAGTTGGTCCAAATTGGGGTCCAAAATTAAACTTTGTTTGATTTCAACAAAAATTGAATATATGGGGTTCTTTGATATGCTGAATCTAACCATGTATTTAGATTTTTTATTTGTGGACCCCGTTATCAAATTGGTTCATATTGAGGTCAAAAGGGTCCAAAATTAAACTTTGTTTGATTTCATCTAAAATTGAATTATTGGGGCTCTTTGATATTCCAAATCTAACCGTGTATTTAGATTTTTAATTTTGGGTCCTGTTTTTTAAATTGGTCTACATTAAGGTCCAAAGGGTCCAAAATTAAACTTAGTTTGATTTTAACAAAAATTGAATTCTTGGGGTTCTTTGATATGCTGAATCTAAACATGTGTTTAGATTTTTGATTATGGGCCCAGTTTTCAAGTTGGTCCAAGATAGGGTCCAGTATTTAAACTTTGTTTGATTTCAACAAAAATTGAATATATGGGGTTCTTTGATATGCTGAATCTAAACATGTATTTAGATTTTTGATTATGGGCCCAGTTTTCAAGTTGGTCCAAATTGGGGTCCAAAATTAAACTTTGTTTGATTTCAACAAAAATTGAATATATGAGGTTCTTTGATATGCTGAATCTAACCATGTATTTAGATTTTTTATTTGTAGGCCCCGCTATCAAATTGGTTCATATTGAGGTCAAAAGGGTCCAAAATTAAACTTTGTTTGATTTCATCAAAAATTGAATTATTGGGGTTCTTTGATATGCCAAATCTAACCGTGTTTTTAGATGTTTAATTTGGGTCCCGTTTTTTAAATTTGTCTTCATTGAGGTCCAAAGGGTCCAAAATTAAACTTAGTTTGATTTTAACAAAAATTGAATTCTTGGGGTTCTTTGATATGCTGAATCTAAACATGTGTTTAGATTTTTGATTATGGGCCCAGTTTTCAAGTTGGTCCAAGTTGGGGTCCAAAATTAAACTTTGTTTGATTTCAACAAAAATTGAATATATGGGGTTCTTTGATATGCTGAATCTAACCATGAATTTAGATTTTTTATTTGTGGGTCCCGCTATCAAATTGGTTCATATTGAGGTCAAAAGGGTCCAAAATTAAACTTTGTTTGATTTCATCAAAAATTGAATTATTGGGGTTCTTTGATATTCCAAATCTAACCGTGTATTTAGATTTTTAATTTTAAGTCCTGTTTTTTAAATTGGTCTACATTAAGGTCCAAAGGGTCCAAAATTAAACTTAGTTTGATTTTAGCAAAAATTGATTTCTTGGGGTTCTTTGATATGCTGAATCTAAACATATGTTTAGATTTTTGATTATGGGCCCAGTTTTCAAGTTTGTCCAAGTTGGGGTCCAAAATTAAACTTTGTTTGATTTTAACAAAAATTGAATATATGGGGTTCTTTGATATGCTGAATCTAACCATGTATTTTGATTTTGGACATTGGACCATAATAGATAAATTAAAAAAATTCAAGTTCTTAGACCACATTCTTTCTGTGTCAGAAACCTATGCTGTGTCAAATATTTAATAACAATCCAAATTCAGAGCTGTATCAAGCTTGAATGTTGTGTCCATACTTGCCCCAACTGTTCAGGGTTCGACCTCTGCGGTCGTATCAAGCTGTGCCCCAGCGAAGCATTTTATTTTAAATTGGTCTACATTGAGGTCCAAAGGGTCCAAAATTAAACTTAGTTTGATTTTAACAAAAATTGAATTCTTGGGGTTCTTTGATTTGCTGAATCTAAACATGTGTTTAGATTTTTGATTATGGGCCCAGTTTTCAAGTTGGTCCAAGATAGGGTCCAGTATTTAAACTTTGTTTGATTTCAACAAAAATTGAATATATGGGGTTCTTTGATATGCTGAATCTAAACATGTATTTAGATTTTAGATTATAGGCCCAGTTTTCAAGTTGGTCCAAATTGGGGTCCAAAATTAAACTTTGTTTGATTTCAACAAAAATTGAATATATGAGGTTCTTTGATATGCTGAATCTAACCATGTATTTAGATTTTTTATTTGTAGGCCCCGCTATCAAATTGGTTCATATTGAGGTCAAAAGGGTCCAAAATTAAACTTTGTTTGATTTCATCAAAAATTGAATTATTGGGATTCTTTGATATTCCAAATCTAACCGTGTATTTAGATTTTTAATTTTAAGTTCCGTTTTTTAAATTGGTCTACATTAAGGTCCAAAGGGTCCAAAATTAAACTTAGTTTGATTTTAGCAAAAATTGAATTCTTGGGGTTCTTTGATATGCTGAATCTAAACATGTGTTTAGATTTTTGATTATGGGCCCAGTTTTCAAGTTTGTCCAAGTTGGGGTCCAAAATTAAACTTTGTTTGATTTTAACAAAAATTGAATATATGGGGTTCTTTGATATGCTGAATCTAACCATGTATTTTGATTTTGGACATTGGACCATAATAGGTAAATTAAAAAAATTCAAGTTCTTAGACCACATTCTTTCTGTGTCAGAAACCTATGCTGTGTCAAATATTTAATAACAATCCAAATTCAGAGCTGTATCAAGCTTGAATGTTGTGTCCATACTTGCCCCAACTGTTCAGGGTTCGACCTCTGCGGTCGTATCAAGCTGCGCCCCAGCGAAGCATTTTATTCAATATATGTTTATTTATTTAAAACCCTAATTTAAGCAAACTTGACTAAAATCTTGGTGGCCAGTTTTTTTTTAAAGTTAACTATCTGCCTTTGACAGAAAACTTTCAAGTGAAACCAAATCAATTACTGTTATAATTGCTTGGCGAAATTGCATTGCATCAAGTTGACCATGCTGAGACGAATGTATGGAATTTAGTTATAGAAAATTTAATTTGAATCAACAGTAATATTTGCAGATTTTTATGTTAAGTGTAGTGAGTTTTGGTTGAGTTATGAGTATTATTATTTTTGGAAGAAAAAATATGTCGAAAGCAATAATGGGACAAAGCAGGCTGGGTTGGTGTGGGCTGCTTTTATGGTAATTCAAGTTACCTTTTATGCATCTTCTTCCACCTCAGAGCAATCAACTCTTTGATTAGTAGATGCCTTGTGATTTGGTCCTAAAGACATGATAGAAGTTTGCATCAGCAAAAGCAATCTATTTATTAGACTGTCACAAATGACAGAATTCAGAAATTATTACATGCATTTATTATTGCAAGATTTGAAGAATGAAAATGCTAAATTCGGCATTGCAGTTTCAGTATTAAAAATCTGCATATAGATATACATAATATATGTATCAGATATTAAAATGCGAGTTCTTATTATTGCCATACTCAACCACTTTCATTATTTGCATGATTAATTCAAAAACCTCACAATAATTTCTAATTTACAGTATGTAGAAATTGTATAAAAAACAACCTGCTTATTTTATTTTCCAGGAGATTTAGCTCAGAAGAAATTTATCAGCAGTGATGCAGATGTGACCACTGTCGATTTAGATGGGACAGAAGATTATCTAATTTTAGCATGTGATGGATTATGGGATGTTGTCAATTTTGATAAGGTGGTTCAAATTGTATATGAATATGTTCAATCAGTCAACGGAGAGTTGAGTGGGTTAGCTAAACATCTTGTCTTAACAGCAAAGGATTTAGGATCCAGTGATAACATAACTGTAACTGTTGTTTTCTTTAAGCCTGATATTAGTCCGCCTCAAATACCTCAGTTGTTTAATTTCGGCATATCAGAATCTCAGGGAAAAACCGATTCAAACGATAATGCCAGTCCCAGTTCAGATGGTAAGGGAAATAACTCTGATAAGTCTCAAAGTTCTAATAACCAATCAGATAGCACCTCAGGGAAAGCACCAACAGACAGTAATGAGACTTTAGATATTGAACAATCAGAATTTATATCTACTGACTTTTTTGCTGGTTCTCTTCTAAAGAAACCAGTATTAATGAGAAAGGAACCAGTATTTATCATTGATAGTACTATGGACAAACAGAAACAGCCATTTGTGCCATCACCAATGAAATTAGAGTCTCAGCATAGCACTATAATGGGATTTCGACAACAGTTTGAAACTATTTCAGTAACTGATTTGAGAGATCATTTAGTGGGTTCACCTTCAAAAAACCACCACAAAATGGATGTTACCAGTACTGAAGTAGAGGTTACACATGTGCCCACAAAAGTAGAAGTAGAGGTTACACATGTGCCCTCAAAAGTAAACAATGATCATGTTACCAGGTCAGAAAACCATGATACAAAGGAAAATATATATGAATCTGAACAAAGCTCACTTCACTCAGGGTATACTGTGACTTCAAAGCATTCTGAACCATATTTTAACCAATCTATCTTTTCCCCGCGGAAAAATCATCATAGTCACAGAAGGAGAAAGAAAGACCATGAACAGCATGAATCTTCACAACTAAGTAAACGTAGCAGACGGCAACGGGAGTTATCTCCCATTATATGGAATTTCACCGGCATCACTAAGCCTTCGGTTCACAATTATAAAATGAATTATGGAAAAACCTCAACATTTGCAACTCCACGATATTCACTGCATTCTCAGTTAAGTGAAACACCAATAACTGTACGCCAATCTTTGCCAGACCTTTCTGTTTCAGGGATTGATAAATACAAGTCGTCAAGGACATTTCAAGATTTCCGTCAAAGAGATTCTGGAACTTATTCAGTGAGTCAGTTCATTGATATGAGCCCTAGTCGAACAGTTGCCCATGTATCAAAATCAGATACATCTCTTCAAAAGCTGCCTAAGATTAAAGTCAATGGCACTCAATCTGATCCACATTCCAGTACCAAGTTCTCATCTACGTGGAAACCAAAAAGACACGGGAAAATGATCAGTGGAAATATGTCTGATGCCCCTCCTACACCTTTAGATAATCGTAGACTTCTTCAGGATAGACAAAACTGATAAAAGAAATACACAACTCAAACACATACATGTAAATACTTTTCTCAGGATGCTGTGTTGAAATTTGAGTGCGCTTAGTTGGAACTCATTTTATCGATTTTATTTTAAAATATTGCTGTGGGACTATGTGCAGAAGTTTTTGCATATTTTGGTGATGTTTAATTATTATATGTACTTGTAAGATGGTTAACTCACATTATTACTGTTTTTTTTTTGTCTCATTTGTATGTATTTATCAAGTATATTAAGTAAGATATCTTTACACATTTATGCAATTTTATTTTGATGTAATTTGAAAGTATACTGTAGATATTTTTGAGATATTGGTGCATAAACGTTTCCTGCCGGGGTGGAACTGTGCATCAAATTTCAATGCACCTTTTACATCAATTGTTGATGTATGCAAACTATTTATGTGGGGGTGGGGGTAATTTTTGTACATTCTATGTGATCACGAAATTATCAAGGAAGAATTTTGTTGTGTGTATGAAGGCACTTAATTTTATATCATGAAACATTCAGTTGATTAATTCAAGTCTTGTTTAGTAGATTTTATAAATGCTTTTGTTATGAACCAAGAGATTTTATTTTAATTGACTCTTTTGCTGGTATAAATTTTCATTTTTATCAAAATGAGATGAAAATGGATTTGGAAAAAGAAAGGAAAAATTTTGTTTATAAGAAAATATTTTGGCTCATTTTACATGTATTGCTTTTCAATATAAATTTACTTAATCTTATTCTTAAGGTGGTACCTAACACTTCAGGGAGATAACTCTGTAAAAATCAGCTAAACGTTTTAATTACGTTGTATTGTTAAGGAAATATTAAGCTTCTCAATGATCAAAATTAGTGTTTGTCAAACTGCTATATAACCAATGAAATTTTTCTGATTAAGTGGTTGGTTCAAATTTTTTGAAATTTTTATATTTTTGTCAAAGGGTCAAAGTAATCATTTTGTCAAAATGTTATGAAAATTAAACGAGCCAAATTAATATTAGTCAAGGTGTTGGGTACCACCTTAAGAGTTATTTTGTAGGATCAAAATAGTTGATGTGTAATCTAAAAAGTGTTATGGAAGTGTTCATAATTTGATATTTCAGTGTAATGGAATATTAAGTTTTATGTATAACTAGTTTTTATTCATCGATCATACCAAATCAATGTAAAATTTCTATTTTAATGACGAAATTACCAAAGATTTGTGATTTAAATTTTTAAAGATTTTTCATCATTTATTCACAATTCAGCAATCACAATTCATTATTTATTTAAAATGGAGAAAACAGGTTTGACAATACTTACTTTTAGCAGTAAATTTAATTGCATTGGTTCCCAGTTTTAGAATTCAAGAAAAAACTGATAAAAGAGATTTATTGGCACCATGGATTCATTACCTTTCATGGAAAAACCCCCAGAGAGAACCACAGCCTTTGGCAGAAAAACTGGTCCCTCAATATTAGATATGCATTATTTTTACTCCAGATATTTTAAATTTTCTTTTTTTGTAAGATTAATTTTAAGGTAACAAGAATCATCTGTATTTGTAGTACTTGGCAATTTGTTGATATGTGAGAAATACTATTTGTCAAGTTTTTGTGGGAAAATTTTCAGAGGCGTTTTCAGTTGTGATTTATAATGCAAAGTTTAATTTTGAAATTGAAATTTTTATTTTATAATATTTTATCTTGTCTTTGATACAGATTTAATACAAGCCATAAATCAGATAATGCCATGGCTCATCTGTAAGTGTCAATGCTTCTTTCTTGTGCCATATTGTCTGAAGAAAATTTGTATATTTTTGAAATACTGTAAAATGTTCATACTTCTGACTAGGTTCCTTTCAGACAGTGTCCTTATGATATACTATTGATATTAGGTATACAGCCTCAGTAGCTTCTTTAATTTGATATAGAAATAAGAAGATGTGGTATAATTGCCAATGAGACAACTCTCCACCAGAGACCAAATGACACAGAAGTTAACACCTTACAGCCTTCAACAATGAGCAAAACCCTTACCACATAGTAATTTGAGTTGGACACAGTTAATAAGGCCCCTTTCCCTAATTACAATATATGCTCTAGAGATATTGCAATTGTTACATTGTAAGAATATTTGTTGATCCTCATGCACTTAAAAAGAAGTATTTTTGAATGAAATGCTGTTGCATTATCATCAGTGCATTATGAACTAGGCATTTCAATTTGAAACAGACTGAGATTATTCCCCTTTCTTAAACATGAAGAATTTTGTTTTGTTATTGGGCTGCTGCTGTCTTATTTATCCAATACCTCCTATTACTTGTATGCCTCATTGACTTCAGGTGACCTCTTGATTTCAGCAGTGTTGCAGTCATTCAATTGCTTTTTGCAAGTAGATGGGATATCTCTATTTTTAACTTTAAAGCAGACTGGACATTTCTCCATGATGACATGTTTAAATGTACATGTATACATATATGAATATATATGTAGTCAATCTTTTTTTAACAGTTCATGAAGAAGTAAGAGTTAAAAATTTAATCATACAAATTAACCAAGTATGATACATGTAGTGGTTGAAGAACTATAGATTTTTATGTATAATGTTTGAAGAACCAATATTTTTTTGTGTATAGTGTGTATTAAAGAACCATAGATTTTAATGTCTAGGCCAGATACATGTCATTTTACTGTAAATGTACATATGTAAACATGTGTCAATTATTATTACTATTTTTGTATATTCATTATAAGGTATACATATTTATGTGTAAACATATGTTCATTTGGTGCAATCTTTGATTTTCTCATATACATGCAATGGTCTTATACATGTATGTTTGGTATATTGTATGGGATTTTTTTGGGTTTTGTTAGGGGATGAGGTAATTTATTTTTATACGCCCGTTTACGGGACGTATTATGGTATACCGTTGTACGTCCGTCTGTCCGTCCGTCTGTCCGTCCGTCCGTCCGTCCGTCGTCAACACGTCGGACATTAACTCAAAAACGCTGTAACCAATTTGCTTAAAACTTTGGTGAATTGTTTATATCTATTGACATGAGCTCCCTTTCGTTTTTTATAAATTTTAGATTTTATGTTTCCGAGTTATGGGGTTTTATTCATTAAAAAAAGGGGGATTTTCCAGTTTTCGGACAATAACTCAAGAATGCTTTCACCAACTTGCAAGAAATTTTGGTTAATTGTTTATATCTATTGACATGAGCTCCCTTTGGATTTTTATAAATTTTAGATTTTACGTTTCCGAGTTATGGGGTTTTATTCATAAAAAAAAGGGGGATTTTCCAGTTTTGGGACAATAACTCAAAAATGCTTTCAGCAGTTCTCATGAAACTTTGATGAAACGTTGATATCTATTGATGTAAGCTCCCTTTAGAATTTTATAAATTTTAGATTTTACATTTCTGAATTATGGGGTTTATTCATTAAAAAAGGGGGGATTTTCCAGTTTTCAGACAAAAACTCAAAAATGCTTTCAGCAATTCGTATGAAACTTTGGTGAACTGTTTATATCTATTGATGTAAGCTCCCTTTAGAATTTTATAAATTTTATTTGTTTATAGTCTGACAACAGATTTACTAAGTATTGCGCAACAGCACAGTGTATTGCACAACAGCAAGAAATCTTTAATTGAATATAAATTCAATTCATATAACCAACTTCAAGTTCTTTGACTACATTTATTCAGAAACCTATGATAGATGTATGTCAAATATTTAATTACAATCCAAATTCAGACCTGTATCAAGCTTGAATATTGTGTCCATTTTTGCCCCAACTGTTCAGGGTTAGACCTCTGCGGGCGTATCCAGCTGCGCTCAGCGAAGCAGTTTATTTCAGTTTTCTAAGTTTTTGATATTTTAGTCAGCCCAAAGGCTCTAGGCCTACAAATTTCCTGAATATATCCTAGTTATGGAACAGGCCCCAAGTGTTTCCCTTAGATGGTTTATGCATTTTAGTCAGTCTGCCAGCATTAATTAAGACCCCATCCTTAATCCTTATAAGTCGATATTTGCCCCATCTTTTAAAATTCATGACTACCATCCTTTCAGTCAATCCCCCATTCTTCAAAAAAAAATCTAAGGAAAACACTGGCGCTGCCTGGATTTCATTGTTAAAACTCTTTAAGCCCAAAGGATTTCCAGGAAAAATTTCAGACTCTTTAGTTCATTTATATGTTTTGGAGTTTAGTGTGACGTCCATTTTCACTGAACTAGTACACAATTTTATTTAGGGGCCAGCTGAGGACCACCTCCGGGTGCGGGATTTTCTCGCTGCGTTGAAGACCCATTGGTGGCCTTTGGCTGTTGTCTGCTCTTTGGTCGGGTTGTTGTCTCTTTGACATATTCCCCATTTCCATTCTCAATTTTACTTGCAGTTTTCTTTGTTGTTATGTACTTTATACATAAGGTACAATTCAAAATCATATTTTGCCTCCTATTGCACCACTGAAAAGTTTTGTATTTGGACATTTACAAAAAGAAAATTGTTTTTGTCCTTATATTTGACCTTTAGGTTTCGTAAATATTAAGACAAGGAATATTTGATCTTTATTGGAAATCTATCATGAAGAAGCCTCTCATTAGATTGCCTTCACACAAGTCTTCTCTTTGGCCTAAAGTTAAAAAAGAGTGATGAAAGTTGTCAACCTTTTATTCTTTTGTACTGTGAATTATTTATTATTCGTGGTATACCAATTTAGGGGATTTTAGGGACATAGGTTAACAGCAAATTTATATGTGCAACTAAGTAAACATTTTATTTAGGATTGTATTGAGATTTCAGAAAAATCACTAAATCCAATATCCACACAAAATGCAAATTTTCCTCAATCCATGATAGATGAAAATCGGTGCAAGACTTTGGCAAAACCATGAAATCAAATATCCATGAAAATACAATTGTTCCCTAATCCATGAAAATTGGTTCCTTGGAAAAAGAAATAATCCACAGTATTTTGTTTGTTTTCAGTTTTGATGTGTGCATATTTTTATTATGAAGGGATATATTTGGTGGTCTTCAGTATAAGTTCCCTAATTTTATAAATTGTGAAAAAAAATGAAATTTAAAACACATTTTACCGATCTTGTGGTTAAGGTTGGTCATAGTGTATTATTTCACTACAACCCAGATATATATATATCTTTTAGACAGCTATACCCAAAAATGTCATTTAATCATTGCAAAAATATTTATTCATTATTTGATTTTTTGTTAAAAAGATGTTTGTTTTTGTTGTTTTGTTGTTGAGGGGTTTTCGTGAGAAAAAATCTGGTTATGGGTACAGAAAACCATAAGTTTTAGTCATCCATTTAATTTATTTTCAGTTTGTTTAACCATAATTGCCTATTTCATTGAAAACATATGATTCAAATTCATTAGCTTTGGGAATTCTTTTCTTTTAATGAATTTATAAGATGTTTTCTTTGAGCCTGATGACCATAATATAGGTACAAAAACGTGTCCATTAAATAATCTTGTTTTTTTTGTGTAAATATTGTTATAGCCTCAGACGGCCGGAGAATAGAATGGGCAAGAATTGAAGTGCAACCCTGTATACCCATGGTGTCCACTTCAGAATTTGCCAAGCAAAAACTTGCCAAGTAAAGGTTCTTCCTTTTTTTGTATATTATTATTTTTACATAGTATTACATACCAATGTATATTTAAGCATATTATTTCTGTTTGAATACGATTAAAAAAAAAAACTTGATATTTTTTATATTGCAAATGTTTTGCAATTGATGAAAAATCTACCACAGAAACATATACAAATGATAAATTATGATACAAAATAATGTAATATTTTTGTAGTTTCTAATGACCCAACTTTAAAGGTTATCTATATTTTTTACCAATAATTGTTTTCAATTTTATCTTAAGTTTTTTTGTAGCTAGTTTTTTTTTTACTGTCAAGTTTAAGCATGTCCCTCTTGTTTGAGATTTGTATCAATCATTCAAAATATAGAAGTCCCTGTCTTATATGGTCACTACAATTTAGGGATTTGATTTTAACATAGTCACCTAAGTTTTTTATTGTCCTCAAATATCGATTATGTGATATAGTAAGATTAGAAATTTATGCTTATCTGGACTGAAGGAATGTTTTCATGGACCAAACGGGTCTAATGTAGGTATTTTATGCTTATCTGGCCCGAAGGAATGTTTTCATGGACCAAACGGGTCTAATGTAGGTATTTTATGCTTATCTGGCCTGAAGGAATGTTTTCATGGACCAAATGGGTCTAATGCAGGTATTTTATGCTTATCTGGCCTGAAGGAATGTTTTCATGGACCAAACGGGTCTAATGTAGGTATTTTATGCTTATCTTGCCTGAAGGAATGTTTTCATGGACCAAACAGATCTAATGTAGGTATTTTATGCTTATCTGACCTGAAGGAATGTTTTCATGGACCAAACGGGTCTAATGTAGGTATTTTATGATTATCTGGCCTGAAGGAATGTTAATAACAGTTGCTTAATCTGTCATTCGCTGTAGATTTTAACAAAATACTCACCTCTTAAAGTCTAAAACAGACATTTTGATAAATATCTTTATTTTCCAACAGCCATTGAATATGTACACCTTTGATTGATAGAAAATACCAAAAATATTTTATGAATTAGAAGAAAAAGTTTATATCTCAACAACCTTTACTGTAAAAAGAGAAATTTTTTGCAGCAGTTTTATTTTTGCTATTTTCCCTTTAAAGTTTGAAACACGAAAATAAAACTACAGTAATTGTTTCATGGGAATTTAAATGATATGACTAAGACTGTTTATAAATAATACCACAAAAATAACAAATTTTAAGTGATGCAAATTTGAATTTTTGAAAAGATGGCGCAAAAAATTTCCCAGTTTACAGTATGGGAGTTGATAGAGTTGTGATTCTGTTTTTAGAATTATATTTTGACAACCACTTAAATCTTTGAGGTGATAATATTTATACATTCTTTTATGGAGCTTTGAAATATTGCTTTTTCTGGGAGTTAGTCAAGAAGAAAGATATTCTCTTTTTATTGTGAAGTAGGTCATGCTGATGCTCAAAGCATTCAACCACTTTTATAGCGTGTCTACATAAATAATTTTAAGAAGTGTACAGGGTAGATATATAACCCCTTATTGTCCATTTGTATTTAAAAAAAATATAGTCCCCTTATTTGATTTTTTTTATAATGCACATAGACAGTAATCAGCTATATATCTGGTCTTGCGGTCATAAATATTTTGAGCATAATTATTGTGCTCGGACTCAGAAATCAACCAATCAAAAGACTGTATTTGGTGTTTCGTGCACAAATTTTGTACACTAAGCATTGAGTAAAGTTTTATGACTGAGGGCCCTGATCTGGAATAAACCACCTGTGCACATGACCCTATAAGGCAGTGACTTGTATGTGTTAGTAGGTTACCTTTATACTTAAGTTTTTGTTAAGATCACTTTATGATCGGTTATATTATTGTTGCATTTATTATATATAATACTCCAACATTATCCAAGTTTTGTATCAGGAATAAACTATCACAAATATTTTAGTTTTGTTTTTAATGTGCTGAACATTAAAGGGCCATTAAATGAATTACAGGATTTAACGCTGTATATCTGTCATTTAAAATACTGAAAATGTTTTCAAAATGCTATTTTAGAAAAAGAAGAGTGCACACACTGAAATGTCTCACCTGCTTTACTTGTCATGATTGAATTTATATTGAAAGTTTGTAATATGAAGGTTTTACTACAAGTATCACATACACTTAACCTTGATCATTATGAATGAGGTGAAGGTCAGATGGACCCTGCCAGACAGACATGTACACCTCCCAATCATACCAGACACCAAATATTGTTGACCTATTGCTAATTTACAACAAGAGTGCACACGCTGAAATGTCTCGCCTTCTTTACTAATCATTGATATTATGTTGATAGTCCTAAATATAAAGCTTTATTACAACTGTCACATAAACTTAACATTAACCAAGTAAACTAAACATTGACCAATGAACCATGAAAATGAGGTCAAGGTAAGATGAACCATGCTAGGCAGGCATGTACAGCTAACAATTCTTCCATACAACAAATATAGTTGACCTATTGCTTATAGTTTAAGAAAAACAGACGAAAACACAAAAACTTAACACTGAGCAATGAACCTTGAAAATGAGGTCAAGGTCAAATAAAACCTGCGTCACTGACATATAGATCATAAAATATTTCCATACACCAAATATAGTTGAACTATTGCATATAGTATTAGAAAAAAAGACCAAAACTCAAAAACTTAACTTTGACCACTGAACCATGAAAATGAGGTCAAGGTAAGATGACACCTGCCAGCTAGACATGTACACCTTACAATCATTCCATACACCAAATATAGCTGACCTATTGCATGCAGTATTAGAAAAAAAGACCAAAACTCAAAAACTTAACTTTGACCACTGAACCATGAAAATGAGGTCAAGGTCAGATGACACCTGCCAGCTAGACATGTACACCTTACAATCATTCCATACACCAAATATAGTAGACCCATTGCATACAGTATAAGAAAAACAGACCAAAACACAAAAACTTAACTATAACCACTGAACCATGAAAATGAGGTCAAGGTCAGATGACACCTGCCAGTTGGACATGTACACCTTACAGTCCTTCCATACACCGAATATACTAGACCTATTGCTTATAGTATCTGAGATATGGACTTGACCACCAAAACTTAACCTTGTTCACTGATCCATGAAATGAGGTCGAGGTCAAGTGAAAACTGTCTGACGGGCATGAGGACCTTGCAAGGTACGCACATACCAAATATAGTTATCCTATTACTTATAATAAGAGAGAATTTAACATTACAAAAAATCTGAACTTTTTTTTCAAGTAGTCACTGAACCATGAAAATGAGGTCAAGGACATTGGACATGTGACTGACGGAAACTTCGTAACATGAGGCATCCATATACAAAGTATGAAGCATCCAGGTCTTCCATCTTCTAAAATATAAAGCTTTTAAGAAGTTAGCTAACGCCGCCGCCGCCGCCGTAGCCGCCGCCGCCGCCGCCGGATCGCTATCCCTATGTCGAGCTTTCTGCGACAAAAGTCGCAGGCTCGACAAAAATTAAACATTGACCAATGAAAAACAAAAATGAGGTCAAGGTCAGATGAACCCTGGAAGACAACATGTACACCATTGAAATCATTCGATACACAAAAATTGATTGATCTATTGCTTATAGTATCTGAGAAACAAACATAACCATGAAAACTTAACATTGACCAATGGACCATGAAAATGAGGTCAAGGTCGGATGAACCCTGCCAAACAGACATGTACACCTTATTCCATACACCAAATTTAGTTGACCTATTGCTTATAGTGTCTGATAGGTGGACAAAATCATGAAAAATCAACATTAACCAATGAACCATGAAAATAAGGTAATGGTTAAATTTCTTTCAAGCAGTCGCTGAACCATGAAAATAAGGTTAAGGACAATTGACATATGCCAGACGTAAACTTCATAACATAAGGCATCTGCATACAAGATGTGTGGGAATCCAGGTCGTCTACCTTCTAAAATATAAAGCTTTAAAGTAAACCTTATATTAGCTAGTAATTTTTTTTTTTGGCGAATGAAGATAGTCATGAATATGTCAAACTTGGATACTCTCTTGTTTCAAAACACAAAGTAAGAAAACCCCAAATAGAAATCACTGCGAAAAGGGCTGAAAGAGGCTTAATACAGAAAAAATTTACAGTTTTACAACTTTGGCAAACTTCCGTCACACAGTAGGACGTAAAAGATAAAGGGAGGATAAGCTTGTAATTACATTCCAAGGGAAATAACCCTACTTAAATTAAATATTGTAGTTGATGTTTTTCATCTTGGCGGTTACTGAATAGTCTTCAAAACATTGAATTAAAGAAATGCCTGACAAAGCATGATACAGTCTTAAATTGGTTGAAAATAACCGTTAATACGTTTTAATGGAAAAACAATTTTAGTTAGTTGATAAATTAAAAAAATATATTAACACTCATATATAAGAAAGTTATCTGGTGTTTTGAACTAAATGTTATCGAGAATTAAATGCCAACACAGAATAACATTCAGACTTCATAGGGAGAGATACACTTTCTTGAAGCCAATTTTGTAATACACTTTCTTTGAGCCAATTTTGTAATACACTTTCTTTGAGCCAATTTTGTAATACACTTTCTTTGAGCCAATTTTGTAAAACACTTTCTATGAGCCAATTTTGTAATACACTTTCTTGGAGCCAATTTTGTAATACACTTTCTTTGAGCCAATTTTGTAATACACTTTCTTTGAGACAATTTTGTAATACACTTTCTTTGAGCCAATTTTGTAATTACAGTAATTCACTATAATCTTCTACTTTTATTCTCAATAAACATGAATGATATTATGTTGAAATTCTTTAAGATAAAAGATTTTACTACTAGTATCACCTTAACTTCACACCATCATGACCATCAATGATCTAAGTAAATGACTTCAAGGTTAGATGAACTCTGCTAGAATAACATGTACACTTGACAATCATTCATACATCAAATATAGTTGACATATTGTTTATACATGTAGTGTCGAAGAAATAGACCTAACTGAATGTTGACAAATGAACCCTGAAAATGATGTCAAGTTTAGATGAAATTCTTTAAATTTGAATCAATCTTTAATTTTCTGACAAATAAAACTTTCTCCTATATCTGCCCTTCATTTATTAACATGCTTGGCAACAATGACAATGATTTCAGTTCATGATCATTAATATCACAGAACCTTGCACTTGTTTTAAAAAACAACAAATAAAATTTATCACATTTTATTCTGGAAAATAATTATTACACATTAAACTGATTCAATGTTTAAAACATAGCACTAATGTATGACATAATACAATACAAAACTTTACCAAAACATATAGCAGCTATCTACACTCAAACTTTCAAATCATGAAAAATTTATGCACTATCAATGTAAATTATCATTCACAGCACTCATTCTACATATAATTCTAGATTATAACATATCACTTTCCATATCCACCAAGCATCATCTCGACTCCCATATTAACAGGGGGTAGGAGGGGGCATCTTCCCAAATTCCTGGAAAAATAAACACTGAATACCAATTCCCACAAAAATAAACTAGAGGCTCTCAAGAGCCTGTGTCGCTCACCTGTATTTACTGATGCTTTGGAAATCATGTACAATAAGGTTAAAATCATAATTAATAGTATTAGATATTAGATATTATAATGATATCTAAGATAATAGCAAAAAAATTTAAAATTTCTGTAAAATTACTAACTCAGGGGCAGCAACCCAACAACGGGTTGTCCGATTTGTCTGAAAATTTCAGGGCAGATAAATCTAAATCTGATGAACATTTTTGCCACCTGTCAAATTTGCTCTAAATGCTTTAGTTTCAGAGATATAAACCAAAAAATGCATTTTACTCCTATGTTCTATTTTTAACCAAGTCGGCCATGATGGTTGGAAGGCGGGGTCATCGGACAAATTTTTTAAACTAGATACCCTAATAATGATTATGGCCAAGTATGGTTAAATTTGTCTCAGTAGTTTCAGAGAAGAAGATTTTTGTAAAAGATAACAAAAATTTACGAAAAATTGTTAAAAATTGACTATAAAGGGCAATAACTCCTAAAGGGGTCAACTGACAATTTTGGTCATGGCGACTTATTTGTAGATCTTACTTTGCTGAACATTATTACTGTTTACAGTTTATCTCTATCTATAATAATATTCAAGATAATAACCAAAAACTGCAAAATTTCCTTAAAATTACCAATTCAGGGGCAGCAACCCAACAACAGGTTGTCAGATTTGTCTGAAAATTTCAGGGCAGATAGATCTTGACCTGATAATCAGTTTTACCCATGTCAGATTTACTCTAAATGCTTTGGTTTTAGAGATATAAGCCAAAATCTACATTTTACCCCTATGCTCTATTTTTAGCCATGGCTGCCATCTTGGTTGGTTGGCGGGGTCATCAGACACATTTTTTAAACTAGATAACCTAATAATGATTGTGGCCAAGTTTGGTTAAATTTGGCCCAGTGGTTTCAGAGAAGAAGATTTTTGTAAGAAGCTAACGACGACGGACGACAACGACGACGACGGACGCCAAGTGATGAGAAAAGCTCACTTGGCCCTTCGGGCCAGGTGAGCTAAAAATAAGGCATTCTTTCCCGGATCCAGAAATTTTCCCAAATCCTGATAAGCCTCAATCCCTAATTCCCACAAAAAATAAATGTCCAATCCTAACATCCTGAAAAAGGGCCTTCCGCCCAAAAATTTAGCCCAAGATTGGTTTTATGTTTAAAGGCCACTTTCAGAAATATTCACAATAATAAATGCATGCAATAATTTCTGAATTTACAGTACTTGGGCTACTCTGCCAATAAGGTCCCTATTAAGAGCTCCAGAGCCAAGCCCAAAGGATTGGGGTCTGTATAGAAATAATACTGAGGAAGATATGGAAAATATTAAGTTATAATCTGTATATCACATAGTTTAACACCACTAACAATAAATACATTTCCTTTGTTTATCTTAGTAATTTACTTCTTCTCTTTTTATTTAAAATGCTTTGTTTAACACTTCTGACCTCTGTATAATTAACTCTTTGGTACGTTCAGGTTTACTCAAACTTAAGCCAAACATTGTTTCTAGCAACATGACGTCACATTTTGTTTTTTAAACAAATACAAAAATACTAATATGGAACTCATTTTACTTAAACACAACATATTAACAGAAACTAGCTTAGTACAGTAATTTTTTCTGGTTTTGTAAACCGATAAACAACATAACAAAGTATGCAAAAGCTTAAAAAGACCTATCTTCTAATTTAGTGCACTTGCATAAAGTTTGCAAAGTCAAGGGTTTTGATCCACTGCAAGGTAAACCAAAGATGTGAAAATTGTTATTTGCTGTTTCTCCAAGAAGCATACTGCATTTAGCAGAAAGAGCAAAGACTGGTTGGCTCGAAGTCAGAATAACATGTCTGAGTAGGGTGACATATCCTCTTGCTGACTGTTATATTGTGAACTAGGACGTCAGAAAATCCGGCTCAGTTTGACTGTCTAGTACAAAGCAGGGTTTGTATTTATATCTCATCAACATGTCCTCTTGTTGAAATGCATGTAAAATGCACTGAATATTTAATCACCATTTCACCAACACCATCAAGTTCTATTTTTTTTGTACTGTGGATAAATTTGTATTAGTCAAGTACTTTTTCATGGATTTGTAGGTAAAAGTGAACCACAAATTTCAATTCTCAATATTATCAAGTTTCCTTAATAACACTTGTAGGGAGAATTTGTCAAAACCACAAATTCAAGTAACCATGAAAAATTTTCCTCGATCAAAGAAAATAGAACCCACTAAACAATACAACTCCAGTACACAAAAACATGAATATAATAAATAAATATGTGATAAATAAAAGTAATGTTACAAATTCATTAAACCTTTGATAATCAAAAGAAAATACACTTTTTCTTTTGGTCAAAAACATGACACATTTGTAAATTTAATGTATAATACAAATAAGAAAAATCTATTTATGGTAACAAATGTATTTTCTTTTCATACATTTGTTCAACCCTGAGAAAAAATAAAAAAAATAAGGAAACTGAAAAATACAATGAACAAAAAAGTGTTAACTTTGGCCCTTCAAGAAACCTAGAATACCATTGAAACTGTTAACACATCTGCTACAAGTTACAGTATGTAGCCTTTTGGCAAGATATACATGCATTTGTGTATTTTTTTTATAATCAAAATTAAAGGATTAGTCAATTACAACTGTTTCCATCATTATTTTCTTTTTTAGAAATTGCAGTACTATCAGCCAGACACAATTTTCAACCTTAATTACAGGTTAGTGTCTTAAAATCATAAAATCTAAACCTGGTGTTACTACTGATTCGGTTTTCATACAAAATCACAACAACAGCACTTAACCATGCTTTCTTATGTAGTTGAATAAAAATTTCATAAAGATGGAAGAATCATAGATCATATCTTTATAATCCATGACTATATAACTGTAAGTACTGAAAAGACCTTTCCATTATCAGTCTTTGTCAGTGGGCAAGATGTTTTTTTAACCGATCAATGAAAAGAGAAAAGCTTGATGGCTACAAACACATTATGGAATACTAAGGATGTCTACTATGAGTACATATAATATGGTGTTTTTACATTTGAATGTTAAATTTGTCTAAATTAATCTCTAAATTATGCTTTAACATTACTAGAACTTTTTTCAAGCATTCAATATATTGATGTGACCAAATTGAAACATTCATCAGAAGAGAAATAAGAAGACAGTACTTTGAAAATTTCACAGTTGTGCTGATAAATGGTCATTTTGCTAGGATGCTGAAAATTGAAACTACAAAATCATGATTTACAAGGTAAAAAAATACATTTCATTGAATGTGATTTTCCCTTAAATTAACCAGTGCATTGATTTTTTTAGGAGGGAAGGGGATTAAGACCACAAACGATTTCCCTAATAACTTTCAGTAAGATTTTGCTGAAAAACTATCTTGCAAAATTAATGCATTTTAACCTCATAATCAGTTCTCAAAACTACTCTTAGATCATCCTGATGTACACTAACATCTAATAGCATTTTAATACAAATTTTTACCAAAAATAAACACAGAAAATATCCATATCACAATATGCATAAAACATCAGCTACAGAGAAAAACTGTCCATAATTCCTCTGGTATATGTCTAACATCACACTAAAGCTGAATCATCACCACTGTCTGGTCTGAAAACAAATTGTACCGTATAAGTAATAAGTTTTATTTTTTATTAAATGAGATTTACTTTTCATCAACTTCGGCAAAAGTTATCTGTTGTTCAAATCTAGCTAAAAATGAACTAGCTCATTTAGATTCTTGACTACTGTGGATTCAAATATTTTAGTGGGTACCAATTTTCCTAGTTTGAAGGAAAATTGTATTTTGGTGAATATTTGTTTTCTTGGTTTTGCAAAAGTCTGCATACAACTGATTTTTATAGTTTGTTCATATGGTGTACTGTAACACCACTGTCCCAGGTAAGGGGAGGGTTGGGCGCCCCTAACATGTTTAACCCTGCCACATTCTGTATGTGCCTGTCCCAAGTCAGGAGCCTGTAATTCAGTGGTAGTCGTTTGTTGCTATATATCATATTTGTTTTTCATTCATTATTTTGTACATAAATCAGGCTGTTTGAATAGTTTTACATTTGTCATTTCGGGGCCTTTTATAGCAGTCTATGCGGTATGGGCTTTGTTCATTTGCTCATTGTAGAAGGCTGTATGGTGACCTATAGTTGTTAATTTCTGTGTCATTTGGCCTCTTGTGGAGAGTTGTCTCATTGGCAATCATACCACATCGTCTTATTTTTATATATACAACCCTTTTGAAAAGGAGAAGGTCCAGTAGGGACTTATTTTGGCCTAAAATTTTAAGTCAGGGCTCGACAATAACACTTGTCTGATTGTCCGGTACCAGTGGAAAAAAAGGTCGGACAAGTAAAAGGTAGATCAAGGTTGTCCGACAGGACAAGTAAAATCATTTTGTAGAAAATAAATTAAATCCAACTTTGATGAACAAAGTAATAAACAAAAAACAAGAAAAGATAAAAAACAAATATTAATTTGACATGTTTACTTGCAATCGATAATTTAAAACTGGTTCTTTGACAGATACTTTGGCTGTGTGGATATACGCCTAAGGCAGCCTATGGTTACCCATAGGTATCTTTGGGTACCCATGGTTTGATTTTTTGATATATATAGAATATCAAACCAAAGGTACCTATGGATAACCATAGGCCACCTCTGGCGTATAGAAACCAGTCTTAGATGAAATCAAGTATGCGCTTTGTAGATAAGGTGACAAGACAGTTCGGCACCGGCACAGAAACCAATCCTTCCATGTTTAATAGACAGTATGGCACCGTAGGAGACATTTCGGGACCAAGCCAACCAGTACCTCATTTCCCTACCTCATTCTGTTGCTTATAATCAATATGATAAATTTTATTTAACAAAAATATTTTTTAAAATAAAAATGAAGAAATTATTGACCATAAAATTCACAGAATCATATTTGATCATATGTAGACAAAACAATACTTGATTGCGTTTGAATAAACATTTTAATATATTAAAAACAAAGCTGTTTGTAGTAAGGCATTAATCATAATAATCAATATTTTACCAACATGAAAGACCAGGATACAAACCAAATGAGTGTAGACTGACAGGCCTACCAGACTGTGCCTCATGTGCAGAGTCTGATGAGACTTTGGCATTGATGAAAACTAGAACCTAAGTCCTGTGTCATGGCTTGATTCAGTTGTTCTCGACTCATATTTTTGAAAAGGATATCAAGAGATATAAATCAAATTCTGTTCTTATGTTCATTGAACATGTTGAATCAACTTAAAATGCAAAAAAGGTTAATATTAAGATTTTTTTTGAACAAGTTACAATTCCATTCGGACAAGTAAGTTTTGATGTGTACTTGTCCTATTGGGCAATTTGAAAAAAAAGTTATTGTAGAGGCCTGTAAGTACGTCTGATGAAGATTTTTGATATTTTTTAAACACTCAAATGTCTACTTCAGTCGATTCAATTAGTTTGTGTAAAATATTTGAACTGATTTGGTCATTAAAGACGCTCAAATTCAAGGTTAAATATGAAAAATCTATCAAATATGCCACCAAACATCACTTTTCAGATGATTTTTTGTCTAAAATGGAAGTAGCCGCATTCGTTTTCAGTCTCAACCTTTATATATGTTATGTATTATCATCAAATACAACATATATTTAAATATTAAGACTAAACACAAGTGCGGCCACTTCCATTTTAAACAAAAAACGTTTAAAAATTAGCACACATGCTAAAACTGAAGATTCAATAATGTTGCATGCATTAATGATGCTAGTACCTGATGCATGTGCATTGTATTGTCATAAAACAGCCCATATGCATGTAACAAAAGTATTCTACTTTCACTACAAAAGTCAAAAAGTCTGAAAAGACAAGTTTTTGTCTGAATTTGCATGAACTTTTACTCGACATTCTTAATCTGTCTGAATAATTTTTAAAAATTCTTGACATAGTATGAATTTGTCTAATAAGGTTCTTGATTTTTCTTGACAAGTGTCTTGACAGTATGAACATTGTCTTAAAATTTCTCGACACTTCCTGTATCATCTGATAAGAGTCTGGATTAGTCTCGACCAATTCTTGACTGTCTTAAATTTGTCTCGATCTGTCTTGACATATTCTTGACATTCTTAATAATGTCTGAATATGTCTCGACATATTCTTGACATTCTAAATAATGTCTGAATATGTCTCGACACATTCTTGACAGTCTTAAATATGTCTTGACACTATCTCAACAGTATAAATTTCGCCTGAAATGTGATCAGACTTATTCTGCACTGTTTATGACATTCTATTGCTGTTATATACTCCTTTTTATTATGGCTAAACTAAACTTTGAAGAATCAAGGATTAATTTGGTATAGTAAGATACCCTTTTGGTGCAACTAAGTTGGAATACCCTGAATAATCCCCCATGTAGTTTAATTTTGATTTATTTTTATTAAACATTTAAGTAATTGTTTTCACTTGGAATATAAGTCGAAGGTATTGACAAACAGCATTTAGATTTTTGCCGTTCGCAAAACTGCCAGTCAAATTTGCTTTACTAAAATAGGTGCCTTGTATCTCTTTTGGACCCCACAATTCATCTTTTGGGTTTGTGTGGCTAAAAAAAGAGGGGGGGGGGGGGGGGGGGGGGGGCTTTCGTTTAGGTCAAAGAATTTGTTCCCATCTTGATTCAAAAACCTTATTCATTTTTTAGAACAACCCAAAAACATTTTTTATTCAAATTTGAGTGTTGAATTTTATAATTTTTTATCAAAAATAAATATTTGTGATAACTCCTTCCTGAAAAGAAAAAAATGTTTAGATCTATATTATGCATGTCTGTTTGAGAACCATTTCATAAGACCGATGATTTCTATAGAAATCATTGATGGGACCCATTATAAATACATTGTTTTTATTATTCCTGGAGTAGATAATAATTTTCTTTTAATCTTTGGGAATTATTCAATTTGTTTTTATGTTAAAATAAATAACTTCATAATTTTGATGAAGAAAATCCATTTCAATTCAATTTTTTTTCATCAAAATGATGATTTTCATTTTCATCTATCAACAAACTTTTTAAATTGTAGTGGCATGGTCGGTCAACTGATAAGTTGTATGGCTGATTACAGGTAAAGCAATAACTTCTATTTGACAGTTGTGTGTACTCTGGGGTGTGGAATACCTTAATTTTATGGGGAACATCCTGTCCATGTGTAATACTTAATATATTCCAACAGATGACATTACACAAATTTTTCTTCTGTTAAATGAATGATTTGTATATCATCATAATTTGCTATTTATATAAACCACATTTTGGTATAATAATTATTTAGCATATCAACATTGAATATTATGAATGTAGAATGAAATATGTCTACAGTATGATTGGTTTGAATCATTTAATTTATAAGATTTAGGAATCAAAATTTGTAATTGTTTAAAAACCCACATTGAAATTGTTTTATATCAACACACCCACATTTGAATTATTTTATACTTTAGATTTCATAGCCATATTTGCATTTATAAAAATATTTATATACCCAAATTTTCAATTATTTTACATGCCCAACTTTTATTTTTGTTGTAAAGAAGTGTAACTTGAAACAACAGTATATCATATAAAGAGAAATAAAGATTAAAGTTATATCATGAATATTGGTCATGATTTGTAAAACTCAGAACTGTCAAGTAAATTTAAGACACGATTCAAAATGTTCAGAATATGTCAAGCCATACTGAGAAAAAATAAGAATGTCGAGAATATGTCGAGAAATTTCAAGACAGTATTCAAATGTCAAGAATTTGTCAGGAAATTTTAAGACCATATTCAGAATGTCGAGAATATGTCGAGAAATTTCAAGACAGTATTCAAATGTCAAGAATTTGTCAGGAAATTTTAAGACCATATTCAGAATGTCGAGAATATGTCGAGTAAATTTCATACAAATTTAATATAAATGAGAATTTGTCAAGAAAAATTAAGACACAAGTCATACTTTTGGAGAATGTCGAGTAAAAGTTCATGCAAATTAAGACAAAAACTGGTCTTTTCAGACTTTTAGACTTTTGTAGTGTTTCCAATAAATAGCTAAAAATTTACATTTTGAACTGATTTTTAAAATGCTATATTTTGGGGCCAAAAAGGGGTCTTACTGGGCCTACTCCTTTGTACTTTATTGAACATTACCCACAAATTCCACAAAAATTGGTATCTCACAAAAAATAATGAATCAACAGCAATAGAAAAAGATTCACTCTTTAAAAGGATCTATCATGATGACACTACAATCTGCTAAAAATACAGATCCTGGTATGATGATCCCAAAACAATCTGTTTTACTTTCCTATGAAGACCTTTTGGGGATTCTCCTGTTTTGTCATAAAATGATGGATTCATTTAAGAGTTTGAAGGCAGTATTTTCATTGGTTGATGTAATTCTTATCAGAGCAGAAAGTAGAATAGTGTTATCAGATCCTTGTAAGAGAAACACAGGCAAAAGATTTGTATTTCACCAAAATGTTTTCTCTTGGTTTTTTGTGTTGTATGGTTGCTGTCTCACTACCTTGATTCTCCCTTTACTCATAATACTAGTCAAAAGAATATCTAGAAAGAAGGACATCATTATAGTGGTTTAAGTAAGATGCACTCCTAGATACTAGATAGAACTATACTTAGGCCTATTCCAATTAAATGAATGTGGGAGAATAGGAAGAAAAGCTTATTTTTTGGAGGTGGGTCGTTGGTCATTAATGGTCACATTTTCAATTATTGCATGCAAAAATCAGGGCTATTCCATTGAAATTAATGTGGGAGGGTACGAAGGGAGTTCCACAACCAACATATTTTCATCATGTAATTTTTCATACATTAAATGGACATATAACCATAATTGACCGACAAGCCATGTCCAAAAATAAAACTTCCCTTCATATACCCTCACACATCATTTAATGAAATAGCCATTATTATATTTTTTTTTCAGATTCTACACTGATAAATTAACAACATCCTGATATTCTGAGTAATCATGTAATTTTCAATGAAATAATAATGTATCCTAATTTGAGCCCTTCATTGATCATTTAAAACTCTATGATGACATCTAGATGTCAATTTTTGAAAACTTGTTGTTCCTGCCTATTGATATTTGAGTTACATCCCTTTAATTTTATTTTTACTTTTTTGTTGTCTTTTAAAAGTTTATATTGTTTTTCTTTCTTTATTTAATACCTGAAAAATCATAATTAAAACCAGGTCTGGGTTAGCGGAACATTAGTTAACGTTAATTTTACAGTGTTCAAAAAATCTGTTGCATATTTAAATAATTTTAAATATTAATCAAAATTTCAACAATGATTTTTGTTAATTTTTTACTTTATTTCTACTTACTTAGAATCAGTATTGCCACTGTCAGATTTAGTTTTGGCACTATTTTCCTCTGCTGATTCAGACCTACTCTCTGAATTAGCTGTAGTTTTAGATGAGGATGAAGATGTAACTGTAGATGATGAAGAAGTCAGTGGTATTGTGGAAGATGAGGATGTAGAAACTTCTTTTTTATCTTTGTCTGGATTAGAAGTCTTTGCTAGAAAACTGTATGACCATGGTAAACCTAAAAATTTAACATAAATTCAGATAATACTGGGTTGTCTAATGCCTGGTAACGTCATCAAACAAGTAAAAAATAGAAGACTACGATTTTCATGTACCGTAATTTCCAAAAAAATCAAAGACTATTTTTCATTTGACCCTTTGTTCTGCTCGCACTATCACATTTTCATGTTCAGTGAATTGTGGAATCTGGATCAAAACCCAATTTTGGAAAATTAAAAAAAAAAGTCTACATCATAATGAACATATATACTAAGTTTCAAGTTGACGAGTCGAAAACTTCGTAGTAAACTACCTTTCACCAAAACTTTAAAATGATACAGAACAGACAGGAAAACATAATGCACCCTAGCCTTTACCAGTTCTCTCCCTTGTCATCTTCTAATTTTACTTTCCATTATGCCTAATTATAGTTGTCTGCTGGGATTCCCCAGAAATTCTGTCACTGTTTGAAACAACTCATAGCTATGACAACAAAACATTATTAAGTCACATTTTCCCACAAAAATAGAGTACAGTTTCCATAGTGACTGAAATTAATGAAAGAACAAGATGCTGAGTAAGAACCTGATCCTTATATCTATCAAAAAGCTATTAAAACAAAAACGGACTAGGATAAAAGTGGGTGGACTGTTGAACCATTATTTGTTACTTAGTATATTATTTAAATAAATGGGGAATGTGTCCATGGGACCCAGATGATGCCCCCGCTTGTATGTAATGTTATAAAGGGACATAACTCTAGAACGTTAAAAGTATCGCTACCCAAATTTAAACTTGATCTGTGTTTTGTGGTAATAAGCATTATGTAGAAGTTTCATAACATTTGGTTGAGGCAAACTTAAGTTACAGAACGGAAACGAAAAAATCAGCAATTTTTCCATTTGTAAAGGGGCATAACTCTAAAACGGTAAAAGTGACGCCACCAAAATTCAAATTTGATCTGTGTTTTGTGGAAATAAGCATTGTGTATAAGTTTCATAACATTTGATTGAGGCATACTAAAGTTAGAGAACGGAAACCAATTTTGGGACATACGGACAGACGTAAGTACAGACGGACAAGGGTAAAACTTAATGCCCCCTCCGCTATGGCAGGGGCATAAAAATGTCCCTGAATATAAAAAATAGACCCCTAGATATATTATTGTTGATTACACCATTTTTCTTTTCTATTAACAATGTTTTTTCATTACAAGCTACATTCATACCTATTTCTTTAGTTGCACCAGAAGATATTTTATCACTTCCTTCTTTCTTTTTCTTGTTTCCATTAAGGTCATCTGCACTTTGACTGAAAAAAAAATCTTATATTTTACTTATACTGTAAATTTGGAAATTAATGCATGCAATTATTATTGTGAATCACTGATTTTTGGTAAAAATGTGAGATTTCATCAATGCCATTGCAAACCTCCACTTAATCGCATACCGCTTAATTGCATAATTCTGTTAATTGCATAATTTTCTCCTGCACAAATCCATTTCCCATTCATCTAATGTTAAATTATCTGGTTATTAGCACAGCCTAACAAGTGGCCTTTCGGTTAATTGCATAGAAAATAATCGCTTAGTTTAAACTGACGAGATATTTGACGGGAAACGGCAATTTGGTAAGTATATTTTTCTTGAATGCATCATTATTTTCGTTATTATTATATATTCATTTTCGTGTTGTTTAAATAAAGTTTTAAAACAGTTTCTTTCGTGTTTATATGATGGGATATTGATTAATAACCCTTGATGTGTACACAGGTAAAGTTTCCCTTGTTCTATTTTAAGCCTCGAGGTAAAAAAATGTCAAACAGGTAATTGTTGTAAAAACACGACCATTCTCTCTCAAAAGGTGTTAATTATTTATTGGATTTCAAACATTGTCCAAAGATTACATTTGGGGTGAATTTTAAAAACAATGATGCCTGCTAATTCACTTTTAAAGACCATGGAATGACCATCTGATGTGTACACTCATAATTCGGCTTAAGGTGATTTGCATTCAAGATAAACTTTACAGGGCATTTATATATGGTTGAAGAATTTTATATGTCAAACATTTATTTTTTGGTATTTTTGAAAAGATCATTTACTTCTAATTATTATATTTTCTCACGTTCAACACTTGCTTCAAGCAAATATCGCGTAAAGGGCCCCTTACTGCTTTGCATATACGAAACTAACGAAGTTAAAGAAAAAGTGTAACATCACTGTGCAAGCGGTAAATACTGCATATCAAAGGCATTTCATTGCACATTTATTGTTACAAAAGATAATAAACATTGTAGCATTGTTAAACAGTTTATTTTAACCTAAGCTTAATAATGTACATTGTACATACGGGTCATAGAAACAAATCTATTTTTAAAACAATTGGGTCTATTCTTATATCCCAGGTAAAGGAAACGTCGGTACGCAAATGAACTAAAACAAAATGTGTTTATAAAATTTATTGAAAGAATTAAAAGACATTAACATGAATGACATCAGACATATAACTTTTATTATAATAAACTAAGACTTATAAGTATAAGTCATGTTTATGTTGTTAAATTGGTTGCTATACACTCAACTATAAGGCAGTTATTTTTAGTTCCGCTTTTCAAGACTTTTGATTGGCTGTTAATTTATTATGAAATCACTGATAGTTTTGTATTGTTACTGCCAGGTCTTGTCTCTTATCAAAGTTTAAAACAGCCACCACCATCCCCGCCGCTCTTTCGTAAAATTTTTAAATGTTTTTGTTTAGCACGTTAAATGTTGTTTTTGTGTACATGTAACTACCTCTGAATATGTTTTCATATATCCTTTTTATTTTAGTACATTATTGTTTGTATTTACACTTGTCAACGATATACATGTACTTTGGACAGATTCAGTAAATATTGTTAAAGCCGTATTAATTCATCATTCAATACGTTGCAAGTGGATTACAGCCATTCATCTTTCTTCAGGGATTTCCTTTACTGATCTTTGCTATGTTATTTGACTCCGTACTTTGGCATTTCATATATAAGTATACTCCACTTAATTGCATAATTTTGTCTGACAAATAAGCTATGCAAATAACCGGAATCGACTGTATTTTATCGAGATTTTATTATTGCAAACCTAATTTTGTCACATTTTTCACAATAATTTCTGAATTTGCAGTATTTCAGACAGACATAAATATCCTTCAATGTATTCAGAATTTTTGAATCAACAAAATGGGGTGTAAAGTTGGATTAAGTTTGTGACCTTGACCTTGCAGAAAGACAATTTGAGGCACACCCTCTTAGGGCGTGCAACAACAATACTAAATGTAAGTACCATCAATGTCCTTCAAGGCATTAAAAAATTCTGATATAGCACATTTATTCTATTAAAAAAGCTTCTCATTAGTTTTAAATTGTGTGAAGTTTAATTCATTGAAATATTCCTTTAAATGTAATGCAAACTTTGAAACAGGAACAGATTTGTCAGGCTGAATTTGCATTAATTTGTGTCTTCTTATCCATCAAAACAGTAATTCCCAGTGTCAGTTTTGCAAACTTGCCAAATCTAAGCTAGTTTCTGGAAACTCAACACCCCTTTAAAAAATGTCAATATCCTGTTTTGATATAAGATCAAAATGGCAGTTTTCTTTTAAGAATTGTGAACCTGATTTTGACAATTAACACACTGATCCTCTTTTACCATAACTAAAAACTGACCAGTTTTAATAACCAATATGGATTGATTTAAATGTTATCTGACCTAGTTTTGATGTTACTGACCTAGTTTTACTAACAGCTAGTGACACACAGCTATGGAATGGTTGAGATGTAGGTAGATCCTGCATGACTTCGAAGGAGGAATCAGACAATGACACTTCTTCTAAGTCTAACGTACTGGATAAGGAATGCTGCTCAAATGATATGTCTGCTTCAGTCTTCTCATCTAAAATGTCAAAACTCACAAATTTCAGACAAAGCATAGAACAATATTTTTTTGCAACCATTTAAAAAGCTATAATTTCAAAAGATAAAAGTGGACTGACAATGAAGTGAATAAAACTACAAATATAGTCATGGAAAAAAAGATTATTACATTGGTAGCATTGAATTACATTGATTTCCCAGTCAAATAAAAACCGATAATTTCACATGTGAAATAAACGTGGTTATTTCACTCTCTGACGTCATACAACAATAGGCGTTGTCAAGACGTCGATAACGTCGGATCAAAACAAATTGTGAATGCGTAGAAAAAAGATATAGTTCCTTACATTTTCTACATTAATTTCATTAAAAAAAGCCATTTGCCAATGTAATAAAAAGAATAACTAATCAAAGAATTCAAATATCGAAAAATATTCAACTCGTGACCGAACAACACTGATAATTAACTCATGCGCTACGCGCATTCGTGAATTAATGTGTTGTTCGGTCACTCGTTGAATATTTTTCTCTATTTGAATTCTTCGATTAGTTATTCTATAATTATTTTATAAATGCACTTATAAAAGATATAAGGAATATTATAACAAGTAGTTTGTATTGAGTGGTACTAATACCCTCTACATCTCAGATCCTAATAAATTAATTGTTATGACCTTGGGCATGAAATACCTGACCTTGAGTCAATATCATATACATAACACTTGCATCTAAGTGTGATTTACACAATTATAATCTGCACATTATTTTAATACATTTCCTAGAGTTGCCTTGATCTTTCCTTCTTTGGAAACATTTGAGCAATATTATGAGAGTCCATGCTGGTACATGTAGTACTATTATCATCCCACTAAGAGTTTGGACTATATTATGACTCTGCCTATGATGTATTTTTTCCTAGTCAATACAGCTTTATAAGGTGTGAAGCAAAAGCAATTACCAATAACAGTCATCTGTTTAATCATATATTATGTAATTAATTTAATTTTCTCGGAATTCATTTCTATAGGTGAGTCATAAATGTCAGTGTTTAACAAAATACAAATAACTTTAAGACTTGTATGTAGAATTTGTCAAAACCACAGTAATAGAATTTTTCCCCAATCTACAAATTAAGAATCCATGAAAATATATGAATCTACGGTAATTTGATCTTACATCAACTATCTTAAGATAAAGCCAACCAAGTACACTAATTATTATTAAAGTAAAAATAATGACACTGGTCCAATTAATATTAACTTACCTGATAATTTAACAGGTGCTTTTTTCTCCTCCTTCTTAGCATTATTGTCTAGAGAGAGTCTGTTCATTGTTGCTGTTATTCTCTTTACAACAGGAAGTCTGTCTTCACTAGAGGAGCCTTTGGAGGGTTTGTCTTGGGTTACTCTAGTAAGCTCAGATCTATCAATAGTGGAGGATTCTGGCACTGGCAGGGGCATCTTAAACTTTTTGTCTACTGTAACAGATGAGAAATATTAGTTAGCTCCCCTTATGCTAGTTACGCGAGAAAGATTTGTATTGGGTTATGTATTAAATACCTAGTGTTAGTTTATTCATTACTTATAATTATCACATAAACAAAACAGCACTTATTAAATCAGCACGCTTATACTAATGCCGATATATATTACATATTAGTTCCTGAACAATTTACAATTAGCAAGCAAGTACTTTGAGAGATTTGAGGTTTGTTAAGTTTCCATAAAATTCTTTCAATGGGACGTTCCTGTAGCAAAAATTTAAATACATAAATAAACTGGCACTGTGATCAGTTTCACAAAAATTTTGTAAGGGTTCCACGGAACTAGTGTCTCGCCTACTTCTGCTAGTCACAGGCTCAACAAAAATGGGGAAAAAAAATTATTAAAAATTTTCTTATAGATACTATCTTTTGATTGTAAGAAGCTTCTGTCCAAGTTTGTTAAAAATCCAGAATGGTTTATGAATCTTATTAATGTTTTAAAAACTTCTACAGACTGTATGTAATGTTAACAGGAAGAAAAACCAAGTCCATTTATAAGTAATATACAGAAAAACAAGAAATATATTTTTACAAAATTTCCTTTTAGATACTAGCTTTTGATCATAAACAAGCTTCTGTCCAAGTTTGGAACAAATCCAGGATAGTTTAAGAAAGTTATTAAAATTTGAAAAACTTTAACCACAGAGTGAATGTAATGTTAACTGGCAGAAAACCTAAGTCCATTTATAAGTAAAATACGGAAAAACAATTTTTTTTTTTTTTTTACAAAATTTACTTCTGGATACTTATGATCATAAACAAGCTTCTGTCCAAGTTTGGTAGAAATCCAGGATAGTTTAAGAAAGTTATTAAAATTTCAAAAACTTTACCACAGAGTAAATATTTGTGAACAAAAGTCGCAGGCTCTACAAAAATCTTACGACATAAGTTGATTGTAAGTGTACTGAATTGTTCATGACTTACTATTAACTCTTGTCGTAAGATTTTTTGTGAAACTGATCACTGATTCTAGGAAAGGTTTGATTTCCTTGGCAATAAATAATGCTGAATCTTGGTATTTTTATTATTGTTTAGGTTTATAAGTCTTATCAGTGTTTAGTTGTTTAAATTGTCTTTTGATAAAATTTGTTTATAGAAAATGTTTAAAATACTAGGTAAAGTTCCAAAAAAAGCGGTCATACATTCCACCTGCTATTATACCATAGAGAGAAATACATATCTGGAAATGAGCCAAGACAAATTAATAAAGAAACTAGCATTTTAAGTTTAAAATAAAATTCAAAATAAGTCTTGCATATAAGTACGACTAAAATTTAGCATGTTTATTTTGATGACACTGCTCTTTTTGTGAGAAGTGTAAAAAAGTGCTAAATTCAATACCTACCATTTTTCTCACTTTTGACAATAGCTCTTGCCTCTGTTTCATTAGTAACTGCTGCATTGGCAGCTGCCAATGTTGAGGCAGCCAGTTCAGAGAATCTAGCATGGATGTGTTCTAATACATTGTCTGTAGATACAGCTGTCTTCTTCTTAGTCTTAGTTTTATCTTCTTTCCTCTTACGCAGAGCAGCTTGGACTTTCTCAAACCAGTCGGGACTAAGTCCAAATCTGTCACCAGCGCCATCTATCAAAATAAAACAAGAATATCATATTTAGTACAAAATAATACATTTGCTAAACAATATTCTTAGAAGCAGTAAATTCTATTTGATCTAGTTTTTGTTTTTTCTTAAAGCCAGGTGTTGCTGCTCAACTGTTTTTTTGGACTTAGTGAAAAATATCCAGTTTGCTTGTTTTTAGGTGAACAACGAAGTCTAGCCTTAGCTACTGTGGATTCATTTATTTTCGTGGATATCAATTTTTGTGGATTAAGGAAAAAATTGTATTTTCGTTACACGTGATTTCTTAGTTTAATGTAAGTCTGCATAAAAGCCTATATATAAAATTTGTACTTTGTTGAATATTTAAATTTGTGGTTCAACTGTACCCACAAAATCCATGAAAAATTGGTATCCCATGAATAAGTATCATAAAAAAAAATATGATCAGACCAGTTTATCTATTTTCTAGCTGGCAAAAAATGCCAACTAAAATTAAGTGTTCCTTGTACACTCAAGATGAAAAACCTGAAATGACTCTGCAGGAACTTACCACTGTCCAAGGTTATGGGCGGGTTGAGTACTGACAAGCATGTTTACCCCTTTCCCCCCACCACCAACATTCTTTTTGTACCTTTCCCAAGTCAGGAGCCTGTAAATCAGTGCATGGTTGCCGTTCGTTGTTGTTTACCAATTTATTTTTCATTTAATCTGTAGGTAAAACCATGCCGTTGTTTCTTGTTTAAATTTTTTTCATGCTGGGTCCTTATCATATGATTGGCTTTGCTCATTGTTGAAGGCTATAGGGTGTCCTACAGAAGCTTTCATCGAGGTCATTTGGACTGTTGTGGATATTTGTCTCATTGGCTATCATACCACATCTAATTTTATTTTTTCTAGGTAAATCTAAGGTAAAAACACCTAAAAATAGGTGTTTCATCTGTAAAATGTTTAAATAGATCTAGATAACACTCAAATTAAACTGCCCAGGTGCTGAAAGTATAGTTTAACACAGGAATAATTTTTTGTTGAACACATCTTTTTCTTCTTTTGTATTTTATGACAATACGAAAATGCATTTACTCAAAGGCTACCAGTATACAGGCATGATATATTTATGTTGTGTCAATACTATATATCTATCAATAATGATAAACACAAAAGACAAATAAATATATTTATATTTACCTCCAAAAGCTGCTGACCATGGTCTTGTATCAGATGCCTTTTCTTTAAACAGCTGTCTTATTAATGCTTCATCATCTTCATTTCTGATAGAAAATAAAATATATTAGACAAGATAGAGGGAGGAAGTACCTTTTTCGGGACTTCGGGATAGGCCTTTCCTTGCGGCATTTCAGGATTTACACTTATTTAGACTCAGGAATTAATGATTAATTTTTCGAGATCCTGGAAAGAATCCTTTATTTTTTTGAGATTCAAGATTCAGCATTTATTTTCTGGGGAATTCCAGATGACATCCCTCTCTTACCCTGCATCAAAATAATATTTAACCGTCAGTGATATAATTAAAGCCCATATACTCCCCTTCAGTCTTATTTTAAATCTAGTAATATAAATGCAGTGATTATTGCTGTCTCACAGTATATTTTTAATCTCTGTTGTTAATAGCAATTGTTTTGTTTTTGGTTGAGGATATTCTTTACTTTAATAATCCTTTGATGCAATTTGGACCTTGTCATAGCTCTTGTCCGTAGATAAATTTCAAATTTGTGCTCTTTCCCGTAAATTTCCTATGTCACAGTTACATCACAGTAAGAACTGTTTGTTCGATGACATCGTTTACGCCGATTGACCTGGGGTCAACCAGTGTAACTCATTCATTTTGGCCCTGCTCAAAAAAGAGCTTGAAGCCATTTTTCAGAGTGGAAATTTGAGAATGAAAGTATGTATAACTGTTATTTTCATAAAAATTTTCAAAGTTCAAGGCCCATATTTTCAGGAAAAATCAGTGGAGCTGAACCAGAAATAAACTAGGAATGACAGATAAGGGTAGAACTACATGGCCCAACAACTTTGTTGCAGGGCCATAAAAACAACTAGGTGTATTGTCAAAGATTATTGGGTAAAATGAAGACATCTTGCAACAAATTTCGTGACATTCCTTGTGTAACAATTCTGTCTAAAACCTCTCTTTAATTACACAATGTACTTGTTTTCTGCACCAGTACTATTAGAAATAAATTTGTGACATATTCCATGAGGTCCCATTCTCCCCAGAACCAGACTCAGGGTTCTCACTAGGAATTTTTCATGGTGAGTCCTGGGACTCATCACTTTTAGAAATGGTGAGTCCCAATAGATTTTGATGAGTCCAGGATGCATGTAATTTTTTGTGTCTTAATATGATGAAATAAAACTAAACGACGCGTGTTGGATTGGTAGTTTTTATTATATCAATAAAAGTTATTGTTCATTACAACAAATGAGCTGCTTCGGATAGAAATCGACCTTATGCAAGTGCACGTTTTCATGTACATGTGTAAGACTGTACTTGATTTTCAAACATTCAAATATGAAATAAGAGATGAATGTTGGTCTGTTTTGTTGGGCTCTTAAAATAACTAAATTTTCAAGCAGTTGTAGACTTTGCATGGAGGTTTTTTTAACCCGAAATAGGTAAACAGATGTATTGATATTTATTTGCATAAGGTCGATTTCTATCCGACGCAGCTCATATATAGACTGCCATTTCCTCTCTTTGTTTGGTTTAGTTGGTGTAGTGACTGAAGTTGTTGTTTCTGAAGATCTTTCTATGTCTATCAATTCTTGGTGTAGTGGGTCATTGACTCTTGGGTCTTTTACTTGCTTCAGATGATTCAATGTCATCAGGTTCCCTTTTGAAGGACTTTAACTTTGACTGACTCTGACATTGTGATGCTGATGTCATTTTTTTGGACAAGCCAGTATTTATAAGAAATTGGGATTGCATGAACACAGACTTGTCACAGTTCGTATTAATTATTATTAATCAATTTTAATTATATTTAATCATTGAGTCAATAATCACTTTGATGTTTGCATCATGATAATTTTTATAATCTTAGATAAAAACAAGCAAATCTAAAGTTAACATCGTAACCGTAAATCATTTTTTAATCTGATTTGTTTCAATTTCAAAACATTTTTCACCTTTGTTTATGATCGCGATGTTCAACATGCACAATACGAGAAAAATGTTAAATCATTTGAAGACCAGTAAAATTATTCTTATCCGTAAAATATTTAATCTACACTGTTCTACGATCTATTTTATGAATAGAAGCAACAGTTATGAAACACTATATCATTTCATCATGTTCATTTCAAGTTATCAAAATTTTTTACTTTCTTTTGTTTCAATCGATAAGTACGCGATGTTCAACACGTGGTAATATTCAAGCTTTTCAAATACTCGTAAAATTTTTAAAAATCGGTAACTATTACATATTCATTAATCAGTTTGAACAGAATTATTAATTTTTGGATAAAATACGTTTATTTATAAAAATAGTTATCAGTCAACAAAAATATTTATCTACGCATTACTTCATTTTTCAACATTGACTTCCGGTTTAGTTTCCTGTCAAAACAATGTCGACGATCATGAACCTTCTAGGCAAAACGATGTGTTTGGGACTCAGGCAATACAACAAGGACGCGTCCCAGGGACTCACGGGTTTCAAAAATGACGCGTCCAGGACGCGTATACGCGTCTTAACGAGAACCCTGCAGACTTTACTTATTTTCTGCACCAGTAACAAGGCTTCCAAAACGGTCATATATTCCGGACATTTGTATAATGTCCGGTAAAAGTCCGGCTGGGCAAAGCATGAAACGGACATCTACTTTTTAGTTTTCAAGGCTTTCTTAAGAGAAGGTCATTTTAACTTAATTCGCGATCTTTTTGACCCAACCTTTTGCCTTTAACAGCCACACATTTCCGGTCATAAAAGTGACATGATCATTAAGTACTATCAAAACAACCTCTACTTTAGTTCCTTCTCATTTTAATCAAGGCTAATTAGTTGTCGAACAGCTGAAACTTACCTGTTCAGGTGACAGGTAAACTATTTTGAACCGGACATTGATCGGTCTATTCAAAGTTATTTTCTTAATTTTCAGCGGTTTGCATCTAATTAATTTAGTCAAAAAGATTTAAATTATCAGAAATACGTTTACAAATATTATTTGATGAAAAAATTAAAAAGGTGAAAATGAAAAATCGTCATAACCACGTTGTTTGAACCAGAGACATGCATGTGCGCAGGTGTGAAATTTAATTATGCAGCCTAATTTCTTCAAAAAATGCTTAAATTGTCATTGATACCTTGATCTCAAGTTCATTTCGAATATTTTCTGGAAGAAATAACTTAGAAAGAGCTACTTACACTCATTCATGCTTTGCAAACGTACACGGAATTTACGTATCCGTCTCTGGTCCATGTTTTACCATTGTCAAGATAACATCCGGTTTAAAAACGAAAGTAAAGTTTTTGACAACGTTATTTTGCCCAAATAAAGAGTCTAAGGCAGATATAAGTACGCTGATGTTGCACACTTCGAATGATGCACTGCCAATTTAACAGTTACGTCAGAACTTCGAATTTGAATCAAAGAAAGTTTAATATCGTTTTATTAATGTCAATCATTGGGATGTCCAACTCAGCAACTGATTACCATAATTGCCTTTTGTTTATTTAGTCTTAAGGGATTAAAATCGGGATAATATATAAAATGTCCGGCTGGCTAAAAATAATTTTGGAAGCCCTGACCAGTAATATTAGAAATATATTTCTGACTGATTCCATGAGGTCCCTTTCTTTCCAGAACCTGACTTAATTACTTGTTTTCAGCACCATTAATATTAGGGCTGTTCCAAAATTTATGGGGTTGGGGGATGGTTGTTACTCAAATTAATGATATATGGGTGGTTGCATTTTCCTTAGAATTTTGTAAGAATTATCAGTAAATTGAAAATTTGTATTTTAAAGATGGTCGGGCTTCAAAAAGTGTGTCAATTCACCAATGAGTATAATTCTGGAACAGCCTATAAAAATTAATTTATGACTAATGCCATGAGGTCCCATTCTCTCAGGATCCTGACTTAACTACTTACTTGTTTTCTGCACCAGTTATGTTAGAAATAGATTTATGACTGGTTCCATGAGCTCCCATTCTGTCCAAATCATTTTCTTCCCATCTCATATTAATTTCTACATCATTGTCCAAAGACCTAAATTTAAGATATTTATAAACTAACATTAGACATTATTCTAAAGTTAAGTATTTTATTATCAACCAAATTAAAGATTTACCTTTCAACACTTTTCCATCACACAGTTTTCTGTGCATCTTATAATAACAGAAAATATCAAATTTACATACAAACCTAAAATCACAAACCTTCTAGAGCTAAAGTAAATAAATAAGGTACGATTTTCCTCTAATATAAACATTGCAAAATTGGTAGACAAATTACAAAATTTCTAGATCTTTTTCAATAATATTGTATTTCTTTTTAGACAGCAATGCTCCAGCTAGAAATCAAAAGGGGCAAGGTGCCAGTGGAGGGCAGGGCACTTTTTTATGAAAGGAAAAGGCACTGCTCATTTCTTTTGTCTACGTTTCTGTGTGTATCACGAGTTCACACTCTATTTTTTACTGTATATGTTGTTAATAAAGATGCATAAGTTGTTGTTTTGATTATTTATTCTATAAAATTTGCATTAGAAAATGTAATTCATATGACATGTTCATAAAGCATGTCAATACACATTCATACATCACATCACTATAATCTAATAGAGGCAAATTAACTTACTATTCTCCCCCCCTCCCCCACCACCCCTTTTCCAAAAAAAAACAACATAAAATAAACATCTCATAGTTTAGCATACATGTGACAGAGTTGTCTTATTTCAAAATGTTCAGCTTGAGTTTGACCCTCAATACTTTTTTTCATTGTTTGTGTTAAGGAATCATTTAGTAAAGCTTCATCAAGTTGATGTCATGATAGTATAACTTCACACTACCCATTTATGTAAGATTGCAGCTTAACATCATCATGACAATTAAACTTATAAATTTCTTAATTGACAATGTATAGAACATGGATTGCTAAAAGTATGATTATCAAAAATAAATTGCAATATATTTTTTTTTGGTATGTTCAAAGACAGTTAATATCCTTACGGTAACATTCTTATATAATTTTGTATTCAATTGGTAATTTATTCCTATTTTTAATACTAGATAATATTTTAGGAGCACAAATTTGTAATAAGCTAAAACAGGGGAAGTAACTCCAAAATTAATTTCTAACACGTTTACTGTTTGCTTGTCGCCCACAAGTTGAGATGGACAGCGTTTCTGTGAATGCATAGTTGTATTTTGATGACTTAAATTCTATTCTAAAGTCTGGAAAGTCTTCATTTATACACTCTTCTTGGAGATCGAAAATGCCGACCCAAGCAAAAACACTCGCTGACACATTCATCAAATTTATGACAAAAAGGTACATTGTCTTAATTAAATTACCTAGTTAACACCTTTGAAGTCTTATCCACTGTAATTGATTGTGATGACATGATTAACCTGGGGGCAATCACCTGGTGTCATATATGTAATTTAACTTTGTGATAAGAAATCGATGAAACAATAGGCAATTTTACCAAAACGGCACAAGGGTTTTTGGGAAAAAGGCGTCAGGGCAGAAGGGCGCGGATGAAGGCACACAGGGCGCGGCTGAGGGCACCCAGGGCACGGCGCCCTTCTATATTCGGCTAACGAGACCACTGGACAGTATTAACATTCATGAATATTTCTAATCTTCAAAGTGGTGATATTGATTAAAATAATTCTGCAAGAAAAGTTACAACAGGCAATGTTTTACCATCTATATGCATGCCATATTTTATCAACATTTATCAGTAAATGTTGAGATTTATATTGGTTCTTGGTGTTGATCATTTTTATCTACTTTTCTTTAAAAATGTTATAACTTTTGCTGTTTTTTAAATTTTTTTACATGTTTAGATCAATCTAATCTTCATCATATATCAATTTCCTAATTAAATTTTCATTCTTATCTTTGGACTTTCATTTTCTCCCCATTCTTTGTAATTGCACATTATTCTATTCCTATATAATTTTTGTCATTTTTTTCTTTATGTTGAGACCATCTATACTGTTCCTTTGTCAACATTTGTCTTGTTATTATTTTTTTTAATGTTTCTTAACTAGTTTTTTCATCAATATCATCTCTTCTGGTATTTTTCATTAATATCCTTTTTCTAAATAATCTAAGACTTTTTATTTTCCATTCTTTCCCCATGTTTATTGTTTACAATGGCATTTATTTTTACAAATATAACAACTTACATAGTTTCTTCATCTATATCATTTTCATCATTATTTTCAGCAGGGGCAAGAATCTGTTCTTCAAGGACCATTCGGGTGTTCTCTAATTCATCAATATCTCCTTCACTCAAACCCTGAAAACATTACCAATTCTTTACTTTGTTACATTTGTTTATTTGCATTTGCTTGTGTATCTAACACAGTAGTCTACATATGGCTACAAAGGTCAAATTTAAGTTGCAGGCCAAAAATTAGCCCCAAAAAATTAATTTCTTACATCTGAAGAATATATATCTAATGCGACTAACAATTCTAAAAAAGCGGCACCTGTTTGGAACTGAGCAAAATTTATAAAAATTAAAGTAGTTATACCAACAAGTAGTATTACCTGCTGTTAATGCATATAACATTCTAAACAATACACAACAACATTACGTTTTTTTTATTTATGACCATCTGGATTTTTCTCTTCTTCAAATTTTGAAATATTCTGTTTTTTGTCCAAAGAAATACCAGTAAATTTCTACCATTTGCCTAGATGTAGAAAATTTGGGATAAAGTATGCAGTATGCAAGGATGTTTAATAACTTAATTTTCAAGTTTAACTCATTAGAATCAATTATATCATTATCAAAAGTCACATCATCATTGTCAGAATGTTCAATTTCTATCTCTAATCCTGTGTCTGGAGGTTTGGGGAGCTGTATGGGGTGTTTTATACCTTAATTCTTAAGTTTTTTCTGTAATTTACCTCATTAGAATCAGTGGTATCATTATCAGATGTCACATCATCGTTGTCAGAATGTTCAATTTCTATCTCTGATCCTGTGCCTGGATGTAGAGGTTTGGGGTGCAGTATGGGGTGTTTGATAGCAGGATTATCCCCACCATGGGCCTCTATCAAAGGTAATGGTGACTCTGCAGATGTTCCCCTTTTGGACCTTCTGGACATCTCAATCAGTAATAATCTCTATAAATAAATAAGACACAATTGTTAAGGCATAGATCTTGTTCTGACACTATTGATAGATATCAGACTTTTCCAGAGAAAATTGTTTTGTCTGCTGTTGAATGGTAGTTTCTATCATCAAATGAAAGTGATATTGTAAAAATGAAACTCAAAATTAGATTTTTTTTCTGCATACAGCAGTAGTTTCATTACCTTATTACCAATAATATGCTAAAATTTATCTAACAGAAGTGATAACATATATGGCCATCATCCATACAATTACATTTTCTTTGCATACATAACCACACAATTTGAACTTCGTGACCTGCCCCCACCCATTCAAAAGTAATAAAAATGCCTTCCAACCCCCCCTTTATTTTTTTATATTTTTTCTGGAATAGCCCTTGTTAATATGTCTTTTGATTGAGTTTAGCCATTTCAATTGATATTTTATAGTGTGTCTTTCTGTGTTGTGATGTTACACTATTGTTTCAGGTAGGGTGAAGGTTGGCGCCTATTAAAACGTTTAAACCCCCTGCATTTGTTTGCACCTGTCCTAAGTCAGGAACCTGGAGTTCAGTGGATGTCGTTTTTTAATGTGGTTCATAAGTGTTTCTTGTTTCTCATATAGATTAGACCGTTTGTTTTCCTGTTTGAATGGTTTTACACTAGTCATTTTTGGGGCCCTTTATAGCTTGCTGTTCGGTGTGAGCCAAGGCTCCATGTTGAAGGCCGTACTTTGACCTATAATGGTTTACTTTTACAAATTGTGACTTTGATGGAGAGTGATCTCACTGGCACTCATACCACATCTTCTTAAATCTACTTAGTTGAAATTTTAAGAAAACATTAAATACCTCCTGCATATCATTTAACTGTGTCATATACTGGCTCTGGTAAAATTCTAACTGGTTTATATACCTGGAAAATATAATGCAGACTTAAGTAATATCTATAATAACACATTATTTTCAGATTATTGAATACCTTTAAATCTTATCAACATCTAATAAAACATTTGAGGATTTTAATTATCTTATAAGTACTTAAAATTCAGAAATTATTGCATGCATTTAATATTGCGATTTTTTAAGAATGGACAAAAATGAAAGATTAATTATTGCGATTTCTGGAAAATATGCATACAGATGTACTTAATACTTACTTACTTATCCTCTTCATCCCCAGTGTGACACAATGCCACAAATATACAGATATATATATATGAGATATCCAAATGCAAGTTCTTATTATTGCGATACTCACCCAGTCGCATTATTCACATTAATAAAAACCTTGCAATAATTTCTGAATTGACAGTATAAAATTTTGCTTTCATGTACCTACAGCATACAAATTTTCATGGTTTCTCTGTTTTCTTTATTAAGAAATTGTTCCTGTTATTCATTTCCTTTCTTTTATTCAACTTTATTTTCACAGTCCATTTACAGTATAAAATACGATCTAGCTTGGTGTCAATTGCAGATGACTGTAAAGTGACTTTCTGAAGTTTTGTCTATTTGTCTTTATTGGGCTACTGTCAACATCACTCCACTTATTTTTACGATGATGATGGATGACTGTTTTACGCCAAATGGCAAATTAAATGCATATTCAGAACATGTTAATGTGATTTTATTGAACACTGTTTTGTACTAGATCGACACGCTAATTTGTAGGAATTTTAGCATGCTAGTTCACAGGTAATAGTCAGCAGGAAGACATGTCATCCAAGCTGGACAGGTTTTTCTTAATCTGAGCCAAACAGTCCATGATCTTACTCCTAAATGCTGCATGCTTAGTGAAGAAGCAAATACTAATTTTCAACTCTTTTGACTGACAGGAAAAGTTATTGTACCCACAACTTGTGGTGAGGATGCCAACAAGTTCTCTTTTTATGTGTCTAGCAAAAAATTTATCATTAACTTTCTTATATACCTACCAATGTTGATCCCTACATTTCTGATAAAATGTTGGTGGTCTGACTTGGAATCGGAGGATGAGAGTGTCTGTGTCTGTATCGAGATAACCCTCACTGGCAAGTAGATCTAAACGGAAAAATCTGTTGTAACCCCAGCATTCACCTACTTCAAAATCTGAGGCAAATTCTCTGACGATATTCTTACTGGAGTCACGGCTAGCTTGATGGACCATTTCTACCCTGTATTCATATCTGTAATAGGAATTTGGGAAAATGATAATCTAAATTGTTATTTCTTATTATCAATTATATAAATTGTTATTTCTTATTATCAATTATAAAATTAATACAAATCATGACTTTACAACACTACTGACTAGGGTAGATTTACTATCAAACGTGAAAGAATGCAGGATTTTTAATGTGATCTTTCCTTTATTCTTATAAAATTACTTTAGACTATTAAATTTGGATTTAATACCGATCATGTCATTTCAACACTACTGACCATGGTATAACTACTACCAACCATGAACGATTTTTCAATGTAATCTTTCTTTTATTCTTTTAAATTTGCTTGTGAGTAATCATCATTACTAAAGAAAATTTTCCATCTTACAGTTATACTTTAGTTTTGTCTACGAGATATAAAAGAACGTGCTTTAAAGGAATCATTATACACTGTGGTCTTATAATTTTTTGTGGTATACCAATTTTTCGTGGATTTTGTGGGAAAAGGTTAACAATTTCAACAAAGTACAAATTTTCTATAGACTTGTATGTCACAAAATTGAATATCTAGAAAATACAATTTTTCATCATTCCACGAAAATAATGAAATACATAGTATATAAATTCATTGGTTACAAATAACAGATAAAAAACATAAGCACAATGTGAGTAGTTGTGTATATAGAAAATTCAGATAAATTGACTTACTTGGAAGTTTCAGATAACCCAGCAGATAGCTCCAGGAAGACAGAAAGATAATTACCTCTCACTACACCATTACCATCCTAAAGGAAATATAACTTATTAAAGTAAAAATTGGACCATTAAATGACAACTTTTCAAACCTCCAAGGTAGGAGATGTCCTTGAGGGTAAAACTTTATGGAAGGAGATTGGCTATAGAACCTATTCACATGGTAGTTAAATAACTAATATTCAATTTTTTTTACACTCAATATTTAAATGAATCAAACCATTAATGCAAAAATATCAATGGTATAATATATATTATTAACGCTGGAGTATATAATAGTGGAAATCTTTCAGATTTTATGATAAAGATGGATAGTGTTTGAACTGTTAGAAGAGGAAGACAAAGACTAGGTAACAGGTAACACTGAAACAACAAGACGTCAAGAGAGTTGACATCTATGCATAATAAATAAGGAAGAATTTCAGACAATTTTTAACTAAATCAGAACATTGAAACAACTTTTTAAGTATTAGAATCATTACAGCAGATTCCATTGAGTGTGTAGCCAAAGGTAATATCTTTGGTTAGCTTGCTTGTTAGCTGAACCGTGAAGTCATTGTTAGGTTAGGTAAACTACCCTACTTTAAGAATAGACTTGTCCGACAGAAAACCAATCGATCTGTCTGTTGGACTATGCTACTTCGAAAGGAGGGTAGTATACCTGACCTAATAATGACTTCACGGTTCAGCTAACAAGCAAGCTAACCAAAGATATTACCTTTGGCTACACACTCAATGGAATCTGCTGTAAACACATTTTAAAGCGAGAGTCACCTTCTGTTTTAAATTATGGATATTTTGAAATATAGTGGTTCAATTTCAATGAATCTTGAAGCTAAACAGTTGTAATTGTAACATTTCTAATATGCCAAATACAGTATCAGAAAAAGTTTATTGTACATAAACAAAGGGTACGTCATCATTTGTAAGGCACACATCATAGAATTCACATGCCCAACAAGTAATGTGTAAGTTCAATAGAATGCTGGAAGATCATGTTGAGAAGTAAGTCAATCCATATACTGTCAATTCAGAAATTATTGTGAGGTTTTCATTAATGTGAATAATGCGACTTGGTGATTGTCCCAATAAGAACTCGTATTTGCGACTTGGTGATTGTCCCAATAATAAGAACTCGCATTCTGATATCAGATAAATATATCTGTATGCAGATTTTCATGAAATTGCAATAACTAATCTTGATTTTTTGTCCATTCTAATAATAAATGCATGCAGAAACTTCTGAATTTACAGTAAATGTTTGTGTCAATTAGATCCGAGTGCCCTACATCTCAAAACTTACAGGATAAACTTCAAAGCCTCCAAATTAGTCCTGATACATTTAATGGCCGACTATATAAAAAGGGTCTGCCCTTTGTTGTAACATATCCCAAGTTTGAGATTATTACTTCACTGTATAACTTACAGGATAAACTTTAAGCCTCCAACTAAGTCCTGATACATTTAAAGGCTGACTATAAACAGGGTCTGCTCTCTGTTGTAATACACTGAAATTCTTCATCACAAAGGTACTGGTGTCATATGGTGGTACTATCTCACTGAAAATGACAATAATATGTAACATAATTTAATATAAATTAAAAATGTAACTGAATGCAGCTTCTTTCTTAACAGACAAAAATTCAAAATTGTAATATAGATATATTGTTGGAAGGCAATTATTGTTACTTTCCATATATCATAGCAATGACATGAACATTTGTTTTTTTGATAGGGGAAAGCAAAAAACTAGAATAAATCACCAAATTTGAAAAGTTAATTGATAAATTCTACAACTTACAAGAAGATCAGGTACACTATAATCTACCATAACTGCAATAAGTAGAAGGAAGATGTCAAACAGCTATATAGACCACTTGGCAACACAGTAATGTTAATGTACAACTAAAATAAAATAACCATGCAAAATCAGAAGTGACCACAGCTGTAACTAAGGAACCCACAAGTTTCCTCTGCACATACCTAGTAAATTCAGTCAACTGTAGCAGTTTTAAAGGAATCCATATCCTCTGGATATACCTAGTACTTTGTACTTACCTGGTAAAGTCTGCCGGGACTGCAGCAGTTACAAAGGAAGCCATGGGTTTTCTCTGGACCTCTTTAAACATTTCAACTAGTTCAGTACTAATATTAATCAGTTCATTCTTGCCACATGTGGTCAACTTTTGATTGACTTTCTGTATTAATGATTCTAGTAGTTCTGTTTCCTGTGTTAAGTGACTTCTCTGACCTTAAATAGCAAAAAGTTAAAAGTACTGTAAATTCAGAAATTATTGCGTGCATTTATTGTTGTGATTTTTGAAGAATGGACAAAAAAAATCTGCATACAGACATATACATCGAATTCAGATTGCGAGTTCTTAGTAAAGTAAACTTAAAACTGCATATCCATAAACTTTGTTGGCTATTAAACAGGAAATTGTAAAACCAATAATCCAAGGACAACAATCTTCAATACACATCAGAAAGCATTAAGTAATAGTACATTATGTACAATGAGGCATGCTAAAAACTGCAGACTTTGATACTTTTTTTGAAGATAAAACAGAGCACTTTATTAATTTAAAGCATATTTATGCAAATAACATGAAAAGAATAATTGAAAGGGTGATTTGATTTTATATATTTGACGTCATTATGGGCCTATTGTTTGTGTTTTGACAAAGGTCAAAAGCAGCTTGTTACTTAGGGCTATTCCATTAAAATGTATGGGAGGGTAGGAAGGGACTTTCAAAATATCCCTACAACCAAGAACCATTTTTTAGGTAATTTTGCATAATGGTAATAGATGCATACTGAAAAAAGACCCATGACCCACATTCAATAATTGACTTCCCTTCCTACCCTCCCACATACATTTTAATGGAATAGCCCTTATCATTTGTGAACATTTTAACTGATGTATTCAACTGTGTTAATAGTAATAAAATCAGAGATATTGATTGACTATGCACATTCATGTGATCTGTCTATCAACACAAACTGATGTTATTTATTTCATTTTAATTTTAGGGTGAAAAGTGTTCAAATACTAGTGCAAACTTGATGATTCAAAACAGTGTAATGTATGAGATGTTTAAACATTGATATACCAGGAATATACAGGAAATTTCACGTGGATTCAATTTTGGCAGTTTTCAGCTGCGTAAACAAAGCAAAAATAAAACACACGCTGAAAAAACCTGCAAATTTGGTATATATATAATAAAACAATGGTTTGTCACAAATGAAGAACCCAAAATGAAAATAAAGTATTTGATTTTTTAAGCAGGTATCTTTTATGCTGTCACCAGGGAAGGTATATATTTTGTAACATTATAGCAAAACTTGACATCATAATGAAATTTTCAGCCAAGAAATAACTGAGAACAAGTGACCACGCAATCAGTTGCATTGACTATTTAAAATAATCAATTGTTTGAGGAAATTATAAATTGGCTAAAAATGAGACAATAACAAATAACTTGACATATAATTTCTCATGAACACACCCTACATCAAATTTTTGTTGTAATTTTAATATTGGGTTCCCTACTTGACAGTTAACAAATACTTACCCATTAATGTAAGTAGTTTAGATTTAAGTTGTGATTCTAGTCTTGCAATCATTAATTCTACTGCATTCCTTATCTCTCTGACTCTTTCATCTTTTGCTGTCTTTACGCTTTCGATATTTCTTTCCTAAAAGAAAAACATGTTTTATTACAATTTATGGATCAAATTTTAGACAAAATTGTGACATACTCTGGATTCATTTATTTTCATAAATTGAGGGAAAATCGTATTTCATGGAAATTGGATTTTGTGGTTTTGCAAAAATCTGCATAAATTGAAAATGTGTACCTCGTTGAAAATTTTATTTCATGGTTGATCATACCCACAAAGTCCATGAAACTTCGTACAGGTAAGAAGAATATAATGTAAGTTTAAAGTGTAACTTTTTCAAGCAAAAGCTACCTTAGCAGATCTCACGTACTATGTCCTTTGTGTCCTTTATAATTATGATGCTCCAAAACTTTTTATGGTGTTTATTATAACAACTGATCCAGGTCCAAAATTTGTTCTTATTATCGTTTTATTAAGAGTTCCTCTATTTTCCTATAGTATGGATTGAGTTATTCTCGTGGATTGAGAAAAAAATGTTTTTTTCATGGATATTTGATTTCGTGGTTTTGCAAAGTTTTCATACAAGACTATAATAAATTTCTAATTTGTTGAACATTTACATTCAAGGTTTACCATTACCCACAAAATTGATATCCCACAAATAAAAATGAATCCACAGTATTACTATGATACTAACCACATCCTGAACAAGACTTATCAATTCCACATGTCTTCTCTTCAACTGGTTCAATTCATCTGTTATCTTCTTCACATGCTCATCATACACACCATCTAGAGGTTTAAATGTGTGACCAGAATGCTGAAAATTAGAACAAATCTTTAATGTTATGATGATGATAATGGCTGTTTAACGTCCAGCAGGAAATTAAATGCATATTTAGGACAGGAACATGTAAGAACCATATGAATTTAAACCCACCTGTGTATTTGACTGACATTCAGAGCCAGATATCTAAAGGTTCCCCAGACATCCTACCCATAAAACATTATTCTGACTCCAAGCCAAGCACTTGCTTTAACTTCTAAATGCTGCATGCTTAGCAGAAAAAACAGCAAATACCAATTTTAAAGTCTTCTGTTTGACATCGCTAGGAATCAAACCCACAACCTCCCACACTCAAGATGAGAGTCATACATGAAAGACCAATGAGGTAAGTCTTCTATTTGACACTGCTAGGAATCAAACCCACAACCTCCCACACTCAAGGTGAGAGTCATACATGAAAGACCAATGAGGTAAGTCTTCTATTTGACACTGCTAGGAATCAAACCCACAACCTCCCACACTCAAGGTGAGAGTCATACATGAAAGACCAATGAGGTAAGTCTTCTATTTGACACTGCTAGGAATCAAACCCACAACCTCCCACACTCAAGGTGAGAGTCATACATGAAAGACCAATGAGGTAAGTCTTCTATTTGACACTGCTAGGAATCAAACCCACAACCTCCCACACTCAAGGTGAGAGTCATACATGAAAGACCAATGAGGTAAGTCTTCTATTTGACACTGCTAGGAATCAAACCCACAACCTCCCACACTCATGGTGAGAGTCATAAGATAAGACCACTGAAGTGGTTCTCACATTCATTAAAGATAATATTTAGTTAAGGAGATATTTCATCTGTATCCCTAAGACAAGTGAAAATAAAACCCTCAAAAATATTTCCAAAATTACAGAACATGTTCATTATCTAAATTAGATTGAAAGCCGAATTTATAACTAATAATTTAATCATGAAAGGATGAAGTATAAAACCTATGTCTTATGTTTGTATACAACTGTGACTGCTCATGTATGATGTCTTTTTTATCATATAATGTGAAACTTAAAACAAGAATGCATCCATAGTACATAGATGCCCCACTCGCACTATCATTTTCTTTATTCAGTGGACTGAGTAATTGGGGCCAAAACTCTAATTTGGCATTAAAATTAGAAAGATCATATCATAGGGAACATGTGTACTAAGTTTCAAGTTGATTGGACTTCAACTTCATCAAAAAATACCTTGACCAAAAACTTTAACCTGAAGCTGGACAGACGGACGGATGAACAGACGCACAGGCCGAAAAAAAACATAATGCCCCTAGGTGGAGCATAAAAAAAAAAAAAGAATACATGCCAGGGCTGACTTGAAACGAAAGAATAGAACTGGGAAGTACACATATTTAACCCCACTTTACTTACGGTTCCACCCCACAGGGCACATTGATGACATATACTCTGTTTACAGGTCCAACAATACACACTCAATTTCTCTCCATGGTGTTCATCACATCTGCAAAAAAATAACTGAACATGAAACAAAATCTACTTTTATTTCTGTCAGCATTGGTCTGGGTTAAAGTTGAAAAAGCATCACTCATAACTGGCAACCACTTATATCATAGGAATCAAAGTGCTTGTCAATACTGAAGGATAAAGATTGCTTTCATTTTGCAATGTGAACTTAAAAATTAAACATTCACTCTCTTGAACGTATGACTTGTCCTCTGCAAACTCTACAATGGGATCAATTATATATTATTAAATATAACTTAAATATCATGCATAAATGTCTGTACAATATACTGCATTATATAGAGATTCATACACAACTACATTGCCTAACTAAAAGTGTTTTTTTATAATTTCAATTAAACACATTTAAACGTTATCAATGAATTGCCTCTACCATAGACTACACTGCTACAACACTGTCCAAGGTTATATGCAGTGTTAGCACTAGCAAATAAGCTTAACCCAGCCACATTGAATATGTGCCTGTCCCAAGCAGCAGCCTGTAATTCAGTGGTTGTTGTTTGTTGCTGTATATATTTTGTTTTTGTTTATTGTTTTGTACATAAATCAGAAAGTTTTGAATTATTTTATATTTGTCATTTATACCTTGCTTTGCGGTATGGGTTTTCTTCATTGCTGAAGGCAAGTACAGTGACCAATAGTTGTTAATTTCTACGTCATGTTTCTGGTGGTGGAGAGTTGTCTCAGCAGCAGTCATATCACATCTTCTTTTTTTTTTATATAGTCTAATGTAAAAAAGATCAAACATTCCTATTACTGGTCTTACTTGTCTTTATCTGGTTCTTCTTTTTTACTAGGTGATGGAGCACTCTCTTTCAGAGAATCTAACTGATTTGTAACCTCTTCAGCCCATCTACAGTTTACCAGCTCATGGATATGGAGGGATGCTCTAAAAAACATTTTAATAAATTATAAAAGAATGGCTCTTGATTGGAATCTTCATTAAACATTATTGATAGGTTTAGCTATATTCAAAAGGATGCAGACATGGAGAATGTAAATTATAAGGGAAACAAGTTTGAGGGGCGTAAAGGGGGGGTATCTGCAAGGAAGAACGCGAAATAAAATTGCCATTTCACGATGGACGAACAATTAAAAATTTCTTGCACGTTGATCTTTTTACCGATTTCACAAAACACGGTGAATAACGAACCTTTTTCACGGCTGCACGTGAAATAAAAATGGCAAAACACGTTGCACGAAAATAACCCTTTACCCCCTCAAGTTTCATTTCTCAATTGGCATATATTATTAAACCTTTAACATTGAATTCTTCAATCTCACTGACCTCTTCAAGATGAAACTTTTCATAAATATTCATACAATCTATTTGTACTGTATTATCCCACTTAGTTTACATATCTGCACACAGTGTAATTGAAAGACAATATCATGAAGTATCAAACTTTTTAAGGATTTTTATATTTGTTTTATGTTTCATATTGCCTAAGGGCTATTCCAAGTCAAATGAACCTTCCAAAACATTTTTTCCCTGGAATAGCCCAAAAGATATCCATATTTGTTCAAGTTAAAAGTTTAAGGTCTAATGTTTTTAGGACACAGCTAACCAGTACTGGTCGGGGAACCCCCAGCCCATTTGATCAGGTGATCAGGTTACTGCTGAACAAATTTGTCAGTCATATATGTGCAGGTCTTTTATTTCTGTTTTCTTTTTTTTGGGGGGGGGGGGGGGGGGGGGGTGATTTTTGTTTCTTTAAAAGTAATGCTTTCTCTGAAAAAATCTCCAGAAAATTGTTTTACTATTAAATTCATCATTAATTCTATGACTTCTTTTTTCTGTACATTATTTCTGTAATGATTTTTGTGTTACCTAATTCTTTCATTTTCCAGCGTTATTCTTTAAACTTTGTGTTACCTAATTCTTTCATTTTCCAGCGTTATTCTTTAAACTTTGTGTTACCTAATTCTTTCATTTTCCAGCGTTATTCTTTAAACTTTGTGTTACCTAATTCTTTCATTTTCCAGCATTATTCTTTAAACTTTGTGTTACCTAATTCTTTCATTTTCCAGCGTTATTTAAACTTTTCACCCTGTTATTCTCTAATCTTTATTCTTTGGACTCATTTTTCTCTATTAATTTTTTTTGTCATTATTATTTATTCTTTTAACCCATCCAGACCCTCATATATATTTACCTTATATGTATTCTTACCTACAATGTGGACATTGTGATCTTTGTTCTGTAAGCCATCTCTGAAACAGAATTGAGTTACATATAATTTTCCAATTCTTTTAAATGTATTACACATCAAAATGGCAGTGTAAAGGTTTAAATATATACATGTACCTGTCATAATGTTTCAAATACTGTAAAAACAAGAAATTATTTGAATCTGGAATAAGTTTGAATTCTGGAATATTGATAATAAAATGTATGATAGAAACTAACCAAAATAAAGAGGGTTTATAGCCATGCATGCATGTACATGTATGGTTACTGTTAACTAACTACCCCCCCCCCCCCCCCCCCTTATTCATAAAATTGAGAATGGAAATGGGGAATGTGTCAAAGAGACAACAACCCGACCACAGAACAGACAACAGCAGAAGGCCACCAACAGGTCTTCAATGCAGCGAGAAATTCCCGCACCCGGAGGCGTCCTTCAGCTGGCCCCTAAACAAATATATATACTAGTTCAGTGATAATGAACGCCATACTAAACTCCAAATTGTACACAAGAAACTAAAATTAAAAATAATACAAGACTAACAAAGGCTAAGAGGCTCCTGACTTGGGACAGGCGCAAAAATGCGGCGGGGTTAAACATGTTTATGAGATCTCAACCCTCCCCTTATACCTCTAGCCAATGTAGAAAAGTAAACGCATAACAATACGCACATTAAAATTCAGTTCAAGAGAAGTCCGAGTCTGATGTCAGAAGATGTAACCAAAGAAAATAAACAAAATGACAATAATACATAAATAACAACAGACTACTAGCAGTTAACTGACATGCCAGCTCCAGACTTCAATTAAACTGATTGAAAGATTATGTCTTCATCATATGAATATCAGGCACAATCCTTCCCGTTAGGGGTTTAGTATCATACCATCATAACATATATGAGAAGAACATAACCCGTGTCATGCCAACAACTGGTTTTTAAATAAATGTGTTTAGTGCCGATGCAAAGACCCTATAAGTGAATCAATATTAACGCCAAAATATGCAATCTTTAATGACCTGACAACAGTATCGTAACTATATCCCTTCTTAATAAGTTTATTTAAAGGTTTTGTTAGTTTCAGAGGTGAATACTGACATTTTTGTGCTTTATAAAGAATATTTCCATAAAAAATTGGATGTGAAATACCTGAACGTATAAGAAGTCTGCATGTTGAGCTATATTTACGAATGATGTCCTTATACCGATGATAAAATTAGTAAATGTTTTGACTAGTTTGTGATATCGAAAACCCTGGTGTAATAATTTTTCAGTAATACATAAATTTCTCACGTTAAAATCTAAAACATTGTTACATACACGAGCGAATCGTACAAGTTGAGATATATAAACACCGTAAGATGGTGACAAGGGAACGTCACCATCTAAAAATGGATAATTAACGATAGGAAATGAAAAATCATCTCTTTTATCATATATTTTAGTATTAAGCTTTCCGTTAATGATATAGATATCAAGATCCAGGAAAGGGCAGTGGTCATTGTTAGTATTAGCTTTATTTAAAGTAAGTTCAACAGGATAAATTTCTTTAGTATACATACTGAAGTCGTCATTATTGAGAGCCAAAATATCATCCAAATATCTAAAAGTATTATTAAATTTGTGTATCAGATGTTGTTTCGATGGGTCTTTACTGATTTTTGTCATAAATTGTAACTCATAGCAATACAAAATAAAATGCTCTGCAGGGCGCAGCTTGATACGACCGCAGAGGTCGAACCCTGAACAGTTGGGGCAAGTATGGACACAACATTCAAGCTTGATACAGCTCTGAATTTGGATTGTGATTAAATATTTGACACAGCATAGGTTTCTGACACAGAATGAATGTGGTCTAAGAACTTAAAAATTTTAAATTGGACATTCACCTATTATGGTCCAATATCCAAAATCTAAATACATGGTTAGATTCAGCATATCAAAGAACCCCAAGAATTCAATTTTTGATGAAATCTAACAAAGTTTAATTTTGGACCCTTTTGATCTCAATGTGGACAAAGTTGATAACGGGGCCCAAAAATCAAAAATCTAAATACATGGTTAGATTCAGCATATCAAAGAACCCCATATATTCAATTTTTGTTGAAATCAAACAAAGTTTAATTTTGGACCCCGATTTGGACCAACTTGAAAACTGGGCCCATAATCAAAAATCTAAACACATGTTTAGATTCAGCATATCAAAGAACCCTAAAAATTCAATTTTTGTTAAAATCAAACTAAGTTTAATTTTGGACCCTTTGGACCTTTATGTAGACCAATTTGAAAACGGAACCAAAAATTAAAAATCTAAATACACGGTTAGATTTGGCATATCAAAGAACCCCAAAAATTCAATTTTTGATGAAATCTAACAAAGTTTAATTTTGGACCCTTTGGACCTCAATGTGGACCAATTTAAAAACGGGGCCCAAAATCCAAAAACTTAATACACGGTTAGATTCAGCATATGAAAGAACCCCATATATTCAATTTTTGTTGAAATCAAACAAAGTTTAATTTTGGACCCCGATTTGGACCAACTTGAAAACTGGGCCCATAATCAAAAATCTAAATACATGGTTAGATTCAGCATATCAAAGAACCCCTTATATTCAATTTTTGTTGAAATCAAATAAAGTTTAATTTTGGACCCCGATTTGGACCAACTTGAAAACTGGGCCCATAATCAAAAATCTAAATGCATGGTTAGATTCAGCATATCAAAGAACCCCATATATTCAATTTTTGTTGAAATCAAACTAAGTTTAATTTTGGACCCTTTGGACCTTTTTCTAGACCAATTTGAAAACGGAACCAAAAATTAAGAATCTAAATACATGGTTAGATTCAGCATATCAAAGAACCCCAATAATTCAATTTTTGATGAAATCAAACAAAGTTAAATTTTGGACCCTTTGGACCTCAATGTGGACCAATTTAAAAACGGGGCCCAAAATCCAAAAACTTAATACATGGTTAGATTCAGCATATTAAAGAACCCCAAAAATTCAAGAATAAAACCCCATTGAAATTGATCAAGAAATAAGCAATTTATACGAAGTATATTCTTTTGCACAATACTGTGCAATTGAATATTTCTTGCTATTGCGCAATACTGTACAATTGACAATTTCTTGCTATTGCGCAATATTGTGCTATTGGATATTTCTTGCTATTGCGCAATACTGTGCAATTGAAGATTTCTTGCTATTGCGCAATACTGTGCAATTGAAGATTTCTTGCTATTGTGCAATACTGTGCAATTGAAAATTTCTTGCTATTGCACAATACTTATTGTATAATAATTTACACATCCTGTTTGGTGTGTATCTCCTACCATATCATTATTATTTGCTTTTAAATATAAATCAGAAATAACCAACTTAAAATGGAAAATTTTAAAAGAAAAAAAAAAGGAAAAAAAAAGAAACCCCCCCCCCCCCCTCCCCCAAATTTTTTGAACCCCCTTATGATTCATCACCCCCAAACTCAATCCCAGCCTTCCCTTTGTGGTATGGTATCTTGCAGTACAATTTCAGAGAGATCCATACACTTGAACACAAGTTATTGTCTGGAAACTAGAAAAATGCTTATTTTTGGCCCCTTTTTGGCCCCCAATTCCTAAACGTTTCGGGCAATTACCCCCAAACTCAATTCCAGCTTTCCCTTTGTGATATGGAACCTTGTAGTACAATTTAAGAAATATCCAAACACAAACACACAAGTAATTGTCATGAAACTAGAAAAATGCTTGTTTTTTGCCCCTTTTTTGGCCCCTAATTCCTAAAATTTTGAGGCAATTACCCCCAAAATCAATTACAGCCTTCCCTATGTGATATGGAACCTTGTGGTACAATGTCAGAGAGATCCATACACTTACACACAAGTTATTGTCTGGAAGTTACAAAAATGCTTATTTTTGGCCCCTTTTTGGCCCCTAATTCCTTAACTGTTGGTACCATAACCCCCAAAATCAATCCCAACCTTCCTTTCTTGGTATTGAACCTTATGGTAAAATTTCATGGAGATCCATTCACTTAAACTAAAGTTAGAATGCGAAAACCAATGTGTCTTCGGACGACGACGACGACGCCAACGTCATACCAATATACGACCAAAACATTTTTAATTTTTGCGGTCGTATAAAAAGGTCCGCAATAAGTGGTGCACAGTTAGTCCCCATTGGAATTCCGATAACCTGACGATATACGGAATCTCCAAAGCGAACAAAAATGTTATCTAGTAAAAATTCAAGGGCATATATAGTATCAAAGCATGTCCAATTGACATAGTTTTTTTGTTTATTGCTACTAAAAAATGACCTAAAAGAGTTTGAACATATATATTCACATTCTGACTTTTTAAATGCCCATTTAATTAGGTGTGTGAATTTTTTCTTAATGAGAATGTGAGGCAATGTGGTATATAGGGTAGAAAAATCAAAACTTTGAACAGATTCAAAATCACCAATATATGCATGCAATTTATCAAGTACTTCCAATGAGTTCTTGACACTCCAAAAGTAATTAATTCCACTATTTTCGAAGGCCTTATTTGAACAATTTATTATCAGGTTTTCGATTGTACCAAGTGTACTGGTAAGAAGAATAGACAATTTAGTAGTGGAACAATGGCTTGAAGACGAAATGAATCTATATTTGTAAGGTGTTTTGTGTAGCTTCGGAAGCCAATACATAGTTGGGACTTTCATTGTATTTGGTTCTGCTTGTAAAGCGGTAGCTAAAAGTTTATGTTTGTTACAGATGTCGTTTTCTGAAAATGGAGTCAGTTGGAATGTTGGTGAATTGGTGATTTCTTTTTTCAGAACCTCAATGTAAAATTTACGTCAAACAATAATAATATTATTAGCAGCTTTATCGGCCGGGACAAAAACAAATTCCTTGGCTAGTTCTTTTAGTTTATGTTTGATACGAGAAATAGGTTTATTGTGGTTATTGTTAAGAGTAAAATGTTCTTTAAAATGTTGAATACGTATATCAACTATGTTCATTACTGATTCAAAAAAAGAGTCCAAAGATTTTTTGTCAGCTTTTTCCCGTTTTATCCATTTCAAACAGTAAGTATGGAGTGAGTCGTGGATGATATTACGACACTCATTCCAATTAATAATTGACGGGGGACGATATTTAGGTCCTTTACTGAGGAATGATTTTAACTCTCGGTCTTGAACGATGTTAAGATCTCCTGTTATAACATGGGAAATGGGTCCATAAATGTATTCGGAATTACTGCAATTACATGAAGTAGGTGTATTTTCACTGATATTAACATCTTTACACAATTGGCTATAATTAAACACAAATTTCCGGGTAGATTTCTTGTAAATATAACAAATAAGAGGGAGCTCAGTATTATCAAAATATCCCGAAATTTGTTCTTTAACAGAATGGTCGTTAAAAATACCGGCAATATTTACAAAATCAAAACCTTTATTGACATACTTTATTTTAATAAACTGTTTTTTATGATCTTCAGGGCGATCAATTTTGGGAAACAGTTTAGAATAACAATATGCCATTATAATTTGAACGATTTCATACTTAGGACTGCTATATGAAATTGTGTTGCAATCCTCTAAAATTTTATTTAACTTATTAACCGGTAATGAACAGAGCTTTGTTAACAGATAATGTCTGCCGTTGTTTTTTGAAATAGAAATTAGGTCCGAAATATTGGTATGATTGGTCCGAAATTTTCTTTGATTGCGATTTTTTCTACGACCATGAGAACGGTTTTTACGAACAGTTTTAGAAACTATATCCAAAATGTTAACAGAATCGGTTCTTGATATATTACCAATTCCCATGATATTATCATTAAGACCGAGAGGGTAGACTGTCTGTAATTTTTTAATCCAATTTAATTCAATTATTTTCCGCGATCGTACAAACTTTGAATGAGATTCACCAGGCTGCTTATTTACTACTTCTAAAGGTTGAACTGCTAAATATTTAATAGGATGATTTCTTATCAATAAAAGTAATAATGGCTTGCCAAATATTCAACATGTTGAATGTGGGCGGTTCATGGAAAAATTGCAATAAATGGTGTAACTTCTGAAACTATTTAACAACATATTTCAGAGAACTGCAAAGTGAACGAAGTTTTGCCTCAGAAATGTTTTTGGTTGGCAGCAGTAACTGTTCATGACAGATTAAAACTATACATAGCCTTGTTGATCCTACACAATTCAAAAGCACTTTCCCTGATACATGAAAAACAGCAGAGCAATTCATCCTCATACTCTGGAAAAACAACAGAGTTACTTACCCTGATACATGAAAAACAACAGAGCAATACATCCCCATATTCTGGAAATACAACAGTTACTTACCCTGATACACGAAAAACAGCAGAGCAATTCATCCTCATACTCTGGAAAAAAAAGAGTTACTTACCCTGATACATGAAAAACAACAGAGCAATACATCCCCATATTCTGGAAATAGTTACTTACCCTGATACATGAAAAACAGCAGAGCAATTCATCCCCATACTCTGGAAAAACAACAGTTACTTACCCTGATACATGAAAAACAGCAGAGCAATTCATCCTCATACTCTGGAAAAACAACAGAGTTACTTACCCTGATACATGAAAAAAGGCAGAGCAATTCATCCTCATACTCTGGAAAAACAACAGAGTTACTTACCCTGATACATGAAAAACAGCAGAGTTTTGAACAGTGTGGACACAGCCTAGCATCTCTCAATTTTTCCATACAAATAAAACATCTAAACACCTCCGCCAAACTCTACAACAGAAAATTACACACAATACATTTAAATTATTTAGGTATGTGATTTTTGTGTTTGTTTTATAGACACATGATAGACAAATGGTTACTCAGTTATTATTAACGCCAGATAATCAGTTTGTACTTTTTTTTATTCTGTGTTTGTTTGGGCACTGCATTACTTCATAAATTGTTTTTTTCATGCGAACACAATGAAGAAATAGGACCCATTTGTCTATTTAAAATATCGTAAATTGTTAGCAAAGAACATTTATTCGAGATATAATCTTGTCCAAAAGTTCACTTTAAACAAAGGTCAACAAAATGTGTCAAACTTAACAAACTGCATTCCAGTACTGATCCTGATTTCTTGTGCCAGTGTATATATATTGTTGACAGGTTTGTTTTATGATTGTATATGATTTATGGTAATTTTAAGTACATGTATCAGCATTCAGTTTTATTCTTATTTAAAAAACACTGTTTAACAATTAACTTCTTATCTACTTGGCACAGGTACCTTTACAGTTCACTACTACACACTGCTGATTAGTTAGCTACTGCAGCTGAATTGTAGGTTAACTACCAGAGAAAATTTGCAGTGAGAGAATTTTTCACAAATTGTTAAGGATGTGTTATGAGTACTCTAATTAAATGCTTAATTAATCAGTATTTATTGTATATTTATTGAAAAATGAAACAAATACCAAATCAATTTCAACAAGGAATTATTTGAATCTGGAATAATTTTGAATTCTGGAAAATTGATTAGAAATGTATGATGAAAACTAACCCAACTAAATAGGGTTAGCCATGCGCGCATGGCTAAGGTTAATTTTACTTTCACTATCATTTCAGTATGAACTAACTAACCCCCCTTAGCCATGTGCGCATGGCTAACCCTTTTTAGTTGGGTTAGTTTTCATCATAAATTTCTCATCAATTTTCCAGAATTCAAAATTATTCCAGATTCAAATAATTCCTTGTTTTTCTTTCTTTTCCTTATCAAGCTTGAAACATGTTGTAAACGGACGTAAAAAGTTTTCTAATTATTTGTCCATGTTTGGCTTCTTCATCCTCGGAAGACTCGCAATCTTGTTCCGAAAAACTAAACTATCCCTTCCTATACTTCCAATTTTGCTTTCTAATTGCATAAATCCTTCAAATTCTTCACTTTCGCTATCCATTTGAACAAAGCCCATTCATCCAACATTGTTTTAATCACATTCCGAACACGTGGAAAATTCATCATAATTAAATGTAAACACACACTTTTTATAGAAAAGGAATGTACATAATAATGATAATAATAATAAAATAATAAAATTCTTTATTTAACGAAGGTAACACATTTAACAATGACATGCTAATCTTCCATGAGGCCTTTAAAAACTATTAATACAAATAGAAAAGACAAAAATACGAGTTGAAAGATTTTGCATTTGTAAAACCGAATTTCATTGGTTCATTTCGGGATTCCCCAACAATTTTGTCCATTCTCAAGGGTTTTAACAGTGGTATATTTTACAGAAATATCCGTCACCGGGACTGCGCAAGTGTATGTTTACAGCGGATCTATCAGTCACTGCGAATACACGCTTGATTATGCAAGCGGATTTATCAGTCATTGCGGACAGAACGATAATGAAAATCGCGTATATATCCGTCAGTGGTAGATAAAGAGTTAAAACAACAATACATTAAATGTTTGACTGAGACTTGAGGCGATTCAATGATCTATCTAATTCTCAAACGGACTAAACAGCTAAAGGGGTGTAATTCACTAATAAAAAACAACTCGAGATAGATGTATTCATTTGAGCAAATTGGGATACAGCAGTGAGGGAATAGACTCCTTCACGGTTAATGCAGCCATACTGAATAGGGGCAATTTTTTTTGGGATAGAGGTGGAAATAGTATGAAAGAACAGGAAATCCTATGCAACTGTTCTGTTTCAATGATGTTTTCCCGTATTTTTCAAACCATTTGCACCTCCGTTATGAAAATCTGCCCTCTATTCAATATGGCTACAATAGCCGTGCAAGGGACTGATGACAACTACTACATAATTGGGATGAATTTGAGTATTGCAGATTCTGTATAATTTGACTGAGGAGAGACAACAAAATGAAAATAATTAAGTTCTATGTACTTCAACGGTGTCGCCGTCATTTCGTCCCGTTCTTCCTCCACTTGCCATCGCTGGCGGCTGTCTCTGATCACTCAAAAATCTTATATGCGTTTAATCAGACCATTTTTTATCAAAAAGGTTTGTGCCAAAATATTTGTTTTTCCTCTCAACAGGTGTTCAGCAGCAAAGTTGTGTCAATCAGGTGGTTGGGAATAAAAGTCTTGAAATATTTCATTTGATAAGACAAATATTTTTTTTGTAATATAATAGCAATGTTTCACTTTTTATAACTTAAAATATTGTTTTAATTAAATTTTCAAGTTTTTTCCTGCAGGTTCGGACAGAAAGTTATTTTACGAACTTGTTCTTACAAAACGAAATAATTGCTATTTAGTCGAACACACCTTTTAAAATTATCATAGTATGACGCGAACATTTTACGCTTCAAACCAGAGACTTATGGTCGATTTTATATATTTTTTGTAATTCTTGATTTTCATTATCATTATGATTCGTTGTCGATCTTAATCATTCAAAGTTAAGTTACATTTATTTTACAATGATTAACGTAGAGGAGGTAACGAGGTGTCTCAACGTACAAATTTTGGTACAGACGTCCAGCTGGTGTTTAACCCCCCCCCCCCCCCCTGCTCCAGTAGATTTTTCGAGAAATTTTGGAGAGATACAATTAAATCTCTTAACTATTTGTCACCATTTTGTTGTCACTTATTATTCAAATCTATCTGGTCTAAGGCTGGGACTACACAGTGATTTAGTTTGTGCATTAGTTCTGAGGAAACTGATTGAAACTGCCTGTTGAGATCATCGGATTTCTGTTTTGTGTCTCATGGTTATAAGTTTTCCATTCTGCTTCAGTGATGTTATTCCATCGTAGTCAATAATTTTTTTAAACTTTAAATGTAAGACCAACATTTTTTTCATGTTGGAAAGTTGTTTTCATCAGGTTTTGGTCTGACAATATTTTCAATGTACAGCCAGCATGATGTCTGAGTTTTTGTACCTGATGTTTAATTTACTTCTATTTGTTTCTCGTGTTGTCACTTCCACATTTTTTCATCATTTTATAAAGTCTGTCTCGTTTTCATTTTTTTCTTGTTTCAGCTGTAACCCATGGTCTTTTATTTTTTGAAGTGAGTTTTTTGTGTGGAATATGCTCACTGACTAATCGTTAAGTTTTGCATTGAATTCTAGCCAAAGTTCATCAACAGTATGTGTATTAACCTTTTCCTATATAGTATGTTGTATATAGATACAAGAAGATGTGGTATGAGTGCCAATGAGACAACTCTCCATCCAAGTCATAATTTGTAAAAGTAAACCATTATAGGTCAAAGTACGGCCTTCAACACAGAGCCTTGTCTCACACCGAACCGCAAGCTATAAAGGGCCCCAAAAATTACTAGTGTAAAACCATTCAAACAGGAAAACCAACGGTCTAATCTACATATAAAAAATGAGAAACACTTATGAACCACATCAACAAACGACAACCACTAAACAACAGGTTGTTTACTTTTTTTTATTGTGTCACAGTTTACCATGTTGTAAATCGGCACATTCCTTAGTGTCTGCTTTAGCTATAGATTGTGTAATTTTGAATTCCATAAAGACTATGTCATGTCATGATCTGAGATTACCGGCATGATTTCGATTCGTGGAACATGGTTTGGTAAATTTGTAATCATGAGTTCTAATAAATTGTCCTTCCTTGTTTAATGTTCAATTAAATGCAAACCAAGCCGGTATTCTCCAATGTATTTCCAAAATCATAATGTATATTTTGGTGGGTAGATTTATCATTTAGATTTTGATATTTTGTTTTTCCAGTTAGATGTTAACCACATGGGATCATTCATATCATTTGAAAAAAAATATAAGTACATGGTTTTTACAGACATTTTACAGAAAATTAACATGTATAACCGACTAGCATATACATTTCTACCCATGGTTATATTGTCTCGATGAAATTGCCTCCCATTGATATATTTGACACGAATTCCTAAAAAGTGAAAAAAAATTGTGGGATAGAAAGAAAACTAAACGATATAATTTAAGATAAAATATACTAAAATAGTTCTTTTAATGTGCTTTCAGTAAATAAAAATAAAATTGTGGTCATGGGACTCGCTTTCTTGCTCGTGATGCTACAAAACAAAACAGGTAAATTCACAACATATTCCTTTATCTTACTTTATCTCCTTATATTGCAAAGTTTATCAAAACTGAATCAAATAAAAACATTCTGTATTTGAAAAAAACGTTGTACAACATATTTTAAAACACAAATTTCCTCCATTGACATGAAAAGTTGTACAAATGAGTTACATTCCTCTCTTACAATTTGCACATTTCATTAAAGATCTTGGCATTTTTTGATTGAGTTAGGCCATTTCAATTGATATTTTATAGTGTGTTTTTCTATGTTGTGATGTTACGATATTGTTTCAGATAAGGGTGAAGGTTTGATACCATTAAAACGTTTAAACCCGATGCAATTGTTTGCACCTGTCCCAAGTCAGGAATCTGATGTTCAGTAGTTGTCGTTTGTTGATGTGGTTCATAAGTGTTTCTCGTTTCTCGTTTTTTATATAGATTAGACCGTTGGTTTTCCCGTTTGAAATGTTTTACACTAGTAATTTTTGGGGCCCTTTATAGCTTGCTGTTCGGTGTGAGCCAAGGCTCCGTGTTGAAGACCGTACTTTGACCTATAATGGTTTACATTTATAAATTTTGACTTGGATGGAGGGTTGTCTCATTGGCACTCATACCACATCTTCTTATATCTATGTTTTTTTCTGCTATATATTTTATAATCTTAGATGTCAAATCATGGAAATGAAAATGATCTTATGCCGTTTCATAAGCCTTCATATTTAATGTCATATAATTTTCATCAGTTTATATCTACAGAAGTTGAAAAAAGTAAAATAACAAAAATACCGAACTCCAAGTCCCTTATCAAATGGCAAAACCAAAAGCTCAAACACATCAAACGAATGGAAAACAACTGTCATATATTCCTGACTTAGTACAGGCATTTCCTTATGTAGAAAATGGTGGATTAAACCTGGTTTTATAGTTAGCTGAACATCTCTGTCAGAAAAATGATCGAACAAAGAAATGTCCTTTATAACAGCCGTAATTATACAGGTTAGTATTGCTGGACAGTGACATTGAACAATATTTCTATTTGTATGTCCCGTTATATCCAAATTAAAGCCAATTCTTTATTTATTGCTTAGATCTATATTTTCGGATTATTTAAAAGAGGTCCCGGCAGCACACACACAGCTCACTTATATATATTTTAAAGATTCAACTTACTTTGTAAAGTAAATAAATAGAGATATATGAGTATAGGTTAATTTAGACTTGAGTATAGGTTAATATATAATTCGTCTAAATAACAGCCCAACAATGTTAGATCTGTAAATTTGCGTTAGCTAATTTTTTTTGTTCTTTCCTGGCCGGGATTCGAACTCATGCTACTGAGATATCGTGGCACCAAATCGCCTTGCAATGTGCCCGACGCGCTAGACCACACGACCACCTAGGCTCTATAGTAATAAAGCTTTCGGTGGCCGGATGTTACCTTTTCTCGTCATTTTTAATCTAGCGTTGTAACACAGTACATGATATATAAGGCATGAAGGTTAATATATATATTTATATGTATAGATTATTACATGGCATTTTTCATATCAGACCCTTTATCGGCCCTAGGTCATGATATCAGCCCAAGAGCCGCAGGCTCGAGGGCTGATATCATGAACGAGGGCCGATAAAGGGTCTGATATGATAAATGACATGTAATTATCTTTTTATCATATACTTCAACAGAAGAAATACAGACAAGAACTATTAATTAAAATTTTGTCTTTCCATGAATTTTTAGATAATAATTTACAGACAACCAAATACAAATGTCTTAACTTTTATTGTTTTTATTGATATTACAAGCATTTTATTTATCTTGTCACAACAATTAACATGTTCTTAGTTTGAAATTTGCTCCTCAACTATTTTGTGGAAAGTCTTTAATCACTTGCGGTTTTCCGCACTGTGTTGTCGTTTTCGAACAAATTTCCGGAAATGCACGACGTTGCATGTGATAAACGTCACGGAAATTAACGGAAAGGCATGTGATAACATTCCGGAAGCAGTCAATAAAGGTTCCTTTATCAGCCCGCTGAGGAAATTCTTAGGAATCTGATAAATAAACCTAGTAATCCTTTCATAGCCTTTTAATATTTTTAAATGTTATTGAACTGTAAAATTTTAGTAATATTTTATACAAGTATATGATAAAATATATATATTAACCTTCATGCCTTATATATCATGTACTGTGTTACAACGATTAATCTAGCGTTGTAACACAGTACATGATATAAAAGGCATGAAGGTTAATATATATATTTATATAATATATATATTAACCTTCATGCCTTATATATCATGTACTGTGTTACAACGCTAGATTAAAACTGACGAGGAAAGGTAACATCTGGCCACCGAAAGCTTTATTACTGTAAAGCCTAGGTGGTCGTGTGGTCTAGCGCGTCGGGCACATTGCAATATATATATATATATATTTGATAAGTCATATAATTCGCCTTCTCTGAAAGTACAATACACAAAATAGTAAAGATTTAAAACTTCAGTGGAACTGAACTTGATCTGGATTGCATAACATGTCATGTACGCCCTTTGACACTAGGCATTGCACGTGTATCAATACGGCCACACATTGAGATCCCCACAATTTCCGATATGGATAATTAACTTAGCTGCATGATTCCACCGTAAATTGTGCCAGTGACGAATCATTATAAGACGTAGTTTTTGCCAGATTGTTATATCCTGCTGTAACTTAGCAATATTTGTGCTGCTTGACAATGATAAGATAAAATAGGATAATATTTATTTCAAACCTAGGACTAATTTAGTGTGATAATCCCAGAATTACCCCAAAACATTCTGCTTAACGGGATTTAAGACTCTATAACACATGTGGTATAGCCGGGAATAATATACTGTCAATATATTATGTCCCAGGTTATAGTAGTTCGACAGACCTGGGACTGTTAGTATAATAGTCTCAGCGGGTCGGTCGGCAGTTTAAAACTTTAAGAATATTTACAGTAAATAATTATAAAATTCAGATATATTTCATTGTCAATCATAGATAGGTCATCTATCTGTATTTAACGAATATCTTAAGTGATTTCTACACAGAGACATATATATGACTGATATTTTCTATGGGATCTTATTGGATTTTCGCAAACTCAAGAACAAGTGCCAACACTTAAATTCGTTTTGTCGGCATCGATCCGTAAAATTTAGTTACTCAAATTATTGTTGATGTTTCGGTATTGTCGTCTACTATCAAATGTGTGTCAACATCAATTACAGCTGACAAAGGGTTTTCAGGAGGCTGCAATAATGTCTCAAGACATTGGACATAATAAAAACAAAGTTTACAAAGTGGTGTTAACTGGAGGTATGTCACAGTGTCCTTATTGTTGTGTATCGTTGTAAAACATGATATTTATGTTATTCCTTCGCGCGCACGTGGTCTGAAATTATGCATGATAAACAGTCTAGCTAGGTAAACTTGCGGTGACATTCATTGATACACAAACTTGTTATTTAAATAAAAAATTGTCCATTAAAATAAGGATTTGTGTGATTGTTACTTTATGTTTTTGGTGCCTAAAGCCATATTGCCATTGGCATTTTGTTTATAAATTACTTGTTAACATTAATGATATTTTATATATATTTCGGAGAAGTTGGTTAAGGTAAGTATTATTTATAGTTCCATGAGAATTATCCAGAGACTGGCCATACTGGTCTATCATGTGCCTGACGGTCTGTCCAGCTCATTGCTCATAGGAACAATAAATTACATCATTAATCTTTGATGGACGCAAACAAGTGCAATCATCTCAAATTGAGTTAAAATCAAAGGTTCCATGCATATGAAACTAAATGTTGTGTAAAAGCCAGTACTGGTTACTATGACATATACATACAAACATAATGAGATCAAATAATTACAGTGGTGGATCCAGAACTTTTTATAAGGGGGGGGGGGGGGGCACTGACTGCCATAAGAGGGGGTCCGCTACAGTCATGCTTCAGTGATTCCCTATATAATCAACCAATTTTTTCCCACAAAAGGGTCCCCCCCCCCCCTTGGATCCGCCTATGAATTGTCCTGAAAGTCAATAATGTATATGATTTTGGGCTTTAATACTTATTTTGACGAAATTGAACTGAACTCATTGCTAACTTAAAAAATGATTATTGATATTTTGTGATTGTAAACCTATCTGCTGCCAATAAAAACACACATTTTTACTTTTAATTATTTCTGCTAATTACTACCAAAATCATAGTTACACAATGTAATTTCCTTTAAGTGGTGTGTAAACGGTTTAATAATACATTAAATATGTAAAAAGGATAATTAAACATTGGACAGTACATTACTGACAACATCAACTACCAAAATTCCTCACTCTAAAAAATAAGACATACAAACAATGATGACAGCTTGATCTGGTACAAAATATGATGGGGTTAAACCAGTTTTGTGTGTCCTAAAAGTAAAACCATTAAAAACCAGGTACCAGCCTTGTTCTATTACAATTCTTTGTTACACTTGTTAAAGATTATACATTGTATATATGTTGCATTTGTTTACTTAAAAGCTATAGATATCTCACCTTGGAACCTTATTTTCCAAAATAGAATAGTGAATCTTATTTAGCATTTAGTATATCATTCAAGGTTAAATTTGCAATCTTATCCGTTTGTGATATGATATGAACAGTTATGTAGGCCATTATTGAAAATACTATTTTTACATAAGCATGATCAGTGCTGTTGTCAGTTTGTATAAACAGCCAATTTCCTCTATGAACTAATAAATAATGGCTAGATTTCTGATTTCGGACCAAAAAAAGGGGGGGGGGGAGGTATCAAGGGGAAAATCATAAACTATAAGTTAAAAAAAAATGGCTGAACATCATCTCCCCATTTGAATTCTTGCATTGTGCTATTGTGTAGTACTATGTACCAACCATACTAGTCCAAATGTAAAATAATGAAAATACAATATACAATAGGGTCCGGATGGGGTTTACAGAATAGATGATAAAGACAAACAGATGCAGAACAATGGGCAAAATAAAATAAAGAATAGAGAAAAATAAGCCCCAAAAAAAGAAGCGAATATATATATATATATAATGGGGTTTTAAAATATAAAAAACAGAAAAATGGTCTTAAAAATTGAAGAAAAAAGAAACGAAGGACCCAACCATACCCTCACAATTTATACTTGTCCAAATGGGAGAAAAATGCTTAGAAAATTTCACTTGTACATCCCACATTTTCTTTTTGAATGATTTATTCAAGTGTTAAATTGTACATGTAAGCCAAAAACAGTACACATTTTTATTTAGGGGCCAGCTTAGGACCACCTCTGGGTGCGGGATTTTCTCGCTGCGTTGAGGACCCATTCAGGTGGCCTTCGGCTGTTATCTGTTCTTTGGCCGGGTTGTTGTCTCTCTGACATTTTCCCCATTTCCATTTTCAATTTTATTCTCTTGAAGAAAGCAAATCTTGATAAACTTGCGATTGGGCTACACTTGTAACTTGCTGTCATGTTGCATTTAGGATACACCAAGTCAGTAATTAATATATTGACTTTTGTAATCTGTTAAAAGTCCTGCCAGCTTGGTTTTATAAAAAGCAAATTTCTCATCAACAATTCTGAGAGAGAAATTTTTTGTTGAATTGTCAGTCCAAACTGTTCATACATTGTTTAAAAATAACTGCTTAATTTTGATTTTAGATTAATAATAATAAGTGTCATAGAAATCAAAACATCATAACATTAATTCAATACACATGATACATGTGTATACATTGTATATAGCTTTCGTTGGGAATAACACGGACATGTACAATGTACTTTTAATAATCACGCTAGTCTCAACAGTTTATTGTAAATGCTTTAATTTTATACACAAAATAAATAAATGTAAAAGAATCATGTCGGTTTAAATCTGCACTGGTGTTGTCCTTTTTTTCTAAAATTTAATAAACATCAGTAGGGAACCTGTTGCTGGACTATGGAATTCCTCGAAGTAATTACTTAGTTCTTCTATCATGTCTTTAAGTCAGTATTTGGATCTGTTATCATGGTTATATAGAAACCATCCTCTGTCATGTCTGTTGGAACCAAACAAAATTTTGCTGGACTTTTGCCAATGTCAGACTGGTTTGGGAATTTATAAATCTGTGTCTGTTCTAAACAATTATGAAATATTTATGGATAGAGGTTTATAGATTATTAAATATAATGAGAATATAAACAGGTACATTCTGTCAATAAATCTGTTTATATTTCCATGACCTAATCAATGCATGGTAATAATAATGATCAAAGAAAGCAATCTTAAGCTCTTGAAATCAATACACAAATTAATTTCCTTTCAGTCAATATACATGATATAGATTTCATTTTCCACATGCATGAAGCTGGAAATCTTAAAGTGGATGTAAAAAGTATGAATAAAAAAAGAGATGTGGGTATATATGCCTATGAGACAAGCTAAACACACAATATAACTGGAGAAGACAGCAAGAGGGCATATCTAGGGTCTCCAACAATAGGAAAATGTCTGATATAATTATCCTAAAAATACATGAAATATTTGCTGCTGGACTTTAAGCAAGTAATGATGATCAATATTTGCAATATGTCAAGCTCTAAATAATTTTTGATATATATATATATATATATATATATATATATATTGACAAGTTGTGAACAAATTTAACAGAGACTACCAAAGATCTGCTATCAACTTAGAATGTTTAAAGACTTATTAAAGACATGAACAAACGACCATTTTACCATGTGTTTACACCTCTGACCATAAATTGTGTCTCATTTCAGGGGCGGATCCAGCCATTTTTAAAAGGGGGGATTCCAACTCACTTACTCAGGATAAAGGGGGGTTTCCAACCATATGTCCCCATTCAAAAGCATTGTTTGTAAAAAAAAAGGAGGGTTTCAACCCCTGGATCCTCCACTGCATTATATAAGAAAATCATTGAGTACAACCAAGTTGGTACATACAATGACATTAAGCATACATGTGTTAAGTCTGACAGTTTTGAAATCCTTTTTTTTTTTTTTATTAAATCAATGAAAACAAGGAAGTAATTAGCACCTCTTCTTTCACCGTAAGTTGCCATGCACCAGAGTAAAAAGAATGAAAAGTATCATGAGGAGATTGAATCAGCAGATGTTCATACAAATTGTGAACCAAGAAAGGCAAAGGGTACCAAAGGGACATTCAAACTCACAAGTCGAAAAATAAACTGACAATGCCATTGGCCGAAAAAGACAAACAGACAATCAACAGTACCGGGGTACACAAAACACAACATAGAACACTAAAGACTGTGCACCACCAACCACACCAAAAACTGGGGGTGATTTCAAGTGCTCCGGAAGTGTAAGCAGATCCTGCTCCACATGTGGCACCTGTCCTGTTGCTCGTGTTAGTACAAACCCAGTTATAAGTCGTAATTCGGTAGGTCATTTTCGGGGAAAAGGGACTGGATTGTAGTTACGACAATTGGAACATTGTCATCTGTGAAATGGATATTCCATAACGGTCAACTTTAGTAATTGTTGGTAGCTTATTTTAATTAATCTGTTGATCAGATTGCACTATTGATTTACATCAGGAGGTGAAGTAATGTAGATTCCTCAGATTTTACCTAAGATCACCTATAAAGGCTCTCACTAAATTTAGATTTCTTTTAATAAACTTAATGAGATATTGATTTGGTTAATGTATTGTATATCTTAGACAATGTTATAAAAGCAATATCTTAATCATACATCAATACATTTGTACATGCAGTTTGATTATTTTTCAAATATTCTTAGTGGAGAAATCAGCATAGAAATGCACATTTTTCTGAGTACAGACAAACCTGTGTATCTAGATAAGTTTTAAGGCATAGCATCCCCTAGATATATAAAATTCAAATATATTTTATGTTTTAGAAAATTATGAACTCAACAGGGTTTTGCAGTGCACTTTTTTTTCATTCCTCCAGAAGGTGCCAAAATAAACTAAGTTGGGAAAGAGGTTTGAGAATTTCCCCACAGGTCATAATTGAAGTGAACTTGAAATTGATTGACATGGACAATAGATACCGGACAATAATCATGATAATTGGTCATTTAAACCGTGTACCTGAGTGGACCATATCAAGTGAAACTCAACTGTTTTAATTTTATCATCTTCTGCAGGAACTGCAAAATCCAGTTAAGTTTTAAATTTTCTAAAACATACAATGCATTTGAATTTTATTTATCTAGGGCATGCTATGCCTTAAAACTTTTCAAGATTCACAGGTTTGTCTGTACTCGGAGTAAATTTTGAGGTGAAAACACGGCCATTTAAGCCAAAGGGTTCATATGAACCTTAAAGAGTTTTGGCCCTTATTTGGTTTAACCATCACATTAACCAATATAGTAAAAAACTGGTTCACTGTAAGTTTGACAGCCTCTTGTTTTAGGTTTTATCAATATTCATGACCTATAAGTATTAAATATAAAAAGACATATATTTGTGAAGTTTAAGAAACTTCTTCATAATTTGATTGTCTCCCTTGAAATACAGTAGTTACTTATTTCTTCCAAAATTTCTCTAATGAGTAAATATAATACATATCTTGTTTTATAAATCAATAGAATAGTATATGTGCACTATTCTCTCCAGAATGCAATACTTTTAAAGCTGAATTCTAAAAAATTGCAAGTATTAATAAAGTTTCATCTTTTTGTCAATGTATCGTATGAATTAGTTCTAATTTACCAAAAAACATAAAATGTCTAGTGCGCTGAGATTCAGACACTTGGCTCTGCCAGGGGACCCTTTTGGGTAATATACAACACTCCCCCCACTTAAAAGTATTTGTGTAGAGCATGCTGTATTGCATACTTGCCTGAAAAAAAAACCCAATTAAGGAAAAAACATGTACATGATGATAATGAATAAACGTAGAGAAGCATCAGATGATTTAAAGAAACCCTAATTAACTGCTTGCCAAAAGAAGTTTAATGTTTATAATCAAACCTTGTAAACCAACGTTTTAACCTGCGTCATCAAAGGCTTGACTTGTCCCTCTGTCTGTCGAAAAAACTTGGGGTAGAAATCTTTCGTCAAAGTTTTCTTGCCACATATTGAAGGAAATGATGTATTGTAGGGTGTTAGTAATTGTAACATCTGCTGTGCTGCCACTTCCTGTTTGCTGATAGTTAAAAATCACTCATTGTGCAAGCAAATTTTTTGTCAATATTTTCTTGGCTTGTTTGGAAGGGAACGATCAGTTATGCAATATATGAATAAGAAGATGTGGTATGAGTGCCAATGAGACAACTCTCCATCCAAGTCACAATGTATAAAAAGTTAACAATTATAGGTCAAAGTACGGCCTTCATCATGGAGCCTTGGCTCACACCGAACAGCAAGCTATAAAGGGCCCAAAAATGACTAGTGTAAAACAATGCATACAGGAAAACCAACAATCTAATCTATATAAAAAACGAGAAACACCTATGAACCACACCAACAAACGACAACCACTGAACAACAGGCTCCTGACTTAGGACAGGTGCATAAAAATGCAGCGGGTTTAAACGTTTTAACAGGCACTAACCTTCACCCTAACCCGAGACAGTAGTGTAACATTACAGCATAAAAATACACACTTCAATCAATAACATGCAGCGACACAGGTCCAGACCTGGTATTTTATTCTTGTTTTGTTTTGTTTTCTTTTTATGTCCATTGTACTCTGGGGTCAAGCATACTGTACATATTATCCTATCTGTCATTTCTTTCTTCCATCCATCCACCAATAATTGAAAGCTACGAGAGACACAATTTTCACATTATTACAGAAAAAAACACCATACCAGTATTTATTGGCATTACTATTGATTTGAATTTTATTGGAAAGAAAGATATCCAAAGTTATTATCTTTGAATAAAATGAAGGTGCAACAAAAAATACAATTTTTGATTTTCTTTTATTTTTGTAGGTCCTTGTGGTGGCAAAACTACCGGCCAGGCCAGACTTAGTACATTCTTTGAAAGTTTAGGATGGAAGGTACGTTTATGCTTGTTTCTGAAAATGCATGAGATATAAGACACTGGCAAACAACACATATATTTTAATGTGAAATGCTAAAATATTCAGAGAAATTTTAGATAGAAGATAGGTTATTTTTTCATTATAAATTTGGAAGCAAATATAAAGTTTTTATAATAAAAAAAATATTTAGAAAGACAGACTTGATAAAAAAGGGAGAAAAAACCGGAACTTTGAGTAAAAAAAGCTATGGCTAAAAGAAAAACAGTCCACAAAACAGAAAACTAAAGTCTTTTAAATTACAAATAAGTGTCTTGAATATGTTTCATAACCTCAAAATGTGAAGGAAAGAATTCAACTAATTTAATTTTGATAGTATATTCTATATTGATGGTTTTGATTTTAATGGATTTTTTTTTAAAATTTTCGATACAGTTTTATGTATTGCATTGATAATATATTATTTAAATCTTTGAATAATCATGCTTTTGAAATTGAAAAATGCTTATGGCAGAAAATTTGGGTGTATCAGTGCATTTTTTTGCTATTTTTTTACTGCTGTATCCCGTTATTTCTTGGATGGCCAGCTCAATGCTTCCCCTTTCAGGGATAAAAGTTTTAGTGGTAGCCAAGACAATATTTTTTGCTAGACAATTGTTAAAAGATCAAGCAATAATGTGAGAAAGATTAGAGGCTCCGCTCAAATTTTAGGGGTCAAGTGCTACTTTGCTCCATCAAATTTCCATCACTGCCCTTTCCCTTTGAAAATCCTGGAGCTTCCTCTGGTATCAGACTGCTTTGGAATTAGTTCATCTGGAACCAATATGAAATTGCAAAGAAAAAGATTGAAAACACCTCAAATCAGAATAAATTTGATTCAGAAACTGTCTTGTTTGGAGCGTCGGTATCTCATTTTATTTGTTTAACCCTGTCTAGTTGTTTCACCTCACGTTTAATAAAGGTAACGTATATCCTGAAATGTACATGTTTTGTCATTTGTCACATAAACTTTCATTCCATAATGAACTACACCATTTCAGAAATAACATATAATTATTACATATATAAAAATAACATGTCACCTCCCAGAAAATCTCGGTTTGTAGCCTTGTAGGTCATGTTATTAATATGTACTAGTTAAATAACTTCATTATCATAAAGTAGTTAATTTACTCACAGAATCATGTCAAAATACAATATTTCAGAATCACTTTTTTTTCAATTCAAAAGGGATTTTTGTCATTTATTTTAAGCATGTTAATTATTGCGTCATTTTGTTGGTTTTTGGTGAGTTTTGATATGTTTTAATAGATTTCAGCTACTTTTATTCATACCCAAAATAATTCCGGGCATGCCTGATACATGTAATAATCGTATGCAAATCTTCAATTTGTAATTTGTTCACCAATTCTCTTTGAATTTGTCAGGATATTTGGAAATCTACATATAAAAAATGTAAGGCCAAAAAAAATATATGTCTGTTTAGGGTTACCCATCCGTCCCTAATTTTATTTCCATTGTAAAGGGAAAGATTAACTGAACTTGTCTCAAAAGCGTAGTTAGACATCCCAGTGTTTACTATCGTGCTTATGATAGCCGTTTTAAGGAAACTGGCAACTAGTGTGATGAAAAAATCACTTTGCTGCCATTTTTTTTCCAATAAAAACCAAGGGAAATAATCCAATCATTAAAAATATGGGTTAATTTGGCCCATTGACAACTCAGACTATGGAAAAACAGTCCACATAACTCAAAATCATGTTGCAAAATATAAAATAAAAAAACAAAATGAAAATATCGACCTTAGTAACCTACCCTATTTTATTGGATGATGTAACCAATATATTTGTTTTTGGCCTTACTACCTTGGCTATGTGAAACTACAGATAGTGAACTAATCAATGAAATATAGAACCTAGGCCACCATTAATTTCTTCCTCTTTTCTTACAGTCTTTATTTTCTTGTTGAAAATAGACAATCTAATTAAAATTAGTTCTCCGCACTTGCTCCTCATTTTCGTTTGGTTGTTTATATGTCGTGCGACATATAAACAACCAAACGAAAATGAGGAGCAAGCGCGGAGAACTAATTTTAATTAGATTGGAAAATAGACTTCTTTGCTAACGTCAATATTTTGTTTGTCTACAGGTCTACAGAGCACCAGAAACAGCTTTGGTTCTAATGAGGTACTATAACAACTTATTCATTTTGAAATCCATTATATAATGTTGCTGGTTTAAACAAATTTTAATAGCAACGTAAAAGATGATTTATATTATGGTGTATGGTAATGTGCAGAAAATGATTTTACATTTAATTGAAAACTCATAAAAAATATTCTATTAATTTTATCATATTGGCAAAATCCAGCCAGATTAATCAAAACAATGTCAAAAGAAAAGCATGATTATTTATTTATTCCAAGTTTAAACTTATTACGGTAATAGTAAACATTGTAGAATAGGTCCTCGTCTGTCCATCTGTCAGGTAAAAGTCTTGGTTTTAGGTGTAGTTTAACATTGAAAGTTCTTGTACAGAATGCATGCTGAGATTTGTCGACAAATCTAATCTGTTAATGTCGGTCTCTCTAACTTTCATTCCACTTTGGAGTTGGATATTGAAACTTTACATGATTGCATGTTCACCACTACTAGAATGTGTGTAGCATATATATACAAGGAAGGAATCCCTACAGTGAAGGGCATGATCAAAAACTTAATTCAAAATAGTCACCCCTGTGCATATGTACAAAATGTTTTCCTCTCCCTATCTTTCAAACCCTTTGGACAAAGTTGGAGTTGGGTAATTAAACTTGACCTGATTATTGTCCACTTCTAGAATGTTGTGTCGGGTACAAGGAACAAAACTAACATAGAAATTCAAGGTCAGAAATTAAGTTCCTCTTCCCTTATAGCATTGCATAATGTAAACTGGAAGCCACTTAGATTTAACCTACAAAAAAATGTGAAATCAGGAATGAAAAAGTCATGCTTAAACTGATATGAGAAACATTGGTTTAATCATTGTAATGATTTTGTTTCAGTGGGGGTGTGAAGTTTACCAATCTGACCAAATTAGAAGGTAAGTAGAATTACTGTCATATACTTCAGTGTTCTGTTCTATCCATTGTTGACAGGATGAGGGTGTAATATCCATTTGATGGAAAATATATCATTTTTTAGCACAAATCATCTTAAAAAAAGTTTGCCTGGCTTCAAACAGCAGTACATGTATATCTTCCAATTTCAGCAATAACACCCCTTTCAAAAATCCTGGATCTTTTCTTTTCCTTGCAATAAAAACATGGAATAATTATAAAGAAAGAAGTATGGAAAATATGAACAGAAAAACATTCACAAATTGACCACGTTTTCAAATTTAAATTGTTTCTGATTTTGTCATGCTGAGGCATTTTGTAGCTTACTATACAGTATTGGTTGTACTCATTGTTGAAGGCTGTTCAGCAACCTATTGCTGTTTACACCCTCAATATTTCGTCTCTGGTGGATGGTTGTCTCTTTGACAATCACACCACATCTCCTTGTTTTATACATGTACATTTTGTACAACCTGCAAATATTGGATGCTACTATTAAGTTTTTATGCCCCTGCCCAAATGTACGTATGTCCCAAAATTGGTTTCCGTTCTCTTAACTTTAGTTTGCCTCAACCAAATGTTATGAAACTTGTACACAATACTTATTACTACAAAACACAGATCAAGTTTGAATTTGGGTGGCGTCACTTTTACCGTTCTTGAGTTATGCCCCTTATTATAATTTATATGCAAGCGGGGGCATCATCTGTGTCCCATGGACACATTCTCCATTTATTTTAAGAAAAATTTCTATGAAGATTTAATCTCCAATACGATTTACTAATATTAATCCATTTATTTATTCTTAGCTTACAAATTCCAAGAAAACTTAATCAGGACCATGAAACAGATAGAAGACACATATTTTGAACTAGCCGACACATGTCCACAGAATTGTTTGGTGATTTGTGATAGAGGGATAATGGATGCTTCTGCTTGTAAGTAAACATCAGGCGCATATTACAAGAACACTTGATAACTATTACGCATATATTTAACTGACTCGTACTTGACAGCAGGTCCATTTTGATGATTTTGAGTGGATTTCACAAAAACTTTGATCGCAAGTCATGAACAATTCAGTATACTTACGATCAATCTTAGTTGTAAGTTTTTTTGTGAAACCGATTCCTGTAACAGATGAACCGTTGGTCTCTAGAATAGTATTTTGATTATAGACGGGACTCTCCCCTAAAATGAACGTGTCAACAGTTATTATTAGTTATCAATTGCAGTGTATCACTGCGGATTCTTTATTATTCATTGTGTACTTATTTTCATGGATTTTGTAGGTTACGGATAATTTGAAACTTTACTGTTCAACAAAACACAAATTTGTGGATGGTGTCACTAATGAAACAGGACTTGCTAACCCTTCAAAAGCACCTGAGCTCACTCCTGGTGGTGTTTGTGCTGCTCAATCGTTAGTCTTTTTTGTAGTTTTTATACGACCGCAAAAAAATTTTGTGGTCGTATATTGGTATGACGTTGGCGTCGTCGTCGTCGTCCGAAGACACATTGGTTTTCGCACTCTAACTTTAGTTTAAGTGAATGGATCTTTTTGAAATTTGACCATAAGGTTAAATACCACAAAAGGAAGGTTGGGATTGATTTTAGGGGTTATGGTACCAACAGTTAAGGAATTAGGGGCCAAAAAGGGGCAAAAAATAAGCATTTTCTAGTTTCCAGACAATAACTGTGGAACGGTGTATGGACCTCTCTGAAATTATACTACAAGTTTCCATACCACAAAGGGATGGTTAGGATTTGCTTTGGGGGGTTATGGCTCAAACCGTTTAGGAATTAGGGGCAAAAAAGGGGGAAAAACAAGGTTGTCCTGGTTAATGGACAAATACTTTAGTACAAAACATAATTTAAAGCAGTGTAAGGGAGATAAATCAAATACATCATTGAAATTATCTCCCTTACACTTCTTTTAAATTATGTATAAAGTAATGGTTAATGAACAATAAAGATAATTTAAAACAGTGTAAGGGAGGTAATCCAAATACAACGTTTTGGTTACTTCCCTTGCACTGCTTTTAAATCATGTTTAAAGAAATGCATATTTATAAAGGAAGACCAGTAAAAATATCTGCAAATGTTGCATCTTTTTTTTTTACAAAAAAATCCATATGAAAGATTTGACACTATATTTTTAATTCTATTATATAATAGATTAAGTTAGCACTATGGTAAATTTAAATGGGTAATTATGGTTGCCAACTCCATTGGAAATTTGAATTGAGATTATGACCATATCTTGAGGGAAAGAATTTTTTGGGGGAAAAAAGGGGGGGGGGGGGATAAAAAGAAATTGTGGGGGGTCAATTTTTTCTCATTTCAGATTTCAGAAATTAAAAAGAATTATTCTTCAAATAATTTTTTTTTTTCAAATTTCAAATATTGAAAAATTTCAAGAAGTAATCTTTAATTGCACAGTATGGCGCATTAGATTTGTAAAATCTTTGATCACATTTATTTATTTGTTATGCCGAATCTAACAGTGTATTTAGATTTTTAATTTTGGGTCCAGTTTTCAAATTGGTCTACATCAAGGTCCAAAGGGTCCAAAATTAAACTTTGTTTGATTTTAGCAAAAATTGAATATATGAGGTTCTTTGATATGCTGAATCTAAACATGTATTTAGATTTTTGATTTTTGGCCCAGTTTTCAAGTTGGTCCAAATTGGGGTCTGAAATTAAACTTTGTTTGATTTCAACAAAAAATGTATATATGGGGTTCTTTGATATGCTGAATCTAACCATGTATTTAGAATTTTTTATTTGTGGACCCCGTTATCAAATTGGTTCATATTGAGGTCAAAAGGGTCCAAAATTAAACTTTGTTTGATTTCATCTAAAATTGAATTATTGGGGTTCTTTGATATTCCAAATCTAACCGTGTATTTAGATTTTTAATTTTGGGTCCTGTTTTTTAAATTGGTCTACATTAAGGTCCAAAGGGTCCAAAATTAAACTTAGTTTGATTTTAACAAAAATTGAATTCTTGGGGTTCTTTGATATGCTGAATCTAAACATGTGTTTAGATTTTTGATTATGGGCCCAGTTTTCAAGTTGGTCCAAGATAGGGTCCAGTATTTAAACTTTGTTTGATTTCAACAAAAATTGAATATATGGGGTTCTTTGATATGCTGAATCTGAACATGTATTTAGATTTTTGATTATGGGCCCAGTTTTCAAGTTGGTCCAAATTGGGGTCCAAAATGAAACTTTGTTTGATTTCAACAAAAATTGAAAATATGAGGTTCTTTGATATGCTGAATCTAACCATGTATTTAGATTTATTATTTGTGGGCCCCGCTATCAAATTGGTTCATATTGAGGTCAAAAGGGTCCAAAATTAAACTTTGTTTGATTTCATCAAAAATTGAATTATTGGGGTTCTTTGATATTCCAAATCTAACTGTGTATTTAGATTTTTAATTTTAAGTCCCGTTTTTTAAATTGGTCTACATTAAGGTCCAAAGGGTCCAAAATTAAACTTAGTTTGATTTTAGCTAAAATTGAATTCTTGGGGTTCTTTGATATGCTGAATCTAAACATGTGTTTAGATTTTTGATTATGGGCCCAGTTTTCAAGTTTGTCCAAGTTGGGGTCCAAAATTAAACTTTGTTTGATTTAACAAAAAATTGAATATATGGGGTTCTTTGATATGCTGAATCTAACCATGTATTTTGATTTTGGACATTGGACCATAATAGGTAAATTAAAAAAATTCAAGTTCTTAGACCACATTCTTTCTGTGTCAGAAACCTATGCTGTGTCAAATATTTAATAACAATCCAAATTCAGAGCTGTATCAAGCTTGAATGTTGTGTCCATACTTGCCCCAACTGTTCAGGGTTCGACCTCTGCGGTCGTATCAAGCTGCGCCCCAACGAAGCATTTTATTTTGATAGACTTTTGTTTGAATGGTCATCAGTTTTCTTCTGTCGGTGGTATTGTCGGTCTTACTGGAACTTATGGGTTTTTGACAGCCCCCTCTTTATTGTTTCCTTTTTTGTCTTGCCTTGACGGAGTCAAACATCTAGACTTAGATATGCTGTTTCCAGCAGCGGCATCAAAAATTTGTTGAAGTTTGTAATTATGATAAGTCAATCATATTTCGTTTGCTATTGTAATTGCATTGGCATATCATAATCTTATATCTCATAAATTATTTGACCCCTGTTCCTTTATTAATGGTTCATTGACTTTTAGTATTATACATAATATGTATGTTAAAGTATTGCTGTTTCAATCTGAACATTTGCAGTTTACTATCAAATTATATACAAGAAAGACATATCTCTGTGTCAACAGTTTGTTAATAAGTTTAAATTTAAGGTGGTACCAAACACCTTGACTAAAATTAATTTGGCTCGTTTAATTTTCATGAAATTTTAACAAAATATGTACTTTGACCCTTTGACAAAAATATAAAAATTTCAAAAAACTTGAACCACACACTTTATCGGAAAAGTTTCATTGGATATATAGCAGTTTGACAAACACTAATTTTGATCATTGAGAAGCTTAATATTTCCTTAACAATAGAACGTGATTAAAACGTTCAGCTGATTTTTACAGAGTTATCTCCCTGTAGTGTTATGTACCACCTTAATAATATTGTTTGATATTGTTAGATTTACCAACAAAAGACTGGGAGAAGATGAAAACTGATAATGGTTGGAATGAGATCCAGTTGAGAGATAACCGATACAATCAAGTCATCCACATGGTATCAGCAGCTAGAGGGGCGGAGGAGTTTTATACTGTAGCTGGTCATCAGACCCGGCATGAGAGTATAAACCAAGCAATAGAACTAGACCAAATCACAGCTGGGGTACGTTTATCATTGCTTGTTGTTTAATGGCTCTTTCGGCAGTTTTGGTAATATAGGAGGGTCTGGATAGGGTCTACAGTAGAGAGAATAACGGCCTTAAGTACAGAATATAGGTTTAAAACTATGAAGAACAAAGAAAAATAGGCAAAAAAAATACAAAATAGAGAATAATAGAATGTGTTTGAAATGTTTCATCATGATCATAATTGTGAAAATTGCTACAGGATAGGTTTGGCACAAATAAAACCTCCCATTTATTTTTTATTGTATTATTTCCATGCTGCATTTCTTACAATCATAAAAAAATTATTACAGATTTGATCTATTGTTCAACAATCATAATAATAATTGAATTTCCATTACAGGAAACTATTTTGTATTATGAAGTATACCAAATGACCCGATTTTTCAGGTAAACAATGACCTGTTCTTGTTTCTGGTTATTTAATATCAATGTCGTAAAACTTCATCTCAACTTGAAAAAAGAAAAGAAAACTGGTTTTAAATTTGTATTATTCAACAAAATTCTGCTGTATTTTAGGCATGGGTAGGACATCCGTATTATGATGTGATAGACAACACAACTGGATTTGAAGGCAAAGTAATGAGAATGATTTCTGTAAGTATTAAAATGTAAAGATATGAGGTTTTCTGGCCATGTTTTGACAGAGTTAAGACCTGTTATCAAAGCACTGTTCATTTGCTTTGGTGTTTTTCAAGTGTGTGTTTCCAGTTTTGTGAAGAAAAAAATTAACCATATCTTTTCCAGTTCATTCCCATGAGACATAATCACAAATACTGTGGATTCATCAAATATCCACAATAATACGACTTTTCCTTCATCCACGAAAATCAGTATCCACGATAATACGACTTTTCCTTCATCCACGAAAATCGGTATCCACTATAATAGATGAATCCACAGTATACAAAAGCGTAAACATTTCTTAAAAGGAAAAATTATACATAGATTAACTGTAAATTCAGAAATTATTGTGTGCATTTATTATTGCAGTTTTTTTAAGTCAGGACAAAAATGCAAGGTTAATCATTGCGATTTTAGGAATCTGTATGCAGATTTACGTGTCAGATATTAGAATGTGAGTTCTTATAATTGGGATACTCACCCAGTCGCATTATTTGCATTTAATAATAAAAACCTCACAATAATTTCTGAATTGACATTGATTGAAACGTGTACATCAAAATATTGTTTTTATATATCCTGTGCTTCATGATTGAAAAAGTGGGTATTGTACCATGGGGATAATGAAATAAAAACGAAAAAAGGTCAAAAGAAAAACAGAAAACCATTACCAAAAGAAAAACAAAGACAAAAACTTTCCTAACAATACTATACTGAGAACTTAAGATTGAGCAATGTGAACTCTATTTAAATCTTTGGATGAACGGAGTGGTTGTAGCAGGGTCAGCTGTCCTGCCTCACTACTAACACCAATGTTACTGCTGTTAAAATATAGAGATTAATCTTTTCAGGTCTATTTAAGCTTTTATCAGACTTGTGGTATGCTCATGTGAAAGACTGTACATTGTATGGTATAATGATTCACTTAGAGTCAGGCCACCCTTTACAAATTCTTTGTTTGATGTTGCCTACCTATGCCTTGTAGGGAGGGTAGGTAGGTAGGGATTCTTTTTTTTGTTTTTTTGCCAACAACATAAGTTACATGATTTAGACAAAAAAACTTTAAAAAAAAGTTTGAAGCGATTTGTGTCATAAAACTTTTCAGATAGGCTGCTTTTTAGGTGGGTAGGTAGGCAACATCAAATGATTTTAATTTTATTTTTGGCCTCAGCAAATGGTTAAATTCAATAGCATTTGTTTGTTTATTCAGTGTCTTTTGTTGTTGTTGATAACACATGATCGTCAAAAAGAGACAGAAGATACCCAACAGAGAATAAAAAAATTATAATAAGTCTGAGAGAGACAGACAAAATCATAGAAAAACATGAGAAAGGAAAAAGAAGAAAAGACAAAAACAACAGTCTTTTAAACACCATACAATACTAATGACTGAGAGCAACACAAAACCCTCTCCAAAACTGTGGTAATCTCAGGATGTCTGGAAGGGTCAACAGACCTTGCTTGCTTTACAAAATTTTAAAAAGTCTTGAATATTTTATGACTAGAAAGACTAGGTTTTCAATGTAAATTCAGTATGACATGTGATGTGGATGTCTTATATTATAGCAATTATAAATAATGATTTGTTCATTAAGATAGTATAGGTTTAGAATGGTAGCATTTTAAACTCAGAAAAAAATAAATGTCTAATTTAGGCTGTATGTAACAGATTGGGTATAGATACCGGTGATCGACTCAGTACCAACAGTAAGAAGAGGAAGTTCCTTGTTACTGGTGTACTGGATTGGACAGTAAGTATGCAAGTCTTGCAGTAAAAAATACAAGAGAAACCAATTGATGGCGTATTACATCAGTATATTTTTCTAGTTGTGAGTCTTGAATAATGCAGGTTTCATCTTCATATCATATTGTCATGTTACAGTCCTAAAACATAAGTAATATTAAACCATGTAAAATTAAGCAACTATTAATTAATGAAACTTATTACAATAAATACTGGTCTAACCAGAACCAAAATCTTTATACCTGTTTTTGATGTTGTTTGACATAGATTTTGAATTATGTCTTTATACAGAAAAAGAAAAAGAATAGAATATAAAAATTTTAATTTAAAAACAAGGTGGTATGATGGCCATTGAGACTACTATCCACCAGAGACCCAAAACATCAAGAACATGTGGATGTAAGTAAATGTAGGTCACTTTACAGCCTTCAACAATGAGCAAAACTTACACCCTATAGTAAGCTGTAAAAGGGCCAGACATGATGGAAATGTAAAACAATTCTAAAAGAAAACCAATAGCCTGTTTTATGATAAAGAAAAATAGAAAAAAAAATTGACAGACAGCAACCAATCACAACCACTAATTTACAGGCCCCCTGACTTAAAAGGTATATTTTTAAACTATTAAAGATAAATTATGTAATATGATATATCATATGTAACATGGTATATCGATTCTCTCTAGATATTCCCTCCACATCAGAAGTTTATGGTAACTCATGACTATCTTGTCACACCTAGTCGTAAAATGCAGGCCAGAATACGCAAGAGGGGACAAGATGGTAAGTATTGTAGCTTACATTTTTATCTTTACTGAGAAAATATAGTCAATCTTTCAAAGCTTCAAAGTGGTCTAAGTAGTTTAACTTCTGTATCACCAGCCTGTCAACACTGATGTTGTGAGTTCAAACCCCACATGTGGCAGGTGTGCTCAACTCCAATCTTTATAAACGAGGATTGTCAGTTTTCCTGCCGTAAGGTCGGTGGTTCTCTCTTGGCACTCTGGCTTCTTCCACTAATAAAAACTGACTGCCACTAAATATTCTTGATATACATGTATGGGTATTCTTGAAATAAAGCAGACACACATAAAAGGCATTCTGAAGGGAGAAGTTTTGTAGTCTGCATATATCTTGAGATGTGTAGTCTGCATATATCTTGAGATGTGTAGTCTGCATATATCTTAAAGATGTGTAGTCTGCATATATCTTACAGTAGGACAACCGGAAGCGCCTGAGTATTGATTTCGGTGCTCAGTGATACGGTTCACTAGACGATGTTGTCAACACGTAATGGCGGCCATTGTTTGACGTTGGATTTGGCATTCCACGCTGTAAAGATGCATTTATGACATTCTTGGATGCTAAAACTTAATGCCACACAACATAAAAGGTAAAGGATTATTTCAGATATACCGAGTTAATTATTTTCAAATAAGTGGGATCCCAAAAAATGATTTAAACGGCAAAAATAAAGTGTAAAACTATATGAAACATGAAAATTGCAATTCCATTTTTCATCATTTCCTTTTCATATATTGAAATAATGAATACACTATTTACACCAACCACTGGTGAATTATATTCGGATTTCGGTCTTAGGTATCCGTCCTTGTCTCCGGGAATATTATACCCACACAAGTTGTCAACATCCGTTTTTAAACTGTTCAAAGTGTTCTTCACAATCTCCCTGGAAAATATTCACGCTATCACTTCGTGCTCAGATAATAGAACATTGTTAACCTCTAACAGCAAATACGGACCAAAATTAATCAAATTTGAAAGCACGGATGATCACGTGTAATGCCGACTGTGGGGTAATTTCTCCCCCAAATACACATGAATTTTGCTGACCGTCTCAAATTCAACTTAAAAGTCCATTATCAAATCAGAGGCGCCCCCCCCCCCCTTTTGTGGGAAAAATTTGGTTGATTATATAGGGAATCACTGATGCATGACTGGAGCGGGCACCCTCTTAGGCAGTTAGTAGGCCCCCTCTTATTAAAATTTCTGGATCCGCCACTGCAAATCATTAGAATGTAAGACATATTCACTTCAACTGTTGGATATTTTATAGCTGGTCTAATATTAAAAGATTCGTCCCATTTCATATACACCAAAATTTAATATTTAAAAAAACTTTCATTATTATATTTACATATAATACAAAGGGAAATCAATCACAAGCACTTGTTTCTGTCAATGGGGGGTTCACTATCCATACCCATACGAATCTTTTTATTTTTATGTGGGTGGGTGGGTACAAAGAATTGTATATTTAAATATACAATTCCTTGGTGGGTAGGAGGAATTTAAGGGGACATTATATCCATCTTCTTATTTTACTATTATGGCTTATTAATTTGTTTTCAATCTGTACATAATTATTCTTTCCTTTTTTATTGGACAGAATATTCATGTTCATCCTGTGTCAGCACTCTTGTCAGAGCAATGTTTATTTTATGTTCGGTTATTACCATGATTACATGGACATGTACCAGATCCTTCCCATAAAAAAATTAATTAAGATAGCCATCCTCTAAATCATAACTCTGAAATTATAAAAGAAATTTACACATTGAAATTAACCAATCACCCACCCATTTGAAAAGCTTGTACACAATCTAATTAGAAATGATAATCCATTAACAATATTACTTTCTCAAACTTCATTAATATTGTCAAATTCAAGGTGTCAATTTAGTGACAATACAGTCATGACAGTAGTGGTTCCAGGATTTAAATTAAAATGAAACTGGGTTGTGAGTGCCCCCAAAATGTATAAAATTTCAGCTTGCATTGTACAATAGACAATTTGTTATGATCTTATGATGTTTATGCAAACTATTAAATATAAAAATGTTATCAAAAGGTTTGGTATAACATAAATTTGCTCCTTGTTAAACCTAAAAATTATTTTTCAAGACTTTTGAAATGTTTTCTTTGTCTGAAACGTTTATGTACATGTATTGAGCAAAAATACTGGGGGCATAATTATCTATAATACTTAATAAATACATGTACATGTATTTTCTTGGTAATTTATTTTCCAAATTTGTATACATGTGTTGATAATAACAATGCAAAGTTTAATTTTGCTTTGAATAATTTAGTAAATGAACATTAATAGTAATTGTATGTAAATTTGCTTTATATTTACAGGATGGAGAAAGATGTTCACTATGGATCAAAAATTCAAAACAGAGGACCTTTTTATTCAAACAAAAATACTTGTACATGTATGATATTCTGTACATACAACAAGAAAACAGTAATCAAATGGAATGTCTAGTGATGTTGAAAGCAAAATTATTTTTGTTAACAGTAAACAATAGGACTACAATATATTAAGGGTAAGTAATCCAAAATTGTCTGTTTTAATAGGGTTACAAAAGTGGGTTATTGACAATGTGCTATGCCAATTTCAATCCCCCAAATATGAAACAAAAACATAATATACATGGTATTTAAACTGTTTTCATAAGGAAACAGACTGAAAATATTCTGCATTTAACAGTCAGACATGAAAGTTGCCAATGTAATAAATTGGGACTGGAACTTCAAATTTATAGGATATAGGCCAAGGAATCATTCAGACTTTAAGGTCAAATGGTATACTTTTAAAAGTTTAAAGATTTTATTCTATTATCTATGCTGTATAAATGTCAATATTGTTTCATTTGGATTTAAAACCTAATTTCAAGAATGAAGGGTACAGTAATTTAAAATTAATTTAAATGATTAAAACAATACAAGGGAAGTAACTCTTCCAAGATGTGCATTATATCCTAATGAAGTGTTTTATTGAATTTGTCCATTTTTTTCAAATAAGAGAATGACTTAAGCAGACTGTATTGGGGTCATAGATGGCCATTACTATGAAATACAATATATTATAATTATCATTCTTCATTACATTTTCATTGAATTAACAAACTTAATTTAATAACAAAATATTTTCTTTTTTCAGTACACAACACATCGTGTCAGAAGAATAATTTTACTGGAGGATAAAAAATTTAATACCTGGAATCAGCAATTTACAAAATGTATATGAAATTTATTAAGAGAGATATATTCATGTACAGAATGGTAACCCCACCAAATAACTCGGGTGGTTCAAGTGATTATTAGCAGACATTTTTGTTGAACTAATGCAGGATTAAATAAATGAAGCTTTAGCAGACTATGGGCTCCAAAGTGTAGTAAAAAGAGGATTTTTAAATATGACAGACTCATAAACATTAAAATGTGCATAAGTGAAATGTTACAATATTTAGTAAAAAAATCAGATTATTGACTCAGTTGTTTTCATGAAATTTCTTATCAAAGCAATATCACTGTTATATAATTAACATGATTAATAAGATTCCATATGTTTTATTTTACCGGTATACTTTTGACAACCAAATATATCTTCCCTCAGCTCTGACCTCAAGTGTTTCCCTTTTATTTTGTATGAGTGTAATTTACAGAAAGCTCACTTTGCTTTTGGTGAATTCAAGTTTTGCCTTTCCAGAATTATTGGACTTTATTCATGGAAAATTATACATTTGCCCATATGTTGTAGAAGAACTCAATTTTGCTTTAATACTTTTTCAAGAAATTGTATCACAAGGCTAGATTTGATCAAATAATCTCACTTTTGAATATTTATCACATATCACATACTTAAATAATCTAGTATGCTTGAATTGATTTCCTTCACTTTTGCCCTGTTGTTGAGATTGAGTGAAATAATTTAATTATTTTATCCCTATCAATTTGGGGTTGCCTGGGGATCTGTGACCCATTGGGACCGGCATTTAACACTGCATAACTATATCCTATCACAAGTTATGATACAGCCAACCATATAACATAACTCCTGCCACTGAAAGGAGAAAAGAGGTGCACAACATACAAACAAGTATTTCATATGGGTAGCTTCATTGTATCCTTTGAATATTTCATTGATTTTTTGTCAGTAGTTATTTATTAAAGGTACTACAGTTCCCTTTCAGTTTGCCTGCTTAAGACTTGATTACAGTTCCAATATAAAAATAAGAAGTTGGGGTATGATTGCCAATGAGACAACACTCCACCAGATACCTTATGACGAAAAGGTTAATAAATATATGTATAGGTCTCTGACAGCCTTCATCAATGAGCAGAACCAATAACGCATAGTAAGCTACATGTATAAAAGGTCCCTAAATAACATGACACAATAGAGGCTGAAAATGAATACTCTGCATCAGTGAGTATGCAAAAGTGAAAATATACATGTATTTAGAAAGAAATGCATGTGTACCAATGGATGCAAATAAAAAGTCAATCCAGAAAAAAAATCCTACCTCACACATTATGGCTTATGCAGTTTATTCACTAAATTGTCAACAAACTTTTACATACTTCATTCAACTAATTTACATTAAACCTGGGAACAGTATATCTGTCAATATATGTTCGTGATTAAACAAGACTAAATAAAAGAAAAGAAAAGGGCGAAAGGACCCAGAGCGAACAGACCAGGATTCCCTTCCCACCACCTACCTAGAATAGCAAATGGTCCTCCCCATATGCATAGATATATTAATACTAGTCTAATATAGTCATTATACATGTACATGTTATACCAATGCCCTGAGAAACTGCACATTGAATTTTTAAAAAGTAAAGTCATGAAGAGTTTAAACCAACACTGCAAACCAGAAATTAAGAATCAATAAAATGACACATGCCTGTGACAAAATTAACCCCCCCCCCCCCTTTTTCAAAAAAGAAACAAAACAAAACACATAAAGATAACTGTATTAACAAAAGGAAACTTATGAAAAAAACCGATAGCTTTTCTATGGCCTATTCAGATTAGATGTTCATTAAAAACTCATCGGCCGGTAACATACTAACAATATTCACGAAATAAATATGGATTGATCAACGAAGTACGATATCAACAAATCAATCCCATGGCCATGATGATGTAGGCCTAAAACTGTTAGTTTACAAAGCAAGGGCTGTTTTTAGTATAACGTTAATATGAATTCAACATATCGCATGACTTCCTTGGCATTCAGATTATGAGATAAACAAAATTGCTACAAAGAAGTAAAGAATCCAACTTTTAATGACATTTACGTTGACATTTCTGGCGCCGGAAATTGACAACGTTGGTCTATATATATATACTGACACAACATCGGTTGAGGTCGATTCCGGCAATTCTGCTTCTAAAAATCTCTAGCAGTTAGAATTTATTGATGTCTTAAAATATATTTGTTATGTTTCAATAAATTTTAGTGGATAATTATTTTTTGAGAGAAGAAAAGCTATCGTGTACTTCAGAAACAAGGTTTAGGGAGGACCACGCCCCCATAGTGGGGAACATACAAAATAAAGATGACCGTTCTCCATTTCTACTCGATAGAAGTGCCTAATTTTTTCATAACATATACATTATGTACCAAAGATAATTATATGAAAGTATAAAAAAAATCGAGGCGGAGATTTTTTAGAAACGGCTAATAATTATAGCAGACCAATTGACGTAATAGATAAAAAGACGAAAAATGGCGCCTTCTTCAATTTCGAAAAAAAATCTCTTATTTTACAATTTATTGACACATATTGTTATTTTTAAAGGGGTTTAATATCTATTGATTCACTTTTCCATGAGAATTGAATGAATATTTAGTTTAAAAACAGAAACTCTTCCAATTTCTAAATCTACCGACCATGCAAGGAAAACCCTATAAAAAATTGCGACCCCTACATTAAATGGGAACAAATTTTTGCCCTGGCTTGAACACTCACGTTCTTTACGAATTTCGATGCCAAAAACTAGCGAGAATATGATGTAGAAATTTTTTTAAAATCGAAGGATAGGTATTTTTTTGTTCCCATTTTTAATATAGGCATTTTATCCTACAGTGCAGAAAATCAATATCCGAAATTCTATGTTCAGATATAAAAAAACGAGATTTCCGTTTATTTTAATGTTCAAAAAAGAAAATAATATGTAAATTCATATATTTTTCTCATATAGATTTGCTTACAATCAACAATATTTATCGTCGGTACTTTGCCGCAAACGAACGAAAAAAAATTACAAAAGCGCGCCATTTTTCAGTTGACGTCGGCCGACGCAAAATAGTCCAATTTTCGGCGTAGGACTACTGAGCGCCGCCGAATCACATTTTGGCCAAAAAGGCACATCCGGTTGTCCTACTGTTAAAGATGAAGAAAAAAAATATTGAATCATATTATTTCAGAAATGTAAGTAAAGATTTACATTTGTGTTTTAGGTCAATGGACATATACACATACTATCCGCAGGCCGGAGATTAACGAACAAAGTGTAGAACTCAGGATGGCTATTAATAGTAGAGATTACGAGGTTTGATATTTATATACACTACACATATATCTTGAACAGTTATTTTTTTTTTTATTTATATTATACCGGTACTCTGAATTTTTTAAGGCCTTGAAGAACAAACCTTGAAATGATTAATTGTGTATTAAGGTTAACATCAATGCAACAGTTATCCAGCAACAAGTATAATAAAGATTGTCTTCATTGCTTGTTTATAGATGTGTAGTGATCTTTATATTAAATGATAATTGTTGGTTTAATTTGTCGTTGGGTTGCTATGCGATTATGACATATACCTGACCTTTCCTTTTATTTATACTTCTAAGCGACATAATCCTTGTAAATTGACTCATCAAACATTTATTTTGTCATCAGAACTATTTTTCCAATGAAGGCCCAGCATTGCAATCAGACGACATTTTTCCAATGAAGGCCCAACATTGCAATCAGATGACATTTTTCCAATGAAGGCCCAACATTGCTATCAGACGACATTTTTCCAATGAAGGCCCAACATTGCAATCAGACGATATTTTTCCAATGAAGGCGCAACATTGCAATCAGACGACATTTTTCCAATGAAGGCCCAACATTGCAATCAGACGACATTTTTTCAATGAAGGCCCAACATTGCAATCAGACGACATTTTTCCAATGAAGGCCCACCATTGCAATCGGACAACATTTATGTATTGTGTATCAACTTCTTACTCTTGAGCCAAATATGATTAAAAATTGTTTTTCTAGATTTTGCTAGCTCAAAGAGATTATAGACATTACTCCATATACAAGAAAAGGACTTGTTTTCTGTGGAACAACCATTACTTCCATCTAGATGAGTATGAAGATCCTTGTCCTCCAGGGTAAGTCGTACTTGAAATGTTTATGACCGCAAGGCTTGGTGTTTCCTGGTTATAATAATGTTTTCTGAAATAACCATTATAATTTGTTTTTGAGAAAAGATTGCATGAAATGCAATCAAAACCCTATGGTACTGACTTGATATCTATATCTTCCAAGGTTTATCACTACCTTTGATAGTTCAAACAAAACAATGAAGTGATCATTATTTAGATCCTATCCAGTCTATGTCATGCAATTTATTGATGATATGTTATACTTTGATATTTAAGATATGATGCATATTTGAATTACCATACTTGTCATTTTTTATGCCCCCGCTGTAGCGGAGTGGACATTAAGTTTTACTCTTATCTGTCTGTACGTCCGTTTGTCCGTATGTACGTCCGTCTGCACGTCTGTACGTCCCAAAATTGGTTTCCGTTCTCTAACTTGAGTTTGCCTCAATCAAATTTTATGAAACTTACACACAATGCTTATTACCACAAAACTCAGATCTAGTTCGAATTTGGGTAGCGTCACTTTTACCATTCTTTAGTTATGTCCCTTTATAACTATATGATATGCAAACGTGGGCATCATCTGTTTCCACATGTGGACACTATCCACATTTATTTTATTAAAAATTACACAAGTAATGTAAAGTGTATGATGATTCTGATATAAAAATTGGTTCAACTACAAATGTACAACCATGAACAAAGGAAGATAACTCCATCTCAAATTTTTTATTAGCCTAGCAATTTTATTTAAACAATTCACAAACTTGCAAAATGGAAGCAATCTTCACAAGTACCTTGATAAAATGCACTTTTTTACTCCAGATTTTTTTTCTGGGCAGGGTGAATACAATACAGTATTACAAGCTAGCATTGGCAGATTATGCATGATGTAGTTTTCTGACCCTCTCCTGCCAAAGGCCTTTGGTTCTTTGTGGGAACATCTCCTTCCTCTACCAATAACTGCTGACACCATGAAATTGCCAATAATGCTGAAAGTGGCATTAAATACTAAAAATCAATCAATCAGACACTTTCTACTATTTTCATTGAGATTCAAACCCTAAAAATATTAAGATTTATGATAAATCTAACAGTATTATACATAATTTAAGGAAGTTTTTTCTTCGAAGATATGTAAAAGAACTGAATATTTTAATATTTATACGCTTAAATTGTTTAAAAGTTTCTTGTTTAACCTCTTGCTAACTAATGTAAAACAGGTTTTTTTTAATTTGATTAAAGAAGATTAACGGCTAGACTTATTTTAGTTTCTAGAATCAATTTTAACTTTCTGTGACAAAGGAAAACTAGTATCAAAATATTCCAAGAAGGACCATGATCATGAGTGCCACTATATGATGGAAATTTTCCTTAAATAATTTCTGTAATAAAAATGTGGCTTTTTTTTTACAATATACCAGTGCATAGGGTTCAGCTGTACTATTGAAGCAAGTAAATTCATAACAAGTACTGTGTATTCATTATGAATCATGGGGATACCATTTTTCATGGATTTCATGGATAAAGGAAAATAAAGAATTTGAATGTTCAACCAAGTACAAATTTTTCTAAGGCTTGTATGTAGACTTTGGTAAAAATCAAATTTCCAACAAAATACAATTTTTCTTCAATCCACAAAAAATTGGAAAAAAAATACAAATTCTATAAGATTCTTTGTGAATGCAATTGAAATCAATGTGCAAAAGTGAAAATGATAAAAATGAATAAAGTTGTCTATATTTTTCTACAGGTGTAAAGGATTGATACTTCTAGAAACATACACCACCCTCGAGGGAGATGACTTAAAAGTTCCAGATTTTCTACAGATTGAACAAGAAGTGACTGGAAATTCCAAATATTCCATGTTTAATTTATCAATAAAAGAAGAAATGGATCGATCCAAAAGTGATGCCTCAATAGAAAGTAGAGATGTGTAAAAACCTGAGATTTTCTCTGTATTTTTAATCATCAATCTTTTCAATGTTCAGGTGCTCTTATCATCATATTTTAAATTGGTTTGTTCTTTTATGCAAAATAGACATAAAAGATGATTTAGCTGTAGAATAAGACCAAATCTCATATTTTTGTTCAGCTTTACATTCATTCATTCCAAACCAGTTCTTATAAAAAAAATCCAGGCCTATTGTTTTCATTCAAATAATATCGTTTTTCCTTCCAATGCTTGTGTTTCACATACATTTGTAAATTTCCTAAACTTTTGGGTTTTGATACTGTCCTAATTGAGGGCTATTCCATTGAAATTTTCACAATATCAACAACATCTCATGACATTTGCTTCAATCAGCAGTTAAATACAAATTACATAAAGATGTAGGACAATTTTTAATAAGAAAATTAAGATAAAATTGAGAATGGAAATAGGGAATGTGTCAAAGAGACAACAAACTGACCAAAGAGCAATGTTTTTAAATTATGGATTATTTATTTCTCATTTCCTGTAAAAGAAAATGAAACCATATGTTAATTAAGATTGAATGAAATAACTGTTTGTCTTTGCTGTTAACAACTTTTGTAGAGATAAGATTGTAAGATTTTTCATTTGTTCTAAAACTCATACGAGAACTAAACAATATTTTGGTAAACAGGAAGATTGTGTGACAAATACATGTACGTTTAGAAGGAACCAGGTACTTGTATTTCATATGGTGGAATTTATTTTGTATTTGATGCTTTTGTTTTTACATTTTTCCTAATAAGCATATATATATATTTGTAGTAATAGAGCATTTTCCTCAGCTCAGAACAATGTTACAAAAGCATTCATATGTCAGTAGTTTTAATTTTGTGTTACATGGATTACCTAAGACACTGTTATCTAACAGTGTTTTTGAACAAAGGTGACATTTTGTTACAATAGCATTCATAGGGCAGTAGTATTGATATTGATTTTTGTTGAACTGTTCATAAATTTAATTTTTTGTCAGCTGTTTGATGAATATATAAAATCATGTAGAGATTAATTTTAGTGTCAATATGTTATTTTGAAACTTTATTTTTTAAAACCATTTTCATTTAAATTTAACAATGCATGTAGTATAAAGTAATTGGTCATCTAAGGGCTGATCCATAAAAACACATGGCACCCAGGGAAGGCAGCTTGAATTTACCACTATAATTGGGTGTGAAATAGTGAGTTGTATATGTTAAAAATGTATGCAGAACTCCAAAGTCACTTCTAATGGTGGTGACTGTTTCAAAGTGCCTTCCCTGGGTACCATGTATGGTTTAATGGAACAGCCCTAATATATTTTGGGCTTTATCAATTAACATTAATACACCATGCATGAACATAAACATTTAAAGGTTTATGTCAAGGTCAAAATATGTTCTTTTGTTTTTCATGTTAAAACCATTTTCTCTTAATTTAACAATCCATGTTGTAGAAAGAAATGGGACTGTCAGTCATCTATTAAATGTATTAGGGAGTTTATGTTAATTTTTATGAAATAACCATTTACATACAATGTATGTAAATTTTAACAGAGCAACAGTTAGCTCAATAAAATCAATGTAATATTTTATGAAGAATTTAACATGGGGAAATAAATATATTATTAAAAAGACACATCCTATAAACAAAATTCTGATCCACAGGACCTGAACCTGTCTCTCAAGAGGGATAATATCAAAAAGTAATAAAATAACAAAAATACTGAACTCCCAAGGAAAATTCCTAAATGAAAACTCCCTTATAAAATGGCAAAATCAAAAGCTCTAACACATCAAACGATAGGAAAACAACTGTAATATACCTGAGTTGGTACAGGCATTTCCTTATGTAGAAAATGGTGGATTAAACCTGGTTTAAGAACTAGCTAAACATCTCACCAGTTTTGTTTATTGTTAGATTTGTAACCTATTTGAAAAAAAATGATCTCACTAATTTTTTGAAGTGCAAGAATTGGAGTATTAATTAAAGAAAGATAGAAAGTTATTTTTAGATGCCTCAAAGATTCAAGTAAGGGAAAAATAATTTAATTTTTGTGTATAAATGTATTATGGTATAATACGAAGGTTTATTTTTTCCCCAAAAAAAGAAAGAATAAAGATCAAAATTAAAGTTAGCATTTAGTAATAACAAAGAGCACACAACAAGAGAGCAATTGTTTTTATTGTTTTGCCTAGTTATATTATATTGGAAAGTAAAACTACCTGTTGTCTATTTTTATACCTTTTTTTTACATTTTAATCATTTGCTGCTGTTTCATTGTTTTCTGCTTTCATTTTTGTGCTTGAACTTTTAATCATTTATTTCACATTATATATTCATAAGACAAGTCTTCACATATCGAAACAATAAGAGAGTCTCAAATCAGTCATGTTCATGTCATTAAATGTTTAGATCTAGTTTTGTAAAAATTTGCTAGGATAGCTTTATCTTGTTGAAAGTAAGTAAGTAAAAAATAAGTAAGATTGACAGCTACCTCTACAATTCTGTACCAAAACCTTAAATTAAAAGTAATCTTTCTTCCTAGTCATCTATTGTCCATTTTATATTAGAATATCCTCAATTTCATCCCGGTGTAGAAAATCTAATTTTAAAAGTAGAATTATGGAAACTTTAAATTATTAAATCAGATTCAACCTATGGCTGTAACATTTAAAGTAATATGTTACAAGGTAATAAGGGAGGCACTTGAAAATTTTGTTTCCTAATTGTAAAATGAATTTCACATTCCTCATAAAATTGGTTTCTGTGTTCATCCAACCATTAATGCAATTTCAAAGTGCTTTTCCTAAGTATCATATACTGGTTAATCAGAAAGCCCTCTATGTAATGTTTCTAAGGCAGCCTTATTTGTTATGTATAGTAACTTTTATAAGTTTTGTGTATCACTTACATTCTATGGAAATATGAATTGTGCTGGATTGTATGCATGTTTTTCATTGACAGATTTCTTCCACTGTGTTATGTGATCCAAAATAGGAAAATTATTTCTGAAGGATTAGGTATGAAAATAGCCACTATTTGACACTTGAAATTTCAAAAGGATTTAAAGCCTTTCAAAATTATGTTGATTTTTTTACTTAATGAAAATGTTAATATAATCTGGACACTTTTAAGTGCAAAGAAATCAATAGTGATGTCACTATGATGTCATAAACATGTAGATATTGACATATTTTAACAAAAATGGCCATTTATTCCTATGTTTTTGACAAAATAGATATCAAATTATAGAAATTCCAGAGGCAAAACAGTGGCTTTATTATACCTTCACCTACACACCTACATGTTATCTACATTGTTTTGTACTGTGACCATTCAAATGTCAATCAAATGGAAAAATGTTCGTTGGAGAATATTTTGTAAAATATTTCAATTCAGTTAAAACTGATTAGTTCCACAAATATTTTCTATTATATAATTGACTCAGGGTTCTTAAACCAATAATTACTGTCTTTTAATGTAGAAATATATTGTAGTGTTAAAGTCTCTATGATGTAGGCTGAATACACCTTATAGCTATTTGTCCGCCATTACTGGACATCACAGAAGTTTCCGTAAAATTATGACATCATAATAGAAAGATTTTGAATGCTACTAAAAAAACGGAATATTGAAAAGGATTAGAAATTTGATACAGATTGAAAGTTGATCGACTGTGAAGGATAGAGGATGGTCATAATACAGTTATAGGAAAACATATTATAGGTATTCTGTGACCCCCTACCCTTTTAAGAAGAAATTCATGAATAGTCCGTTACATATCTGTTAATTATTATTTTAAGCAGACACACATTTTGCAAAATCATTGATAAATTTAGTTAATTTAAATTGTCTTTCAGATCAGTAGCTGGCTGATGTATTGGATTGTGTATTTTATGGTAATCATAACAACATTTTAGCTATTTAGGAATCAGCATCACTTGATTTGAAAATTTATGGCACTTGACCCCTAATTTCTATTATCCATTATAAAACACATTTTTTGCATATCAGTTTGATTTGTCAATTATATTATTAAGAAAGATAAAACATTAGTATATATATTTTATCAAAATTTGCATGTAAGGTTAGCATTTGATCTGAAAACGTTTTTTTAGAGAGGCATTATTTTTGCATGAAATTATTTTAATGTTTGTTACAAGTGTATTTTTCCAGAATATCTCCTGAATGAATTTCATATCTAATTAGAATAATTGTAAAATATATTTGTATATATATGTGAATCAACATAATTTATTGCCATAGTGTTCATGTATATAAAATACTCCACAAAACACATGCTGTAAATTCAGAATTCAGTAATGACATTTATTTTTGTAAATCTCTGGATACCAACAAGAATTTGAAATAAATTAATGCCAAACCTGTACATGTGAATTGTCTAGTAAAATATTATTGCCAAAGATCAAATTGCAAGCTTTTATATATAGTTTTGTTATTCATCCTTTAGCATTTTTGCAATGATAAAAAAATGTCATATAATTCCGAATTTACAGTTAATTTCATTTGACCTATCTGCTGATGTTGTGTTAAAGTTTATGGATTGAATATAACCACTAAGAAAAACTGTAGACTAGTCAAATCTAAATTACTATTTTATAAAGATATTTCACAAGTCTTGAGAAATTGTTTACTCACAAAGCTGTTACGTATTTTATTACCAAAGTAGAAAATTATAAAGTTGTTTAGTCCCCATAAGTGTTAATGATCAGATTTTTTATTTGATATTAATAAAATAATCACTTAGATGACCTGTATGATAGACAGTGGTCAGAGAAGTAGCTATCAGACCAATTGTTTTATATATAGGAGAATCTTGATTCTTCAGATTCATCAAATCAGATTTAATTTAACCTGTCAGCAGCACAAATATCTCCACATGTAGTATTTATATACACACAAGTAAATAAACATTTGACAAATTAAATATGGTAATAATATTCTATATATGAGCTGCATCTTATAGAAATCAACATTATGCAAATAAATATCTATACATCTATTTTGGGTTGAAGAAATCTCTAGGGAAAGTCTGTAACTGATTGAAAATTGAGTTGTTATGAGAACCCAACAAAACAGACCAAAGTTTATCTTTTATGTTGTATATGAATGTTCCAAAATCAATCCAAGTCTTATACATGTACATGTAGACATGCATTTGCATAAGGTTTTATTTGTATCCGACACAGCTCATATCACTCCAAATGATCAGCAGTTACATTGATTATGAAATTTTCTACTTTCTGATCTGAGAAACTGACCTTATTGTCTTAAATGCTACTGAGGATGTAGAAATTATTTCATTGAATAAATTTTATTTACCAAATGATTGAATTAAAACTGCATTTTAAAGAAAGACCTGTATTACCATGATTACTGTCCGTCCAGTCAACTTGAAATCTCTGAAGTATTTGGTATCTTATTTTACATTGAATTTAATTTTGAATTTTGTCTCCTGAAAAGGATAGAAAAATAAAAAATACAGATCCTGTCTACAAGCTTTGCTTTATACTAGGATCTGACAACACGACGTTCTACTCTCTGTTCTGGTAATTATTACATTAGCCAATGAAATAACTTCCTACAAATTCTTGAAGGTGTGTACCATCCTGAAAGGGTTGTAAAATAGAAAGTAGAATGGAGCTTTGTCAGATTCTTGTATGTGCTTTCAGATTCAAAAGCATGGGGAGATAGGAGTCACCTTTTAGAACCCAACCACCCAAAATAATTTTTTTTTGTTTTACATATATTTCTTGTAAAATTCTCCAAAAATGCAACC